AGCCAGGAAGGATCCAAGACACTCCCGAGGCTCATGTCCCGGGAATCCTCGGACTAATTATTGGCTTATATATATATATGTATACATTTGTATAGTATGTTTATGTATTTATTTATCTATTCATCTATTGAATTACTATTTCTTTAGCATTTAGGGTTTAGTGCACAACAAGTTTGTTTGCCTCCCTCCTAGCTAGCACGAGCCCGCATTGCAGGGCTGAGTCAAAGAGCAAAGTGCGTACAACTGCGCGGATGCTCAGTGTGGGCTGTCACAGAGAGCCCCAAGGTATAGGCAAAAGGCATTATGGCTTCGTAACTAGCAGTTCGGGATTTTCAAGTAGGGCCTAAAGAAGCTTGGCGTATTTGCGCTTTATGGATCAGCTTTTGGGGTCTACTACTATGTTGCGGAGGTAGGATTTGGGAGATCCAGTAGAGTTGTCGGTGCCACATATGGCTTCATAGAGGGAGTCTGCTTGAATCATCTTAAAACATGAGAACGACATGGATGATGCCGGCTTCGGATTCCACCACCCGAATCTCCTTGTCGCTGCATGCAGCAAGCTTCCGAAGCTGTACACACTGTACACGAAAACAGTTATGCAATTAACGACCTAGTTCCAGCAGCCAACGACCCTCTCCAACGAAGTCCTTCCTTCTCTTGGCAACAATCAAGGCTCCAGTGGAATGCCTGTAGTCTGCTCGCTGATGCCAGTGGAGGTGTCCTGTGTCACGTGCCTGGGCCGAACAGCAATCGCTCACTCCGGTACAACACTGAAACTCCTCGACCACAACCTATGGAAACCCTGCACAACCCTTGCGAACCTCCATGAATCCTCTCTGAAAGCCTTAAGAAACCCTTGTAGAAGCCTTACAGAACCCTGTGGAAACCCTAAACCCTGTGCCCAGCTGCGACCCTTGCAGCCATGCGTTGCCGCCTGGCGCCTCGGTGTGAGGATGTTCTTGATTTGGGCGACAACAATGAACGTGCCGACGAGGGTTGCCGCAAGGGATCCTTTAAGGGTTCGGGTTCCGTTATATGGCCACTCTATGTAATTTCAGAAACACATCCGCAGCAAGGTAATGGGAGGTATGACCATTTGCAGCTATGCAAGCGCAGGCCTCAAGAACACATAAACAGTGCATTCAGCTCTGCTGCGACAATCAAAAGCACATGCCAGGCAGCGTTGCGGTCGTGGGTATTTCGAAGATCGGCCAAAGACGGAACCTGAAACTCTTTCTCCTTGGCTATCGGCACCCCACAAATCATGCCGAAGCTTGGGAAATTGGATATCTCGTGCAAACCAACCTTCCAATGTGTTGCAACTACAGTTGGGGGGCTGATATGCTCAATGCCATTTTTTGCACCTTGCCAGAGTACCGATGAACTGGCGAGGGTTGTGTTGCGCTTGCTGCCTGCAGCTCAAGCCGACTACTATTACTATTACTACTACTACCACTACTACGACTACTGCTACTGCTACTGCTACTGCTACTGCTACTGCTACTGCTACTGCTACTGCTACTGCTACTGCTACTGCTACTGCTACTGCTTACTACTACTATCTACTACTACTACTACTACTACTACTACTACTACTACTACTACTACTACTACTACTACTACTACTACTACTACTACTACTACTACTACTACTACTACTACTACTACTACTATTGCTGCCCCTACTCCTACTGCCAGTGCTACCGCCACTACTAGTCCTGCTGCTGCTGCTGCTACCACGACCACCAAAACCACCACGCTGGCTGTCTTTGCGGTGTACGGCACAACGAATAAGCCCAGTAGCTAAGCACTTTGGCTTCTTCGCCTTGTGCGGCTTCCTTGGGCAGTGCTCGGCATGCTGCACCGCGGGCTTGGTGGGCCTGGGCACTCGCACTCGATGCGATTTCTGGAGATTGGCTCTCCAGGAAAATGTTGGGACGTGGCGAAAGCATCTCTCAACAGACCCATCACCCTGAGAATGCAATGACCTTAGAACCCACACAACTCCCAAGACCTTCCTCGTGGTTCAGAAACACAAAAGCCACAAAAACAAAGAACACAAACAACACATACCACAGCAGTATTTAAACGGACTGGCGGTACTGGAAAAATGAAACAAAATCCTGATTATAATCATGATTCATCACCGTTCTCAACATCATACAGAAAGGGAACGAATAAAAGGCCGTAGTAGCAGTAGTAGTCGTCGTCGTTGTGGTGGTCGCGATAATGGCAGTGGTGGTGTCATTGGAACTAGTAGTGTAGACGTCTTCGTCTTCGTCTTCGTGGTGGTGGCGGTAGTGGTAGTGGTAGTGGTGGTGGTGGTGGTGGTGGTGGTGGTGGTGGTGGTGGTGGTGGTGGTGGTGGTAGTAGCAGTAGTATTCGTCGTCGTAGTAGTCGTACCCATGGCAGAAGTAGCACTAGTAGCAGCAGTAGCAACACCAGTACTACTCGTAGCAACAGTAGTACTAGTAGTAGTGACTAGTAGTTCTTGCCGAACTACTCGTGCAAGTAGTACTTGTCGTGGTGGTGGTGGTGGTAGTAGTAGTAGTAGTAGTAGTAGTCGTAGTAGTAGTAGTCGTAGTACAAGTGCCATTAACTGCAGGTAGTAGTAGCAGTAGTAGTAGTAGTAGTTAGTAGTAGTAGCGGCAGTAGTAGTTAGTAGCAGCAGTAGCAGAAACAGAAACAGAAGCGAAAGCAAAAGCAGTAGTAGTAGCAGCAGTAGTAGCAGCAAGCTTCTATAGGCTCGAACTCGTAAAAACCACTTGCCGATGGCATCGGCATTTGATTACAGCGTTTTCTTGAAACACCGGTGCCGTCAGCGATTCCGTGCCTGAGCCTGGAGTTTTTTGATTTGGGAACATTACCAGAACGTCGGTCAGTGTTTCCAGCATTAAATACGGTGTTAATATGATAATTATACAAGTGCTTGGATGCCCCGTTGACTTAGTAAGTCTACTTAGTATCCCCTAGAAACCCCATTATAATCCCCATAACCCAGCTTACTAACCCTACTTACCAAGTCAAAAGGGCCTCCAAGTGGTGGTTGATATACTTGAACGAGTACCTTAACCTACCAAAACCCACTACTTTGTAGGGCCCTACAAAAGTCTATACAAGGGCTCAGAACTAGAAACTACAAAAAAGTAGATTATGGTAGTTTATGGTAGTCTAGTGTCGTAGCAACAAAAACCCTAAACCACGAATCCTAAACCTTAAATTCTCGTGTCCTAGTCCTACTTGTCGGGTATCATAGGGAACTGAAGGTTAACCGTTTTGGTTATATAAGGATTATATAGGGGCTATACTACTTAAAAAAAGGTTAAAGGTTGTCTACTCTACTACTCTAGTTCATTGTTAGAATAGGATTAGAGATGTACATTTTTGTTCCTTATTGGGTTTAAGCAGCCATAAAACTGGACAAAGTACTAGGTACCTAAACCCTAAACCCAGCCGACCTCGGAGGCCTCGGTCGCGCGGCTACGGCCGACTGTGGCCTCCGACCCAACGCCATGTTACGTCTCTCAAGTGATACGCTTGAGTCTGTGTTTAGGGTTTATAGGGTTTAGGGTTTAGTTTGTGTTTAGTGGTTGGGGTTTAGGGTTTATGGGGTTTAGGGTTTAGTTTGTGTTTAGTGGTTTATAGGGTTTAGGGTTTATGGGGTTTAGGGTTTAGTCTGTGTTTAGGGTTTATAGGGTTTAGGGTTTATGGTTTTTGTAGGAGATTACAGGGCTTCGGGGACGTAAGGGGCTCAGGGGGTTTTGCGCGTAGGGTCTCGGATTTCGGGGTCATGACTGGGTTTAGCTTGCGTTTGTAACTCTTGTGAAACTGGTCTTTCACGAATGCCAGCAACAAGCTGCATGCGGGTAACTTGGGAACTCGTACATCCAAGACCCGCGCTCCTTACTTACCTGGACCTGAACGATAAACCCGAAACTTGAAACCCAAGCCCGTGAACTGCAGTGGGGTCTGGTACCGTTTTGAATTGCTGTTTCATGCTTCGAATTTAGGAGATGTCTCACACGCTGGGCATTTGGAAGGTAGGCTTTCGTCTCCTTCAGAGAGAAACCTGTCCCACTCGAAGCATGCTCGGACAAGCCTGGCTAGGTTCCACAAACAGGGTTTAGGATTTTGGGGGGCTTAGGGGGCTGGGGGAGCTTAGGGGGTTTAGGGGGTGTAGGGCATAGGGCTGCAGAGGGCGTAGGGCTTACTTGGAGGATCATGGGACTTAATAAGTGGGGTTATAAATAAGGTAACCATACTTATAACTACTTATAACCCCAATTAAGGTACTTACAACCTTACTTACTAAGTCCCATGATCCTCCAAGTAGGAGGGGTAATGCCTCAGGCCACGGCTTGGAAAAAGATCTGCAAGCTTCAAGAGCAGATCTGGGGCCCATCCGCTTCGAAGATGGGTCAAGAATTCAGTACGGCCCCCATACAGTAACAGTCTATAAAAGGGCTACTATTAAGGGCCTTATAGATCTATATTATGAATATTATCCAACTGTTACTGAGTGGGGGCCGTACCCAAGTGAAGAACATCAGCCAATTTAGGGGCCTTTTTTTGCCACCCGCCCAGCTGAACAATGTCGCACCGCAGGGATTTAGGGGCCTCAATCAGTAGAATGCGGTTTCGGAGTATCTGTAGTCATATTGAAGAAAACCCAACAATAGCTATTTGGGCCCCTGTATTGCTCTGGCTGGGCAGTCAGCGACATGACTGATTCAACGTTGCTGTAAACGCTAAAGACATGTTGAAAATTGGTGACTGCAGTGGTGCAGATTCCCAAGGTCTTGAGGATAGAGGAGGATCTAGGAAGTGACACCCACAATTCGGTATCCCACGAAGGTGAACCTTACAGGAAACCACTTCAGGCATCTGCATTTTGAGACTTGGGGATCATTTGGGAGTTTCCGAAAATAGGCGGCCCTAATATAGGACCCTAAATAGTAGGATCCTTATTGTAAGGACCCTGCTGTTCTGAGTCGAAGCCTCTAGATCTCGAAGCTTGACTCTTCATCTTCATCACAGGTGCCCGAACGCCCTGGCCCTGCCTCACTTCCGCAGCTTGTGCTTGGCGGGTCGCGCTGCAAGACCGGTGTACCAGATTGGGTACTGAAAGCCGGCCGAAGGAAGCAGCCGCTGACGCAGGCCAGGGCAGCCAGAATGCTGGGCCATAGCCAAGGGTACGGCCCAGACCTAGAAAAAGCGAAGGCCAAGGGCCAGGGAAAAAGCATCGAGCCAGCAGCGACTCCAAACATCGCCACCTGACCCAGGACGATCACTGGTCGTGGGTAGCGCTCCATCAGAGACACACCGAAATGGCCGATCAGCAGGGAGACCCGCATCAAGCAAAAGAGCACGAGGTCGCCGTACAGGAACCCGCCAAGCCAGGCGACCATCTCTCCAGTAGAAAGGTCCGAAGCATGGGCCAACCGGAGGGATGCCCATGGGCCACAGGCGGTGGCGCAGGTCACCAGCGCATGCCGCAGAATCATGTTATGGTGCCTGAAATTTCGGTCTATGGAACGAGCGAGCGTCTCACGAACATAGCCGTTGAATGCATCGAGAGCCGCTTCCTCCCCCATCTGCTCGTGGCCGGAAGGTACGAACGTACCGCGCAGAGACTTGTAGATGAGCTCTCGGTCGCAAGCAATGGGTGCCTGTGTCACAGGGTGGCAATGTTCTTGTGTGCAGCACGTGCACTCAGCGTCCTGCACGCGAAAATCACGGACCTGTGTCGGCAGCTGTGAAAGGTCCCTGAGCATGGCCGTCAAGGTGTACCACAGAACCGGAAAGACCAGAATTGCAAGTAGCATCAACACGGCGACAATAATGCCGATCACAACCAGCAGATCGTCTGGTCCATAACCCACCAGTGGTACTACATGCACTGTCGCCTGGAAGAGCGAGACACCAATGAACAGGCATGCGCAAATGTGTCCAATCTGAACAGGCACAAACTGAATCATTTTGGCTTGGCCCGTCTCCAGCAAGAAGAACCCGATCTCATACGAGCACCAAACCTTAGGTGCTGAGCTCATGAGCCCAAGAGAGTGTACACGGTTTTAGAAGGTGCAATATTATTACCCTAAACATGTAAAGTGTACCCACTCAGGTACTAAGAAACTCGGCGGAAGTAGCCCGGTGACCATAGAACAACCAGTTGCTCGGACCTTTTCAGGAAGGTACCCAATCCTTGGATGCATCGTGCCTTCAGCACCTCGTCATCCTGCGGTATGCAGACACTGTCAAGGAATGCAATCTTGGGCCCAACGAAGAGTTGCCTCACATGCTGCCAGAAGAAGAACACGGCCAGGGACACCGCGTAGCCCCAAGCAGGCAGCCAAGGCCTGCAAGACTCGGGCAGAACGCCCAGAAGTCCAAGCACACCCATGGCAAGGCTGGCTCCGAAGCCCGCTATTGCAGCAGGCAAGCCTTAGTTGCTGAGTTCATAAGCCCCAAACCAGTGTACACTTTCAGTTTTAGAGTGGGTCATATTATCCTAAAAAGTGTAAAGTGTATCCACTCAGCTACTAAGAAGCCATTGAAGGTCACCAGCAGGGACAGATGCTTGCTCCAGCGCCCACTCTTCCATTCATGGCTGAAAAAGACATCATACCGCTTCACTCTCTGCGTGCTCGTACTCGGTCGCCAAGGGCTGTCCGGATGGCACCAATGCCCACCAGTGCCACTCAGGCATGAGCGAAAAGGAAATCCTCTGAGAAGATCCGGATCGAGATCTGCAGCCTGTGCAGACTTCTTTCCGGACTTCCCGGAAGGAGCCAGACTCTCCCCCATGACATAAAGCCCGACGAGGGCTTGGAGGCGATGCTGTTCGGGCTCAGCGCACGGGGCTTTGGCACAGGTTCGAAGGTGGGTTTGAAGCGACACTTCGGAGCACACACTCGATTCATGATCTTACCTTTGGTTACTAGGGAATGGAGGAATGGGGTACAATTATAACTACTATTACTACCATTCTTCCATTCCCTACTAACCAAGCTTCGGGAACGTTGATTTCGAGGGGCTGAGGGTTGAGGGTGTGGGTTTGGAAGCGGTTTCGTGCCATCTTGGACGTAAGGCGTCACACTATGAATCATGACGTAACATGAACATGTTATACTGAGTTGTGCCACCACTGTCCGAACACACACAGGACAGCTTGCGAAAGCGAGATGCATCATGAGTCCGCCACCAGCGCGGCCCGTGCACACGGTATGAATGCTAGATACGGGCACAGCAAAGAGTCGGTGCCCCAACAGAGCGGAGCGCCGAGAAGTCTTGGCGACTGTCATATTATATATATATATATATATAATATGTATATATATATATATATATATATACGACACATATGGAACCGGATCGGGAGGGACTTCTTTGAGCCTATGGACTTTCATCTTAAAAAAAACCTTGCTCCCTGGCTTGGCTTAGGCTTAAAAGGGGTTTTGGGGTTTAGGTTTAGGGGATCCCCGAACCCCTTCGGCCTCTGTGCCCGTGCCTTTGCCGGGTGCGAGGCACTCCGTTTCAGTGGAGCCGAGAGAGGCCGGTCGAGTCGGCAGGTGACCACATCGTGCCTGGCTACAGGAAGTGAACAGCAGAAGAGAAATGAACAGAAGGACCCCCCCCCCCCAACTTAATGGTAGTATTCATAAGAACCCATGATGATAGTGATACTTGGAGGATCCTGGGACTTAGTAAGTAGGGTCATAAGTACCTTGATCGGGGTTAGAAGTATTTATAAGCATAGTTACCTTATAAGTAGGGTCATAAGCACCTTAATTGGGTTTTATAAGTAGTCATAAGCATAGGTTACCTTGTTTATAACCTTATGTACTAAGTCCCATGAACCTCCAAGTAATCACGAGCACAGCCGCCTCGCAGGGCATCCCCGGACCCCCAAGACGACTCGTCTTCTCAGTACTCGCAGAGCTGCTCTGGGGAGTTTTCCGGGCAACCCTTCCCCTTAACCCTGGAGAACCCCCTTTTTTGGGCTTCCTTGATCTGATTTCCTAATATAAGTCCCCTAAAAAGCTAGGTTCTTCAGGGTCAAGGAGGATCTAAACCTTCGAAACTAACAGTCCCTGCCACCCGTTTTGCTACTGGACTCAAGTCTAGCCAGACCTCGACCTGCAATCATCTTGACTGAGGCCAACTCCAAATGCTGTACGGACCTCTCAAGCCCAAACTCCTGGACGCCAGAATCCCTCAACCTCGATGAAACAGAACCGTCCATGAGAAGCCAGGCGGCGCCGGATGCGGTGGAGTCGGCGGATGTGCGGGGGCCACGGGCAGTGCAGAGCTCGGTCTTTGACGGCTCGCACGGCTGGCCGAACTAGCAGAGGAGGGCCTCACCGGATAAACGCTTCTTTTCCCCCAGGCTCTTCGGGAGTTGGGATGTTGAGAGATCTATTGGTTCGGGGCTTGAGGAGTGCTTGGGGCTTGATTAGGGACTTGGTGCCTTGAGGTTCAACATTCCAGCTGGAGGATCAGCCGGGTGGCAGGACAGAGCAGGACACAGGGTTTTATGCTCTCAGATTCCGACTGGAGATGAGGCACTTAAACTTGGTCACAGATTGGCACAGTGTCACGGAAGGATTGGGGCTCTTTCCTTTACGTAATCTTCATAGCACTAGTTCTGCCATAGAGGTCTACGTCAAAGCCTCTACGCTGCACGAGGTTGCATGTTGGACCACACAGGGCAACCTCATGACCATCGCAAACTCGTGGAAGCATTGAAGCTGAAGCATGAGCGTGTGTGCGTGTGTAAATATGACTCCGTCGGCGTGGAAACTCTGTTAATCACCCAGAGCCATACGGGTATGGATGATTAGTATATTTATCTTGCCTTTGGACTATATGTCTATGTACACAACATACCGGGTTCATGGATGGACGAATCTGCTGCCATTTCATGGGGTGTCTAGCAGAAAGAACAATCGACTAAAACTTGGCATCTGTAATCGTAATCAAATTTGAACAAGACTCATACACACAAATACGCACATCACAATACATCCATCCATTGACTCATTCATCCGTTCATCCATCCGCCTATCCATCCCACGCATGGAAGCATACATGATTAGATGTAGACAGCAGGTACAGACAAAATTATATAAACATAGAGACGAAAAGATGCACATACTTATGTATGCATGTATATGTCTCTAGAAATATGCAGATTGTAGATTATACCGTTCTGTGTGTATGTATGTATGTATATATATATATATATTACATACACATATACATATACATACAGTGATCTGTTTATGTATTCAAAAATTTGCTAAATATCTACCTAGAGACCTATACCTATACCTATACATGATCCAATGTCGGAGGCTTGAGACCGGCCTCCGCCTGCCTATTACTATTATTATAACTATTATCTATTATTACTATTATTACTATTGTTATTATTGTTATTATTACTATTATTATTAAAACCGGCCTCCGCCTGCCTAGCAGTGGCGCAGACCCCGGCCGAGGCAGACTTCCAGCCGGAGGCCCGGTCCTCTGAGTCGCGCTGCGTAGATGGGAGGAGCGTGGGGCTCACAGGGGATCTAGTAAGGGTCCCTGGGGTTCCTTAAAGGAATCTATGGGGTTTAGGGTCTAGGGTCTACTTGGAGGACCGTGGGACTTAGTAACTAAGGTAATAAGTGCCTTCATTGGGGCTATAAGTAGTTATAAGTGTAGTTACGTTACCTATAAGCCCACTTACTAAGTCCGATGATCCTGTAAGTATGTGTGCGCATGTACACCTGCGCCTGCCTGCCTGCCTGCTAGTATGTATGTACGTGCGTGAACGATATTCGCATGCGGGCGTAGATATGGAGCAAAGGCAAGTAGAGATGTATGTGGGAATGTAAGTGTATAATTATATACACATGAACCGAAGGAATATAGAGGGCGAGAGGTATGGGGAGGGAGAGAGAGAGAGCGCGAGAGCGAGAGAGCGAGAGAGAGGGAGAGGAGACAGGGAGAGACAGAGTGAGCGGGAGAGAGAGTGCAGCGTGTTCGTGACAATAGGAGTGCTGGTAGGTAGCATCGTCGCAGCCAAGCACGTTTTTTTTGCATTTTGTCTACAGTCTACATGCATGCATCACGGGCACTCCAACCCAGACATTCTTTCTACCTGTACAGTCTCGATAGCATTCCACTCTCTGATCTGGCTTCCAGCACAAGAGGCCTCGCATGGCCTTGTCGAAGTAATGCACGATCAACTCGAAAGCACATCAAAGGCACTTCCGATGAACAGCAGAACACCCGTGCTCCAAATACTCCTCTTTGGTGGTCAAGAGACTCCGCAAGCACGGGTGCAGGCACACCTTGGCCGCACCCCGCCATGCGGCATCTGCTCCGTCGTACTTCACTGACAGCCCCGCAGACTCGTTCTGCAGCTGCCGGGCAAGAGCTTCAGAGCTTCGGCAGCCGATGAGATGCACGCTTCTTGAGTAAGGAGCTGCATCATATGTGCCTACCCCTCGTTGAGTTGTGTGCAGTGGGCAACGGGAGAGTGCTGTCTCGATGGCAGTCTTTATCCGGTCTAGGCCAGGCTCCTGATCCTGGGAATCCAAATCTTCACGCTCCCACGTCACGATTGCCGGAACCACGAGGCAGCCCTCATAGACGGGCGTGACAGACAGCTGGTCAGTGCCGACATCAACAATGATCATGCTCTCAAAACTCGGCTGGATCTGATACGCGGCGACGGCTGATGGGATGAACGCGAAAGATGGAATGCCTGCACGCACCAGGTCTTCACAAATCTGGTTTCTCCAGGATCGTTTTGCGTGCATTGGCTCCACCACAACCACTGGCACTGCGAACCAGTCACCAAAACTTAAGCAAAGCTTTCGATTTTGTGCGCAACCTGGCACTCCATGCTTCACATCGATGAGCCCCACCTGCACAGGGAAAGTGCAAGCATCCATTGCGAGCGCTTTCAGCGGCGCTTCGGGGCTGCGCGGCGCTTCGTAAGGGGATAGCAACTCGACCCAGCCCTGCATGGTGTCCTGGCTGTCACCATCGCCACAAGCAGCAGCATACTGACGGCTTGCTTGAAGGACACCTCCTGGTCTATCCCATCTGTCGAGGACATCACGCTCGAAAGGGTCCAGGACAAGCAGGTCGCGCTGTCGGCTCACCTGACAAGCATCCTCAACGGAAAGACCTTGGCCCCAGGAGCGCTCTCGGTAGTCAACCACGGCCTTGCAAGACAACTCGTCAACCTTGCGCCACCTCTCGAGAACTTCTCGCTCGATGGGGTCCAGAACAAGCAAGTCACGCCGTCGGCTTCTTTCATACGCATCCTTTATGGAAAGGCCATTGCACCAGGCACGCTGTCGGTAGTCGGACAAGGCCGTGCAAGACAGCTCGTCAGCCTTGAGGTCCAGGATATCGCGATCGTAAGGATCACTGATCTGCTCCATGCGTTTCCGAGAGGCTTCCACCGCCCAGGCCACCTCACGCATATCAGCAAGGTATTGCTGCACGGATTCTTCCGTCACAGGGATTCTATCGCATCGAAGCGCCCATTCTATGCACTGCGTGACAAAGTCGTGCACCACGTCATCTCTGGAACGCCTTCCGGCCATGACATCCAGCAGCTTCAGCGCGAGCAGCCTGTCTTCCTCGGTCTCTGTGGTGAAAGCCCATGCCCGCACGAAACGTTCGCGGCACTGCAGTGCATACTCCTCCAACTCTTTAGCTGACGGGATATCCTCATGGTACATGGAATCCCGTCCCACGACCGCATTCCAACAATTCCTCATATATTCCACAGCCGTCTCCGTGATGGTGTTGTCAATGATCAGCGAGATCTCCTTGTCCGTCTCGACCACTACGCTCAAATCCGGCAGTTCTTGACCGTCAAGGATCAAGCGCTGATCATGCACAGGAATTGCCCGTGCCTCCTTGATGGCCAGTTTGACCTCTTTTGCCAACGGTTTCCCATGCGGCAACTTGACCTCGAAGCTGACACCGCTGGGCAGGCGGATTGTGAATATGGCAGCCATGACAGTTGCGCGGAACGGATTCTCGGACGACGAACTTTCAGGCAAAACCCTTCGACCTGAGCTACCAGAAACCGTTGTCATACTTGCACGGATGGATGCATCAACAACTCCCACAAGAAACACATGCTGCTAAAGTCCATGATTTCCAACGAACCATCCTGGCACAAAAGGCTGCAAACGCAATGCAAGGTTGTGGTTGCAACGTTCATGCACATCCGCACAAAACCAATGAAAGATGGTTTCAGCACATCTTAAGGCTGGCATACTCTTCTGCAGGCGGGCAAGCGGACGAAGACATGCAACTGGCCCATGCCGCTGAGAGTTGTCCTCCACTCCGGGCATACCAGGCTGAGCATCGGCGAGTGGGGGAGAACCCCAGGCGCGGATGCCAACATCCTGCCACACGGGGCTGGGAGCTCGCAGTTTTCCCTGACGTCACCGTGTGCAACATGATGTATATGTAACATGCATTTTTTTGTAGGGACCTGAAAATAACTACCGATACTAATTTGGTGGCTCCTTGCTAGTATTGTAGTTTGGGAGGCCCCTGTACTAAGCCCTATATCATATGTTACACTCACCTTAAGGGCTCGGGATGAGCTACTGCCCCACTTCAGCCAAAACTTCGAAGCTCGAGACCTTGGGCCAAGGGTTGAGGCTCTGTTGTGGTCATATACGGCGCCATACGATACTCGACGCGATGAAACGAGGGAAGGCGCAAAGGTGACTGGTACGTTCGGAAACTCTAATTCTAACGGCCCTGAACTAACCCTAACCCCACCACCTCCCTGAACCCCCAAAACTTTGACCTTAAGGTGTCTGAGTGTCTGTGACAGGATAAGCCAAGGGACGAAGCCTCAGACCCTGATGAACTTACGCCACCTCCTTGGGACGAGAGACGCTCAACCAAAAACACTCCCAGATCTTACAGTGCAGACTGTGCAGACACCGGTTCAAGCAACCCAGACCTTCCAAAACCCTTAAGGAATATACCTTAATTCATACTAGGGCTGCTATTATACTTTAAGGAAAAGCCTTAAATGAAGGGATTTTGGAAGGTCTGGGCAGCCTGCATCCTCACTGACGCGCAAAGTCAACCCGAAACTCGCGCCCCGAGCTCTGCCCCACACCCAAAGCCGAAATGAAAAGCTCTGCAGTTGAAGGGCTGATGAGGGTTGGGGGTTTTAGGGCTGAAGGTTTTTAGGGTTGAGGGTTTTTAAGCTTGAGGGTTTCAGGGTTGAGGGTTTTAGTGTTGAGGGTTTTGAGGTCTAGGGTTGCGGGTTTTAGGGTTTAGGGGTTTGTAAGGCTCCGGATCTTAGAACCTCGGGCCTTTCCGCTGCATCGGCGTGGATGGCACCACGAGGCAGCTTCGGGAGAGTGGCTTTGCGGCTCTGGGCTTTGGCTCACGAAGTCAAAGAGTTGCTGGTATGTTTGCTTGCGGTATGTTTGATGATTATAAATGACGTTTTCTAGTATAGCATGTTTGGTTGTATATGTGATTCTAGTCTATATCATATTAGCATATATTTCGCAAAGGAACCAGCAGATGTGGACGTGGGACTCGGTTCAGCGCTTGGGCATGTGGTAGTGAGTCGTGTTCACTTGGGGGGGTGCAGCTGAAAGTGTTGGATTAAACCTTAAGAAAGCTCCATCTGTTTCCAGGTGCATCTTGCCTGTGCTCAGACATGCCAGTGTGTTGGGTTTAGGATTCGGGCACAACTAAGATCTCATGGCATCCGTAAAGGGGAAAGAAGCTGGTTTTGAGCCGTCGCCCGCGTCCGAAGCTTGCAAAGGAGGATGCATCTATAACAGCGCAGAAGCCGCTCTCGTGGCTGTTGGTTAAGAGCTTCGGGCTTAGCGGAGACACTCGCTTTTTCGTTCGCTACGCTTTGCCATCCGAATGCTTGAATTCAGGATCACACTGCGGATAGCGGGCCAAAGCAAACAACTAGCATGCGAGCCTGCGTCGGGGCTTGAGGAATCGTGCAAAGTCTATACTATTTTGGGGGTCCCTTATTATGAGTATAGTATAGTATAATATACCCCCAAAACCTTGTTCGAATTATGGAGCTTCCCTGTGGGGCACCGGAACCTGCAACCCCAAGGTCTTGTTGGCTCCCGACGCAGGAGGCTGAATTAAGGCTTCAAGGACCGCCTCCAGACAACAAAGTCGGGCCGGAGTACATCCGGGCCAGCTTTGCACGCGTAAGACCAAAAACGAAGGTCAACCCCTGGCGGCGGTCCGTCGGCACTCACTAGGCTTGCAAGCTTTGTGGACATGAACTCTTGAATTTGTTGGTGCTAGCAGGCTCAGGGTGGCAGATGCCAGAAGGCCTGGACGCTTCTTTCAGTCTCGAAACCACACCCAGTGGTTTGTTGAGATACAACCCCACCGTAAGTGTACTGGAACTTATCTAGGGGCTTAATGATTAGAATAGGGTTTCGAGGGGGTGTTTTTTTACGATTATTACAATAAGGAGCCCCACCAAAAATAGCACCGGGAATCATTTCAGCCCCTATCTTAACAGTGCCCACAATCCTCTGGCTTGCCTTGATGTTGCACCAACCCCCGGCCGAGAAGTTCTCCCGACAAGTTCTCTGAAACCTCCTCGACCACCCCGACGACAGCTTCCATCCCACTGCCCAAAGCATCAGCTAACCAGTGGTTTTGGGGGTTCCCTTGGCTCTTTAGCTCCTTATTTGATAGGGATTATCATCATCCCTGGCTCCTCAGGTCCCATAATATCAATGGTTAGTCAGTGGGCCGATGCCCTGTAGGCCGAACATCCGGCTATGCGGAAACATGTGCAGGAATCGATCCAAGCGCATCGCCTCAGACTGGGTTCAAAATTCTGCTGGCTGCCTCTAGGGTTTAGGGGTTTTGGGTTTAGGGGTAAAGGGTTTAGGGTTCAGGGTTTCGGCGCTCACACTCGGACAATCCAGGAGGCATATGGTTCAGGGTTTTAGGGCCTTAGGGTTTAGGGGTTTATCCACGGAACGCATCAGCTCCCCATCATTACCGGGTTAATCATTAAGGGTTTCGGCTCTCACACTCGGACAATCCAGGCGAAGGTTTGGGGTTCAGGGTTTGCCTCGAATCGCCAGACCCTGCAAGAAGCCCCAGAAAGCCCCATCATATAGAGGCCGTAAAAAGTAGAATAGGCCTTTCTGGTATATTATACTATAGTAGTTATAACAAAGAAAGAACAAGGAACCCCCAAAATAGTATTGGAAATTATTAAGCCCTTTAAGGACCCCCTTTCAAAGGAACCCTATTCTAAGTATTAAGGCCCTTTACAAACCTTCAAAACCCTTGCTCTCCTTCAGTGGCGCCCATCCACCACATGTCCGTCGTCCCAACCTCGGCTTGGCGAGCCCCTATGTAATGATTATCTTTTTTGGTTAGAGACCCCCCCCCCACATGGGCCAGGAGCTGCTCTTTCGAATTTTTTCCGCACGTTGATCAAACCTGCCGTTGCGCGAGCACTTTGGCTTTCGAAGGCCGTCAAAGGAGCTTGGTGTGCTGGTTGTCGGCAGATCCTTAATCTCGGGTCGCCTTGTAATCGGGCGCTGGGAGCGGCTGGAGGTGAACCGCACACCAGAAACGCGTCCTGGTAAGCTGGCAGCCTTGCCTACGCCACAAGAAAGCACGAGCAATCAGCTCACGATTCATCCTTGACCAAGCGGCCCGTCATGCAAAATCTCTGCATTTGCTACTGAGTAGGCAATTCTTCGACAGCAAGTAGTAGACAAACTTACAAGATAAGACCGGATTGGCTAACGCACGGAAAGACCTTAGTAGGCTAGCATAGGCTATGCAACAAGACTCAAAGTTGGTCGGGAAACATCTCTAAATGGATCGGTAAATCTGCCCGAGCATGTGCATAAACACGCAATAACAATAACATCTGTGCTAGGTTTTAGGGTAACCACATAGCTCCACAAAGGACGGGCGCTTTGAAAAGGATATCGTGCACCTCACTAGCTGTGCTTTGCCGGCATAGTAGCAAAGTCTGCGCTGTCAGAGCATTCTACGAGTTTGTTCGAGGAGCGCTACTACACTGCCCCCTGCTGCTGCTCCCCCGAGATTGCTGCCTCTTCGTCATCCAATTTGGCTTTCGGACCCAAGCGGGTCCGCAAAAGAGGACCACTGTTCTGGGCCAAGCGGCAAAGGATCAAGATCGGGACGGCGAAGACGATGGACATAAGAATCCCAGCGCCAACGAACTGCCAATCCCATGCACTGACCACAGGAAGTCTCTCACAGGCATCTGCCTTGGAGGCGGCTTTCGGTGCCTGGCTAGCAGGTGCCGGCTGGATGCCCTGACACTGCAAAAGGAAGTGTAAGTCCTGGGTGCTGAAGGGTGACAAGGCAATCCGCGCAGAGGGCGACAGCCCCGCTTCAACGCGGGCGCTCGGTGGCTTGCCATCGCAAGAGTGGATCTCCATCTCCGGGTCATGGCCCCTTTGCCAGATCACCTCCACCATAGGATAAAGGTCTGCTCCATTCCGCTCCTTCAGGAACTTCTTCACACTGGGCAGCGCGTTCAGACGTCAGGCAGGACAGCTTACTATTCTGGCGCAGGGCCCTTGCCAGAGCCCTGCTTCTGCTTCCGTGACATTCTCTGCGGCGGCAGAGTGGATCAGCACCCAGCACAGCAAGGGTGGCCAAGCCGCCCATTGCATCATGCTTGGACGCTTAAGTGGGCATTTAGCCGCTCGTTGGATCCATGTGCTGTGAAAACACTGAGCGGGTGCATGTCGAATGGTGCATGCTTCACTATTGAAAGAAGTCTGACCGCTTTGCGTGGCAACTCATCCAATGCCAAGAAGCTGTGGCATGCCATGTTGAGACTGTATGAAGCACGTACATCACCAGGGTTGTAAAAAGAAGCGCGCAACAGACGTGCCACTCCCTGTGCAGAAGCCGTCTGAAACCCGTGTAAACTCTAGCCGCCCTTTACCTTTAACCCTTTAACCTTGCAAACCCCTACACTCTAGCCCCTGAAAGCATTCCCCTAGGGCTCCAGTCACCTAAATAATGGGTTGCTGGGATATACTTTATATGGTTAGTCACCTATTTGGTAGTTTCCGAAAATTAGGGGACCCTAATATAGCACCCTAAATAGCATAGGATCCTCATTCTAAGGACCCCTTAAATCGGGTAGCCCCTAATTTTCGGAAACTCTAAGCCCTCAAACCTCTATAGAACCCTTATAGTACCTTTGTGGTAACCCTTTAAAAGGAACCCTAAGGGAACCCCTAATTTTCGGAAAAACGCCCCAATTTAGCGTAGCTGGAGCCCTATCCTTCATAAAATCCTCTGCCGAGGAGCTCCGCTTCTGGCCCATCCTCGGCTAGGGACTCGAAGGGGACTAAGGTGGTTACTACATGGTATGGTACTATAGTATATGATACCATAGTATATGACACTATGTTATATGGTACTATATAATATGATAAAATGTTTTAATGAGACTATATTATATGATACTATATTATAAGATACTACAATAGCCTTCCTTTTCGGGTTCCCTTTAAGGGTTCATGAGACTTTCCATAGCAAGTGAGCCTCGGAATGGGCCCCGGCGGGGTGCAGCGGAGGCGCAGTGCTGTAGGGGCCGAAATAATTACCTATTTTGGGGGTTCCTTTTTGTAATTATGGTAATTAAAGTATATCCCAAAACCATGTTCTAATTATTAAAGCCCCTATGGCCACTACGCCTGTGCAGCACAGGAAGAGGCTCGAGGTCCCACGCGGGGCTGCCAGTTTATGCCCGTGACAAGCCCCTTTCCGGCCATGGTTCCGTTGCTTGTAGGAGCGGATCTCACATCGCGTGAGGCGATCGCGGCGCCAGTCGCCTAGGTGGTCGTGCAAACGAGAGGAGTGCTGATGCGGGCGGAGGCTACTTCCACCTTTGCAAGTCGGGCATGTATGAAGGCCTGATGCGCAGGGTGCAGGTATTCTATTCGAGACATTAGGAGCACCCGGGCTGCTGCGCTAAAGAGTGCATGTTTTATCCGCCACTGAGCCCTTGGCCGGAGGAGCCACGTCGGCGGGCAGGTCTTTTCTGTCGAGCCTGTGCGAGCTAAGGTTGGGTTAGGGTTTAGGGTTTAGGGTTCTACGCCTCGACATCATCAAGGTGTCTCTCCTGCCAACTGTCGTGCGGTCTGCCCAGCTCGCTTAGGGTCCGAGTTAGTTTGCGCAGCGTATTGTTACAACGAGCTGCCGAATAACGGGTATGTCAACGTTGAATGAAATGTTGGAGCAACAGAGAAAATTTCGCTTAAGTGCAGGGAGGTGGTTCAGCACATTGTCGATTGAACATTTAGAAACCAAGTCTGATGCAGGACCATCTCGACCTAGGCAGGCTGAAAACGCATGAGTTCGGGCCAGACCTGCTGGTAGAGGAAGTCGGGGAACATGTCGTCCAAAACCTCTGCCAGAAGATGTGGGCAAAGTGTCCGAAGACTGGAAGGACAAGACCAAAGCTCGAGAATGCCGTTTTCAAAACAACCATCCAATAGTTTGCCTTTAACATGTTCGAACTGATGTCAGGTGGCCATGGCAGGTGACGGGGCTACGTCAGTAACGCGTCACGCACACTTGATATGCCAAATGCTGGCATAAACTTTTGGCGCTCTTGATGTGAAATATACAGCCATGAATAGATATTCACAGTGTTCCGTTTTTGGTTCGTTGCGATGGTTACACTACCATATACCCCAAAAGCCCTACTCCGATTGTCAAGGCCCCTGTGTTATCTAGGTGGGGCTTTTAAAGCTTTTGAAAAATATGAGTTAATAAGATCCTCTTAAGCCCAATAAGAGAAAATATATAAAACGTCCCGAAGCCCTACCTATATTACAGTACCCTTATAGTAACCTTATACTGTAATTAGGACCCGTTTAACGGTCCGCTGAATCGAAGGCAGGGGCAAAGATGAGCCCACAGCTCAGGCGCCCACACAGCGAGGCACTTTGCCAAAGATGGTGTCTGGATCCTCGGGCTTGGGGCTCGAGGGTTTTTAAGGCTTTGGGTTTACGCTCTCGCAACTCGGACAAGCCAGACGAGGTTCTTGGTGCTAAGTCGGCAGAAGGAAAGACTAGAAAGCTCACCCGATAAGGGTTTGGGGTTAAGGGTTTTGGGGCTCCAGGTTCAAAGGGTTTGTTTGGGTTTAGGGTTTAGGGTTCAAGTTTCAGGGTTTTGGGCTCTAGGTTCGAAGGGTTTGGGGGATACCTGGATCCTGGGGTGCACGTGGATGGCATGCACGATTCCGTGGCACAGGAGGCTTGCGGCAATCCATTCGCAGGAGAGCTCTCGAGTGCAACTGCCGACAAGCATCGATGTCCACTTGCTTCTGGACTTGCAGCAGATACCTGTCCTCAGTTGCTTCTGCAGGTGTCGCAGGCCTAGGGCCTACTGGGGTTGCATGCACAAAGTCCCCCAGCATACGATGCAAATGTTGGCACAACGTTCAACACGTTCCCCGGAGCCACCCCGAGATTCCAGAGGCAGCGACCATACGCAGAGTCGAGCATAGGAGTCTCCGGAAATGTGCAGTGGGAAGGGCCACATGAGTCATGCTCCGGCATCCAGGCCGCTTTCCCATCTTGTAATAAGCATTTACTTGGAGGATCATGGGACTTAGTATGTAAGGTTATAAATACCTTAATTGGGTTATAAGTAGTTATATGTATAGTTGCCTTATTTATAATCTCACTTACTAAGTCCCATGATCCTCCAAGTAGACCCTAAACCCTAAACCCTATAAATCCCTGTAAGGAACCCTATGGATCCCTTTAAGGAGCCCTGTAGATCCCTAACCAAAAAGGGACCATGATTTGACAACCACCCATTTAGAACAAAGTGCAGGCTGGCAGCACACCACCGCGGGACCGCCTTTTTCTGGCGCATCTTCTCCCGTGCTGCGGTGTCCTCACCTGAGGGACTTCTTGACCCAACATTGGAGTTCCTCACTACACTTACCATAAATAACAAGGCTCCATAATTGTTGATAAGATGGTTCTCTTATTATTATTATTATTATTATTATTATTATTATTATTAATATTATTATTATTATTATTAATATTATTATTATTATTATTATTATTATTATTATTATTATTATTATTAATATTATTATTATTACTATTATTATTATTATTAGTAGTAGTAGTAGTAGTAGTAGTAGTAGTAGTAGTGTTATTATTAATTATTATTATTATTATCATTATTATTATTATTATTTTTTTTTTGTTTTTATTATATATATATATATATAGCTTAAATTATAACAGGCGGCTCTAACATCTGCCCTAACCGCCCTTACCAATCGGACCACCCCCCCCCCCCCCCCCCCCAAATGCTCGAATTTTCCGATGCAAAGTCCATGAAATCCCTGGGATGCCCCCGTCCTTCGGAGTCACCACCGTAGTCAGAGATGGCGTAGTTGTCCTGGGCTTGGCATGGTACAACTTTGTGATTTTTCTCAGGATTATTTTTTGTATGTTTTTATGAACTATCATCGAATTACTAATGCGCTGCACATCATGTTCACGAGATCACGCCTGCATCGATGTGGCGTCAAAGACCGTCGAAAGTCCAAGACGTAGCATCAAGACGGTGCCGTATGGAACATGCAGAAGGTATGCCCTTCTCTGTTCGGTGTAGCTTGTTTTACTACTCCAATAAGCCACAGAAATAGAAGGTTAAACTTTCCGATTCCTACTAAGCAACAAGAACTCCAAAAAGTTTAAAGGTTGGGTATTGGGGATCTAAGTTGCTGCAGCTTGCAAGTCGGGAACCAACTGTGCAACCAAGCGTCTTCTGGCTTCCTGACAGCGGAAGAATGTTGGAATGATGACGCAGGCACACCGGATGTGGAGACCCAGACAGACTAGCGGCTTGGGGCATCTTGTGCACACAGATAAACTGGAACTTCGGGATATGTTGTGCTGCCAGGATCTATTGCCATCTAGGGATTGTGAAAGATTAATCTTGCCAATTACCATAAGCTCCACCGGTGCTTAGCCGGGACACTTTGGCGACAGGTTGATGTTCCGCAGGTCCAGGTAGGGCTCACGGAACAACGGCACCGAGGGCATTCTCTTTAGCTGGTGGTCCTCCACCTCACTGTTGGCAAAAGATGGGGATCAAGGCCTTCGCTCTTGGCTGCATGAATAAGTCAAAAGCAGCAGCACATGAAAGCCGGCAAACGTGCCTAAGGTTTGTTATGCCGGAGTCCTTTGAATCCTTTGCCACAAACCCTCAACCCCAAGCCCTCAACTGCGCAGATCCAGCGGCCAGGGAGTTAGGGGCGCATATCCAGGGATTTAGGGTGTAGGATGCAGTGATATCGCGGACGAACAAAACTCTCAGAAACCTAAGGTTAAGGGCTCCGTAATATGATCACTTTTAAAAAGCACCCAAAAACACTACCAAAACAAAATAAACAGAGCCTACCCGGAGCCCTAAATCCCCCACCTCAACAAAAAAAACAAGAAAACTCACCCCAGGGTTGTTTTAGCTCCTCAGCCAGGGTTGGTTTAACTCCTAAAACCCCAGGGTTCTTTTTAGCTCCTCAGCCAGGGAGCCGTCTCGACCTGCACAGGACGCTCCTGCAAAGGGAGGACTGGCGCCTGCGTCGGTGTACACTACTTGGAGGATCATGGGACTTTGTAAGTGGGGTTCCTTTACAGGGCTCCTTAAAGGGATCTATAGGGGTTCCTTAAAGGGATCTATAGGATTTAGGGTTTAGGGGCCACTTGGAGGATCATGGGACTTAGTAAGTAGGGTTATGAATAAGGCAACTATACTTACAACTACTTATAACCCTATTAAGGTACTTATAACCTTTAAGTCCCAGGGTACGGAACCCATACAGTAAGAGTCTATAATAGGGCTACTATTAAGGTCCTAATATATCTATATTATGAATATCCCCTCAGTTTGTAGACGGGCCTGTTAGCAACCACCATACTATATAGACCTTTGCCAGGGTCTAATATGGTTGGCTGCGTAGGGGGTACACGACCCTTTTCAGACCCTCGGCCTATACAGACCTTGCGTCGGATGTTGACGGGTTTAAAAAGGATCATGGAATGCCACACCTACGTCCGTCGGAAGATACTGTATGACAAACCTAATGCACAAGACAGTCTCTACCTGTTAACAAACGGTACCTTCTCAGCCTCCTGCGACAAGAGAGTGCAACATGATGCAACATGCACAACATGTGACAAGATGCTGCCACATGGAGAAGGTCTACATTGGTCTCCCTACTAGGGTCCTGATTGGTACCGCCGACCATTCCAGACCTTCCCATCTTCAGCTGCCAGAAGCCCCCCAATCCAGACCCTCGCAAACTGAGTGGATTTATGAATATTATTCAACTATTACTGAGTGGGGGCCGTACCTAAGGTGCACACTATGGGGCCCCATACTTCAAGGGCTCCTTAAATTAAAGGGATCTACAGGGCTCCTTAAAGGGATCCATAGGGTTCCTTACAGGGATCTATACGGTTTAGGGTTTAGGGTCTACGTGGAGGATCATGGGACTTGGTAAGTAAGGTTACAGATAGGGTATAGCTATAAGAAGAATTACGTATCACCCCGATTAAGGCACTAATATAACCCTAGCTGCTAAGTCCCATGATCCTCCAGGTACAGTTTCGGGTTCAGGACCTTGCACTGTTGAGCTTAGGGCCTTAGGGATGAGTGACGCCGGATGAATCAAGGGTTGGCAATAAGTTCAACGTTTCTAGGGCTATTCACCAAGCTCTCCAAGAGGTCTGGTGCTTGCGCCGCTACTTCTGCACCTGAATGTAAGACATCCTTCGATGCAAGACGCCTAGTCAAGAAAGAAGTCATGTCAAGTTCCCAAGTTCCCAAAGAATCAAGCCCCCCACTCGTCTTTTGCAGACGACCTCCCGAATCAAACAATCATGAAGCTGTAGTGATATCTAAACCCTTATGCACTAGATAGACCCTGGTACCCCGAGATCGTAGTCCTAGAACCGTTTTTCCATCACTACGCTTGTCAGCAGATGCTTAAACCAATGATGAAGCAAGCCCTAACCCGCCCAGAGCAGAGACTATAGTGATCCATTCGAATAGCTACCCCCGAAACCCTCTAGTAGCCCCTTAAAATAACCCGAAAGCCTGAACCTGAAACCCGATCAATAAAACACCCTTAGGGGTTTGAGAACCTTAGCCCAGAAAAGGTCAACCTTATCAATTACGGTAGGATTATGTAAAACCCAACGAAAGGTTAAAGGCTACCCACTCAGCTACTAGGAGACACAAAGCAAGCCCGGGGTTCCGGCCGAAGCGTGGCGTGCGAGGAATCCGGGAGACAGGAGGGGCTCGTTCGAGGGCCTTCCGAATTCGATGCGTTCAAGCACAAGGATGCCCAGTAACCTAGGAATAAAAAGGGCTCCCTTTTTGGTATGGGGTAACTGTATAAGGAACCTAGGACTACAAAAAGGGAATAAGGGTACTACTGGGCATCCTAGTATTAGGCTTGCTGCAGGTGGTTTCCTACAGCTCTTGTTATAAGGGTTACGGTTAGGGCTCCCCTAAAGTTCAGAGGCAGCGATCTATGTACAGGGATTTGGGACTTCAGAGTGTGAGCTTGCATTGGCCTTTGTGAGGTGAGGACTTCAGGGTTCAGGGTTGAGGGCTTTCAAGCTTTACAACTAGATCCTTGTCTGCTTGCACCATGTCTTGCTTCGTTCGTGTGGCTATACATTAACATGGTGCACCTCGTGTTGTAAACTGCTTCCTACACGCCTGGCTCGTGCTCACGATAGAGAATGGATGCCGAACTACAGTACATGCAACATCTTCAACCGATGGACGTAGAGTCCTCTCATTAAGGAAGCACTGGCGTAGCTGGACCGACAAAGGAAACACTCTGCAAAGAACTTTGTCAAGGTGTTAACCATAAGTATAATAAGGAACCTTAACGCATTATCTTGGTAATTATTGAGGCTTCTATCTGAGGGCCCTGGAACCATCCAAGCTCCAAATCTTCAGCGCAGGGACCACCCCAAAACAGCCCACAGCAAGCCCTCACAAACTTCGCAAGATAGCCCTCAACCATACTTTAGGGCCCATGGCCCATGGTCTAATGTACTGTAATATGCTATTACAACATACGGTGATACACTACAGAACCATATGGTACATATGGTCTACAACTGAATACACATACTACTTGGAGGCCCTTTTGACTCAGTAAGTAGGGTTAGTAAGGTGGGTTATGGGGATTATAGTAGGGTTTCTAGGGGATACTAAGTAGACTTACTAAGTCAAAAGGGCCTCCAAGTACGGGTATACTATCCGTACTACTTCATGTATGTGTGTATATGTATATGTATATGTATATGTATATATATATATATACATATATATATATATATATATATATATATGTATGCCTTTATATGCGTGTGTGTATATATATATATATATATATATGTTTGTTCTATTATTACTAATATTGTTCATGCTATTTAATAATTTTCTTCTTCCGTATACTGCAATCCACCCACCAGCCGATGGAAAGCCTCGCATTTTTCGGAGCTGCCTTTGGCGTGTCCCGGGGGCCTTGCCAAGGAATTCGGTGCAATCTAGGGCCTTCATAACTAGAATAGGGTTTTGGGCCCATTATACTATAACTATAATAAAGGGTCCCCAAAATTGTCTGGGCAATTATTCAGGCCCCTATATTAAGGCTTCGGGTCTTGCTTAGGGAATCGTGAGTTTGGGGATGTTAGCTCTTCTTTATTTCTTTGTAGGTTTAGGGTTTAGGATTTCGGGTCTTGTTTGGGGAATCTTCGGGTCTTCATGGGAACTGGGTCAGAAAGAAGGAATGGTGGGTTTGGGGATTGTGTTTGACGGTTTAGGGTTTCGAGTTCAGGGGGAAGGGATTTCCGACGCGGACTTGAAACCAACTTCCCACGAGGTTTGCCTTCCAAACGTTCCCAGCACCTCCACTTCGAATCGCACAGGGTTTTTAGGGTTTGGGGTTCAGGGTTTTAGGGATGTCTACTGACAGGCGGCAGCCAATATGAAGTAAATGGGTCCCGAGCCCACTTAGGATGAAAACTGCGCTGGCGAACCAGGGCGCTAGCCCCTGAATTCAAGGTTCAGGAACTGCACGAGTCCGAGTGGAGCTTTGATGGAACAGGCAAAAGGGTTTCAAGATCAGATTTTAGAATTTTCGGGGAGGGGGGGGTTGCTGACGTAGATTTGGCCGCAAAGGGTTCTGCAGCAATCGATTCCTCTCGAAATCTCATCAAGCGCTTTCTTCGGAAACTCCCCTAACCCTAAACCCTCAACCCTGGTTACTAAACCCTAAACCCTGGCTACTAAACTACTAAACCCTAAACCCTGGTTACTAAACCCTAAACCCTCAACCCTAAACCCCTCAACCCTAAACCCCTAAACCCTAAACCCTAAACCCTAAACCCTAAACCCCTCGACCCTCAACCCTAAACCCTAAACCCCTCAACCCTAAACCCTAAACCCCTCAACCCTCAACCCTAAACCCCTCAACCCTAAACCCTCAACCCTAAACCCCTCAACCCTAAACCCCTCAACCCTAAACCCTCAACCCTAAACCCTAAACCCCTCAACCCTAAACCCTAAACCCCTCAACCCTAAACCCCTCAACCCTAAACCCTAAACCCTAAACCCCTAAACCCTAAACCCCTCAACCCTAAACCCTAAACCCCTAAACCCTAAACCCCTCAACCCTCAACCCTAAACCCCTCAACCCTAAACCCTAAACCCTCAACCCTAAACCCCTCAACCCTAAACCCTAAACCCCTAAACCCTAAACCCCTCAACCCTCAACCCTAAACCCTAAACCCCTCAACCCTAAACCCTAAACCCCTAAACCCTACACCCCTCAACCCTCAACCCTAAACCCCTCAACCCTAAACCCTAAACCCTCAACCCTAAACCCTAAACCCCTCAACCCTAAACCCCTCAACCCTAAACCCCTCAACCCTAAACCCTAAACCCTCAACCCTAAACCCTAAACCCCTCAACCCTAAACCCCTCAACCCTAAACCCCTCAACCCTAAACCCTCAACCCTAAACCCTAAACCCCTCAACCCTAAACCCCTCAACCCTAAACCCTCAACCCTAAACCCTAAACCCCTCAACCCTAAACCCTAAACCCTAAACCCCTCAATCCTAAACCCAAAGCCGTAGAGCCTGGAGCCGCCCCAGCGGCCTTTGCACGGGCTTCCTGGAGACTCAAGACCGAAAACTAGGGGTATTGGTTTCTCTCAAATTATAGGGGCCTTAATATTATGATTTAAGGTATATTCCTGAATTAAGGGGTATTGGTTTCTCTGGTTACCTTTAAAGGGATCCTTTAAGGCTTCCAAAAAGGGATCTATAAGGGTTCTATGAAGGGTTTGGGGTTTAGGGTTTCCGAAAATTAGGGGTACCTTCCTTTGGGGTCCTTATGGTAAGGATCCTACTATTTAGGGTACTATATTAGGGTCCCCTATTTTCGGAGACTCAAGACCAGTGCCAATATGTCATATGGGACCCTTTAGAGGGGTAGTGTCATATTCATATGGGACCCTTTAGAGGGGTAGGGTAGGGGGAGGGGGGGGTGGGGGGGGGTTAGGGGGCCTTAATGCCCATAATAAGGAAATATAGTCCCCTACCCCCTTCCCCCCGACAAGTGCCGCCCTAATGGTCCCCATGAATATGCCAGAGTGCGCGCGCTGTGAAGCTCAGCGTTCGCGTGTCGGGCTGGAGGCATGAAGGCTAGATTGGTTGCTCCGCGTGATTCGTAGTCAAGTGTAAGCAGCTCTTGGGTTAGGTGGATGATGTGCTTGTTTATAGATCGACACCATGGGCTTCATGGTTGCCTCTCAGGACATCACGTGAGGATTCCAAGGCAGTGCAGGTTGGAACAAACAACAGGAGGCTGAAGGTGGTACCAGCGCACAGATACTCTACTTAGAGGATCATGGGACTTAGTAAGTAAGGCTATAAGTACCTTAACTGGGGTTATAAGTAGTTGTAAGTATACTCACCTTATAACCTCACTTACTAAGTCCCATGATCCTTCAAGTATTCATGCTTGTTGTGTAACCTTGCAGAGTTTCGGCATATTGCCGTTCTCGCTGCATGAGCCCGGCAAACGCAAAGTTTATCACAGTGTGCCTTTAGGGGCAAGGCCAGATTTCAGCCGTGCACGCAACTGTCGGTGTAGTGTCGTGATGGGCTCCGGGTCGCCAGTGTCGACTTAAACGAGAAACTGTGTATGTCACTCCAGCAAGAACACACACACACAATCTTCTGGGCAAGCTCTATGCCTAACCCTTTTTGCAACTGGGGTCTCACGAATGCAAATCCTGAACCTAAGTCCTAAGCTGCAGCGGTCGCCGTCAAACACGGGCCTTAAAGAGTACGATAGCATTTCGGCATCTTACACCAAAAGTGCGCAAGGACTACAAGGAAATGCTACGACTGATCATTCAGGCCCTTATACGTTCCTGAATCCTGCACACTAAACCAGGTACTAATCACTCATGCCCTACATTATTCTGACTTCGTCAGGTCCTGCGCCGCCTGCGCCGCGGCGGCCTGGGCAGCGGCGATGCGTGCGCGGTCGCGCTCCTGCGCACAGCTGCTGCTACGGCAGGTAGGGGCTATTTCGACACACAACAGAAAGCAAAGCAACAGCAAAGTGGCTGGCAGCCACCTTCGCCAAATTGCTGCGTTGAAACGGTCGAGGCAAGCTGATTTACCGGATATTCCGAGGAGATCGCATTGAGGGGTGTGCTGGGAAAGTTATCGCCTGCTGGAACAGATTGCAGCGGCTGTAGGAACTGCCCTAGCTCACGGTTTCGTGCTGACGACCTCTGCGCAGCTTCAGAGGAATAAAATGATGAACCTTTCCTTGCCAACAGGTTTCGTCTCCTGACCTGAGCTTGAAATCAGAGAAGACACCTGGTCACGTTCCTGTCGCTCTTTCTGCCGTCTTTCTTCTGCCTGCTTGGCCTGCAAGCATATGGAGAGCTTGGGCTCGCTCATGACTTCTAACACTCCGTGGTGTCATGGATGCATGATCTGGAACCTATGACCCATCTGTAAGTGTTGCAATTACTACTACTACTACTACTACTACTACTACTACTACTACTACTACTACTACTACTACTACTACTACTACTACTACTACTACTACTGCTCTGCTACTGCTCTGCTCTGCTACTGCTCTGCTGCTCTGCTCTGCTACTGCTACTGCTACTGCTACTGCTACTGCTACTGCTACTGCTACTGCTACTGCTACTGCTACTGCTGCTACTGCTGCTACTGCTGCTACTGCTGCTACTGCTGCTACTGCTGCTACTACTGCTACTGCTGCTGCTACTACGACTACGACTACGACTACGACTACTACTACTACTATTATTATTACTACTGCTTCTCTAACTATCACTATCGCTGTGATTGCTATCACTATGAGTGTATTACTACATTTGTTATTACAATGATTATTATTATTAGATATGTGTTATTATTGCTATTGTAAACCATTGGGCCCGTGTTATTGTGACTTGGGCCCATGGAAAGGAGGCCAGCCTCCTCTGCCCTGCGAGGGCCGTCTGAACAGAACCACCACCCCAAATTCCCAAACTTTTGGGGTTTAGGGGTTCAGGTTTCGGCGCTCACACTCGGACAATCCAGGCGAGGCATATGGTTCGGAGTCTGACGAGTGAGAGGTTCAGGTTTCGGGTTTTACGCTCTCGCAACTCGGACAATGCCAGACGAGGTTCTTGATGCGCACAGTCAGACTACAGGGCTGCTCAACTCTACATGAGAAACCGCGACGAACAGAAGGTAGTGCGGGTTTTAGGGTTTGGGGGGTTTATATAGGGTTAAAGTTTTAGTTTTTTGGGCTGTGGGGTTCAGCGTTTGGGGGCTAGGGCCCCACAATATGCGAATCGGACTCGTGAACTTTACTCGGGGAGCACGCCGAGGGTCCGACCTGGCAAGATGAGAGTACAAAGCTATTGAACTCTGCATAATGCTTCAGCACCTGTTCCTGAAGCCCCGGGCCCCAACCCTCAACCGCCAGAGCTTTGTATTCGGAGCTGGTGGAAACAACTCTTGAGGATGACACGAAATGGCGGTGCTCAGGGTGTAGGGTTTAAGGCGCAGGTGATTTGCAAAAGGTCATTGCGCACAAATAGAAAATGACACATGTCAGCACTCTAGAGCGAGCTTCCCATCATGTCGCATGCGTCTTTTGTTCAGCTGCCGGCGCGTATCCGACCAAGGACGACACCATTAACGTTCTGGATGCCACTGACATCCTTAGCAAGCCAGCAGCCCGTGCTGCCGGTGCCATCCATTAGCCACATCCAAGTCTCGCACTTCGTCTCCTGGTAACACAGCGTGCAGCATGCTTCCGGAGAGTCCGTCTGCGTGATGTATGATTGTCTTAGTGGGATGGCCTCAACGTAGCGAGTATTCCCTAGTGCAAAGCACGGTAAAGCCTGGTACATGATCGTCAAGTGGGCAAGGCTTTCATTCCAATGGACCTGAAAGCTGTCCGTGGTCTGCAGCAGTTGATGGGCCGCGTACCAGCCGTCTTCATCTTTTTCGAAATGCTGCAGCATTGGAACGTCGTCTTTGGGAGTCAGCCACACACCAAAAGGCTGAGAGCCTTTCGCAAAAAGAGTCACGAAGCTGATGGTGTCTTTCGACGTGAAGCCATCGGCGGAATACTCGCCACGTGCATACTCCAGGTCCGAGAAGTTATGGGTCGTCCCGAGTCGCGCCAAATCTGCGTATTCCCAGCGTGGCTCCAGCTCTTCCGGGGTGGCGCACATCTCCTGAACGTTCTTGGGGCAGCTGGAGCCCTCCGGCTGGCCTTCTGGCTCTAGGGCTGTCCACAATGGCTCCGTGACCGCCAGGAAATGAACGACGCTTGGCAGCCCATTCGATGTATCCGACCGCCACGTGTCCCACAAGTCGCGCAGTCTCCGCTGTAGCGCCTCCGGTCCTTCAAGTCTGTAGCCACAGAGGGAAGTATCTCCCTGTACCTCAGGCACCAGTGCTGCCGCTCTGGCAGCGGCACGGGCCACCAGAGATAGCACCAAACCCAAGAGCTTCCAGTGCCCAGCCTCACTCCAGTCCATGTTCATCACCCAATCCATCTGCCGCGTTGAGAAGAGCGGGCCAGGTTCCCTCCCGCTCCCCTCGAAGTGCACAGCCACGGAGGTGGTGATCCTCCCGCTTTCTCCGACAGTCCGGGCCCCTCCCAGGCTCCACAGCGCCAAGCCGGCAAAGTGGACTGCGACTGCATTCACATCGCACTCCGTGGAGCGAGGGGTGAAGTCCGTCAGCAGGTTGGCCCACATTACAATCCTCTTGGCCACGATCCACTCACTAGTATCGCCGAAAAGTACGCAGGGGCGCCGCAGCTTTGAAGCCAATTCCAGGAGATCTTCCCGTATTCCTGGCACACTGTTACCACCCAAGCAATGGCCACTGGTCTTCAAGAGAAGCTCTTCCCAGAACTTCTTGGAAATAGGCCGGCCCATGGGCAGCATGCTAACGCTGGAAGCCTCGGGATCGACGTTCTGTGATGCAGTGAAGCCCAGTTTTGACGAGTCTTTAAAGGAGTAGCCATGCCGAGACAGAAATTCGGCTACTGGCGCCTTATAGAGTGAATTCTTGGCTTCGCTCGTAAGCCACAGGTACTCCTGCACCACGCGGGTGCTCAGAAAGGGGTACCGCGTCTCAATCCCGTGGACACCTAAGATCACTTCCTCCTTGAATATGAAGTTACGCATCGTACCTCGAAAGAAGTTGTTCCAAGGAAAGACCTGGGAAAGGTCTTCCGGGAAGAACTGATGCCGGCGGCGCTTCAAGATGATGCGGTCCTTGTCGACGTTCACATGTACACCGAGAAAGCCATAGTCACTGAGCACCTCGTCGGCCCCCTGCCCACTGATGTAGACCAATTGACCCAGTTGTCGCGCTCTCTGCCCAATGAAGGACATGGCGACGGCAGCAGAATCCATCACCAACGGATAGGATGATGGTTCGGCGCGATTGTGAATTAAGACCTGATGCTCCTGGTAGTCCTGCATCCCGAGCTGGATGAGAAACGCTAACCCGGAGCTATGCACATCCACATGGTACTCGACGCGGTCGTGCAGGTAGTCCATCCATTCGCCGGCACGCACCATCCACGCAGTGTAACCCTTCCGGCCAAATGACTCAAATTGTGGGAGTGTAGTGTTCTGCAGTTCATCTTTATTTTTGCCTTCGCGGAGTGCGCCAGATGCCAGAAGCTCCACGGCACAGTGGACCGCTCCGGAATCGTGTCCACTGCTCAGGCCAAGCCAAAACTGGTGACGATTCTGCCCGGCTCTTTGGGCTACAGCTCGCATGAAGGCCTTCTCCCAATCTCTGGTGTCGGACTTCCACTGCCTGAGGTCAAACTCAAACTGCGCAAACTGCTGAATGAGCTGGACGGGCTCCGCTTCCTTTGCCTTACTTCTCAAATACCTTATGGGAAAAAGATGCGAACTTTCCAATCAGACTACCGTATTAATAAGAGCCTCAGAAGTTGAAAAGTTGGATTTTGCGCCTCGGAGTTGCCGTGAAAACCAGGATGGAGTTTGGGGGCACAGGCCATATCTCTGCCAGGTCAAGCCTTGTGAGTGCGCTTCGATAGGATGCGGCAGCAAAGCGCAGCCCGTCGGAGGAGATGCCGTACCAAAGAGGCTTTGTGCCGAAGGCGTCCACGGCCAGAACCACTATCTCCAGCTTCCTGTCCACCAAAGCCAGGGCAAACTCACCATCCAAGTGTCCTAGTTGATGGTTGGGATAGTAAAAAAAGCTTCATTTTCTTGTTACTTATTGGGTTTAAGTACCCAGAAAAATTCTAAAATGTTACCCAGCTATGACAAGGTCTCGGGGAAAAGTGGCACCGAAGTCCTCGAAGGCCGGGATCAGCACTTCACCATCGCCCTTTCCCAGCGAAGGCTCAGAGGAGCCTCGAAACGGTCGGAGGTCGAGGTGGTTGTAGATCTCCTGGGCTCTTGTTGCGGGATTTAGGGGTTCAGGGCCCCTTTAAGGGATAAAATAAGGATTCCCTTCAGGGATCTACGAGGGTTCAGGGGTTAAGGGATTTGATCAAATTTACCATAGGAAGGAAACCTTATTATTTACTATAGATCCGCATCATTCTTGTCATGGTAACTTAAATTATTCCTTAACAAGAACCCAGTCTCGCCGTTGTAGACGGCCGCGGCAGAATTACTTGAGAAAGGCTGCAGCATGGAAGAACCAGGAAACCCAGAGATGCTCAGCAGGTTGTGGACCAGATACCATCCCCCAAACTGGAGTTCTGTGGTCGAATCGGGGCCCCGCAACTGCATGTAGCGATTCCATATCGAGATGTTCACGGCCAGCACCCAATTGGCCAACAAAAAGCTGCACATGTCAGGTCGGGCCCCACATCGGGGCGCATCTCGCCATGGCAGAAATACCTAGTGGTACGGGCCTATTCCATCTGGCTCCTGCAAGTGTGTTTATGTAGTAGGCACGCACGGCCAACAAGGGTTTGGGATCAAGAGAGCGGAGGCTGGCAAAGCTGGGTGCCACTAGACCTCAGCATTGCTCAAATTCCAGCCGAGCTCGCTTGCCAAGCAAAGTCGATCACCGCTAGAGTCTAAACCAAGCTGTAGCCCAGTTTCAATATAGCTGGAGCATCTGCATTGTATGTACATGGAGGAAGAAGCAGAAACATATCCACCCTGGCAGGCCTTTTGGGTTTACTCAGAATCTGCGCGAGACCAAACCTTGCTCGAAGAAGCTTGGCGCTGACAGTGCCATAAGGCTGCAGTTAAGCAACTTGAATTGCGTAAGTTGGTTCTGTGGTCGCTTAGAACCTGAATCCTAGTCCTGCTTCTTCGGATATATGTAAGGGCGTTTCTGAAGTTCTCATTCGGAGCTCTTCAACGGCTCCGAGGTCTTCTTTGGCCAAAGACCTGAAGGCTTAGCATTCGTTCTTCTGCGTTCCACAGAGGGGGCGCGCGAGCCAAGTTGTGGTGGGAGCGCGGGCTCTGTTGAAGAAGCGCAGACCCTAATTGGCCCTATCTGCTTGCAGGCTCGGCATCGCGACCCAGCAATGTTCAAGACCCACCCAAACTGAAAGGTAACCCTAAAGAACCTTAACTTAATCTTAAGCCTTAAGCATAAACCTGACAAGACTGACATGGCCGTTGAAAGGGCCTGTTCTGCTGCACGGAGAGACTTTGGCTTTGCGATGTCATCACCTTTTTGCTCACAAAACTGACGGCTTCCTTTTATTGGGGGCAGAGGCGGGAGGGGTGGCGCTAGGGCTTTAAGCGTCTAAGGCCAAGGCTTCACGGCTTCTGGGGAGTTTGCCGTTTTTGAAGGTTGAGGGCTATGGGTTCAGGATTGAGTTCTATGGTCTCGGGTCTAGGCCACATTCCCTTGAATGCCTTCTGCTCAAGAACACGTCGGATTGAAACAACAAAACCCGATCCTAGAGGCCGCGGGGGCCACGATGCTCGCAAAGCTCTCCAGACAGAACTGGCGAAAGTGAAACAAAAAGCCCCAAACCCTGAACAAACCCTAAAACCCTAAACCCGTAAACCCCAAAAACCCCAAAACCCTAAACCCGCTCCTCTTCGGGAAACACTTCCAGATGCCTGTGGAGCCCATGGTTTCGAGCCTTTAAAGCAAACCTCAGACTCGAAAGTCTCGGAGACCTTTCTTACTCGGAGGATCATGGGACTTAGTAATAAGTAAGGTTATAAGTACCCTAATTGGGGTTACAAATATAATTTATAAGTGTAGTTACCTTATTGATAACCCCACCTACTAAGTCCCATGATCCTCCAACTAGGCAGCTACATCCCACGCTCGGGCTGATCAAGGGGTATATACGTCAAGCTGAACTCCCCTATGAGCGCCCTTGGCTCTAAACCCCAGGTGAAGATTTGCATAAACTATGCAACTCGAACCCAAAGTCGTTTGCTGGACCCACGCGAACACAAATCGCGTCCTTTGTCGAAGCCCTACAGAGAGCCCTTGAAAACAAACCATTTACTTCAAATCCTCCTCAAACTAAATCCTACAAGGTCCTACAACCCAGCCCTCCGAACCTAACAAAAAACCGTAGAGCCCAACTGCAAGCCCCAGACTCCCAGAAACACAAAAGCACTCATAAAACCTTGCAAGCACACTCACTGTGCTTCGAGGTCCATGTCCTGCTTGCGTTTGTAGTGATAGTGGGATCGTCGGTGAGGTAGAATGAGATCATGATGTAGTTCTATAGTGTAATGTTTGAAACAGTTGCTCCTGGCAGAAGAATGCCCTCGCTGTGACGGTGCTGGTGCCCTTGGGTCTCGGTTCACTTCGTTGCTTCAATCTTCTGTCTACTTTTTGTATGCCTTGGGGCGCCGTCCTTCTGAAGTGCCAGCTGTGGAGTTCTTTCTGATGGCGTTACCCAGACGTGACGACCCTTCCCGCGGCTAGCGACACCGCTAAAAATCCCAAACCCAAAACCCAGAATCCCCAAACCCTACTCCCTAAACCCTACACCCTGAACCCTAGACCCTTTTTGCAGCACTAAACCCTAAAGCCTGAACCCCCAAAAAAAGCCAAAATCGGAGGCCAGGGGGCGCTTGTGGCCCAACGCCAGGCGGCCGAACGCCTCCGCGCTCCGCGCGCTGTCCGGGGGCTCGGTCTCTGCGGAGCCTTGGGAGTCGGGTTTTGGGCTTAAGGTTTGTGGTTTTTTTCCCTCCCACCTAGCTAGGACTGTGGTTTAGAGTTTAGGGTCGTTTAGGGTCGTTTAGGGTCGTCTAGGGTTTAGGGTTTTGGGCCCAGGGTTTGGGGTTTAGGGTTGCGGGTCGTTTAGGGTTTAGAGTTTGGTATTATTGGCTATCCTCGGCCTTTTGCTGGTCTTGGGGCTGCGGGTTTTGACACTGAAGTTGCGACCGAAAAGAACCGCGAATCGGCATGCTCTATGCTCTGACTCTCTGACTCTCTGACTCTCTGACTCTCCTGACTCTCTGACTCTCTGACTCTCTGGCTCTCCCTCTCCCCCCCCCCCCTCCCCCCCTCCCTCCCTCCCTCCCTCTCTCTCTCTCTCTCTCTCTCTCTCTGTCTCTCTCTCTCTCTCTCTCTCTCTCTCTCTCTCTGTCTCGTGGACTCAGAGGTTTGTCACCACAGCTAAACTACTGTTGCCTTTGCCCGCAACTCACCCCATGCCTCTTGCCTACGCACCGGGATCAAGCTACAAACGTAAGATTCGGCAAACCTCACCGGGAACAGGCAGCATGCCCCAATCCGACCGCCCTACCCTGCTTCTCGTGCCAGGGTCGGGCGCTGGAGGGCGGCTGCAAAGACGTTGCCTGCTGCGGGCCGTAACGTTTCACCGATTGGTTCTTTTGGAACAGATGCTCTGTTGACTACCGTATCTCGACGACCATCTGCCTTATCTGCCTTTGCCCAAGCATTTCCCACGTCTGTGGAACCCCAAACATGCAAGATCTTCTTAGTCTTGCAAACGTTCCCCCGCCACGGTGTAGGTTCCGCAGCCTCTGACAGCTGAACTACGGTTGATGATATAAATCCCGCATTACCTTAAAGACCCTAAACTGCGGGAATTATGGTACATTCCTTATTATGGGTAATGTAGGGTTTATATCATCAACCGTAGAAGCCAACCAGACTTCAACCTTTTTGGGAGAGCTGCTACGACATGCTTGGCCGGAATGGGCGGCACAGTGCTGCCAAACGCTGTCGTCGGTCCTTGGGTGGAAAGCACTTATGCAGGGCGTGCTTTCGAAATGCGTTGCAGGGTTCGGCATAAGGGACTCGTCATACTCCGCCCAAGGCTTTTAAAGAGAGAGAGAGAGAGAGACCACTTTCATGCAATCAAACTTGCATGATCGCGACACAGAAATTGAAAAAGCCTGGTCGGATCCGAAGCTCTGACTGGGGGGATTGGACAAAATAGAGGTACCACAACATCCCCTCCCTTAACCGGCAAGGGGCCAAAGCCAAATCATCAAATCCTAAACTCTAAACGGTCATAAACCAAGTCGTAGCAAGAGTACTAGCCCGGTCTGCTTGAAGTTCAGGATTAGCCCTACAACGTGCTATGGCTGCTATACTTGAACCTCACTTGCCCACTGCCCGTGATACATAAAAACTCATAAAACCCACCAACTTGCAACAGAGCAGCCGGTAGGTTTGCGTACACTTTTTGCCAAAGGTGGCCGTGTAGGCGCCAGATCGGAGTGACGGAAGAGCTCCTCCAACCATGCCAACGTGCTCGCTTATGTTGCATAAACTGTACGTACAGCAATATGTGCACGATTGTGTGTATAAATATATATATATATATATATATACACACACATATACAATCTACACACATGCTTATAATATACAATTTAATACCATGTATAATTCTCGTGCATTCTCTGGGACTCCTAGCGACAAAGTCCTCGAGCCTAGCATCAGCAACGCATGACTGGATTCGCAGCCCCGGCACAAACGGCTCTTTTCCGAACGGAATTCATAGTATAGCGAAGCATAGTAGAGCACAGTATAGTATAGCATAGCATATGAAAGCATTTTAGAGTATAGTATAGCATACTATATCTGAATCTCATGGCCCAGGATTCAATGAATCAGGCCTTGGGCTTCACATCGCGCGCCCAGGGGTGCTGCACCGGTGTGAAAAGCGAGCTGCCGTCCACCTGGGCGGTCCGACCGTAGGGTTCACGCTCTCGCAACTCGGACACTGCCAGACGAGGTCCCTTGGTTCGCATATCGCAACTACTGGGCTAGGGTTTAGGGTTTCGGGGTTTAGGGTTTAGGGTTTTTGGGTTTCAGGTTTAGGGTTTAGGGTTTTTATGTTTAGGGTTTCGAGTGTAAGGGCCGCCATGTCTGAAGTCCGGCTGCGGTTGGATGGCAACCAACAAACGTCCTACTTGGAGGATCCGGGGACTTAGTAAGTAAGGTTATAAGTATCTCAAACTGGGTTAGAAGTAATTATAAGTATAGCTACCTTATTTATAACTTTACTTACTAAGTCCCACGATCCTCCACGTACGGAAGCTGGGGCAGCAACAGCTGCAAGATGCTGCAAATATCCGGTAGTGCCGTCATCCATCAACCATAACAATGCCCGAACTCCTTGCACGGTATGGGAGTTTCCGAAGATAGGGAACCCTAACACAGTACCCTAAATAATAGGATCCTTACTTTAAGGACCCCAAAACAAGGTACCCCTAATTTTCGGAAACCCCCGTATGGCAGCAAGCAGCAAAGACCTTGAGAGTCTCCCTTGCCCCGTCGCGAAACGGTTCAGAGTGGGCGCATACACTTTCCATTCTCGCTGACAAACGTGCATTGGTGAGTTGCGGGTTGCTGTGCTTGTTGTCGTGGTTTAAGTTTCCTGGCAGAACACTTCTGCCGAGGCTTCAGTGATGGCAGCTATACGCTAAGTGCGGAACTTGCATCACCAGCTGAACCCAAAGGAGGGAAGTCGCGCAGGCGTAGAAACATCTGACTACAGAAATAGATGCGAGGTTCGGCAGTGGCTGGGAGCTTTAGGCAGGCCTACCACGGAAAGGACCCTGCTAAAGACGTTGGTTTGCATCTAGGTTCCATGTATGACATCGACAAATCATTCAACAGCCCACGCGCGGGATCACAAGTCCCTGAACAGTTCCTGATTAGAAAGACCCCGTTTATGAGGTGCCTTTACTTGCCAGAAATCCCCAATAGAATTCGTCGGTGAAGCCTTGCAGAATTCCGACTTGGCCGCTCTCTTTTCCGTCAGCCGGCGCCACGGCATCCACGCGTCTGCATCAGGGGCCCCAGACTATACTTCAACAGGGAGATGTCCTGCTAAAATGTGGGAAAAATCGTGTGAAGAACCTCGGCAACACAGGGCACGGCCGTGCCGCTCCCCGGCTCAGGCGGGATGACGAGAGATCCCCTTGAAAAGTAATCCCCAAACCCCGTAGTTGCAGAGAGTATCCTGAAACCCCAAAATCCAAGAGCCGGGCCTCGTCAGCGGGAAGGCCTGAGGAGCTCTGCAAGGTTCTTGCCTTTGCAGACCTTCCACGGGATCCGAGACTTCGAGTCCTTGCAGTTGGCATCGGCCTTGGCGTGAAGCAGCTCCCGGATCACCACTTCATAGCCTCCGACCGCCGCTAGGTGCAGGGCCGTCGTTTCCTCTGTTCTGCTGGAGGGGTTCGCACGCTTGTGAAGCAAGAACTGCACAACGCTGGAATTCCCCTTCTCGCAGGCCACGCACAGGGCGCGATCGATGTCCTCTGCACCCAGCGGCCTCCACTTGCAAACAAGCTTTATGAAGCCGGAATCCGATCTGGCAGCGGCCAGTAGAAACGGAAGCCGACCCTTAGGATCCCTCGCATCAAGATCTGCTCGCCTTTGCAAGACGTGCTCTACCATCGCCTCGGTACTTGCAGTCAAAGCGTAGTGCAGGACGGGCACCCGGTCCCGGATCTTGAGCTCAGAACCGGCCGCGCCGGCACTCAGCAGCACGTCCACGGAGAGCACATCATCACTGGATACTGCATACTGCAGGGCCACCTTGCGGTTACGATCCTGCCGGTGAATTTCGGCTCTTGCCGCCACCAAGGCAGACACCACGGGACCAGCGCCTGCGACAGCCGCGCAGTGCAACGACGTCCTTTCGGCTTTACCTGTCCGGTTCACCTGCGCCTGAGCCTCAAGGAGGATGCTTACCGTCTCTAGGTGGCCGACGGCAGCGGCAGCATGAAGAGGAGTTTCAGTGTCTTCTGGCCGGTTGATGATCGCCCGGTTCTCCAGCAGAAGCCTTGCCACAACACTCGAGCCCCCTGCCGCAGCAAGGTGGAGGGCTGACTTGGAATCATCATCTAAGCAGTTCGTGTCGGCTCTCGCGCGTAAGAGCAGCCTCACCGTGGGTACATGGTTGAGCATCACTGCAGAGTGAAGAGGTTGTGCGGTCCCCTCTGGTCTGTTGACGTCAGCCCTCTCTTCCAGAAGCCTTCCCACGATGTAGTCGCTCTTGTATCGTATCGTGCTGTCTAATGTTTTCGCCAACACCAGGTCGGTGGTCAAACCAAGGACACTCCAATCAGTTACGGCTATCTGGTTGATGGTCGCGGCATAAGGGCGGGAGTTTTCAAGCTGGCTGAGCAGTTCCGCTGCCGCTTGCCTCTGCACAGCATGCGCCGGAGGAACCACCACAAGTTGAAGAACGTCCGGGGCCTCTGCCAAAGCACTCCATCGCGTAAGCGCAGTGTTTTCGTGCAAAAGGGTGACCTTCGCATCGCTCGAACTGCCGATCCCACTGCCCAACCCCTACTGTACTATAGGGGCCTTAGTAGTTAGAATCGAGTTTGGGCTGGTTCTCTCGACTCTGCATCCAGAGACAGCCTCGCACCTGCTGCGAGCTGATGCCCTTCTGCCCCGCGATCTTGAAGGTGAGGGTCTGCAGTCCGGCAGGAAAAGGCGGAACCTCATAGCTGCCAACCTGGACAAGTGGTGAGCCCGATGCTGCCGCTGCAACCTCAAACCTTCAATTCAACCTTGAGCTGAAAAGTTGCACCCTCGGATGGTGCTAAGACCAAACTTGCCGTACATCAAGAATGCCAACCAGCCAAGAGAGGCGAAGCTGAGCCTTCACTCGGCGAAACCTTCTTCCCGGAAGCTACTGCCCTTGACCTTGCGTTAAGCTGCGCGCCTCCTCGCCAGAAAAAGACGTCACTCGCACAGCCCATGATTTTGAAGCCATGGGAAGCCGTTCAAGAGCCTACAAAGAACTCCCGCATGTCATAGCAACTCTGCAATAAGCTGCGTCGAGAATCCGTGTGGATATTCCTTGAGCCAGGCCAGTCGGATTCGAAATCAGGGCTGCATGCGTTTGGGCGTAGTCTTGGGACGTATGTTGCCTCCAACCCAACCTCTAAGGTAACCTTTCACAGCCCATGAAACGGCTGCCTGTAGAACCGTTTTGGATTTTGGCGCTCACACTCGGACAATCCAGGCGAGGCAAAGGGTTCGGAGTCTGATATGTGAAACGACGCTAGTGGGAGAGATCATGGCACGAAGCAACAACTAGACTATCCAACACATAAAGTGACTGTACTCTCTTGGACCGTTTTGGCTTAGGGATTTGGGGGCTTAGGGGGTTCAGGGTTTAATAATCAATTGTTGAAATTTAAGGGGTTTCGGCACTCACACTCGGACAATCCAGGCGAGGGGTGTAGGGGTTCGGGACTGGCCAGGGCCAGGTCCCGCTCATGTACCGAGGTGACGGCTGCAGCACTGCAAGCAGAGCCGCGATCGGTGCTGGCACTGCCTGGATGTGAGGCTTCCCAAAATGATCGATGGCTGCTCGGAGAGAGCGAGAGAGAGAGAGAGAGAGAGAGAGAGAGAGAGAGAGAGAGAAATAGAATCAACAAACACTGGTACTTGATGGTAATGCTGATCTTTTGCTACTTCAGAATGACAACTCGTTCTGTTCACAATATCAGGAGACTGTAGAACAACCCTCACATGACGTCCACAATGCTACTCACAGCCATGGTAATGATAGCTATACGACGCACGCTCCCGCCTAGAGACTCGAAAGCGCTTGCTAAACATCCCCTTATTGAATACTGAGGCAGCAGAGAGATCCTGGATAGAACTCCTGGACCCCGAATAAACGCTATAAGAGACCTTTGACAAGGCACTTCTGCTTCCCTTTTTGCATACAGAGCTCCAAACGTGTGCATGTGAACTCCTTACTTACTACTCCAATAAGCCACAGAGATGGAAGGTTAAACTTTCCGATTCCTACTAAACCACCAGAACCCCAAAAAAGTTTAAAGGTTGGGCATTGGGGATCTCAGCATAAGAACCGTAATGCGGCGGGCCTCGATTCGCGCTGGGTGGCTTCATCATCCTCGGCGCAGAGGAAGCCTCGTGGGTGTCTGGTCCCTTCGCGTTTTTGCAGGCGCAACCCTGGTTTAGGGTTTAGGGTTTAGGGTTTAGGGTAACCCTCAACTCTGGATCACGTGCGGCTTGATGGCCTTTTTTGGCTTTCGGGTTTTGGTTCTCTACGCTCTCCCCTCTCGGACTAGCCAGGCGAGGTCTGTCTATGGCCAGGGTCAGCAGTGACAGAACTGGAACGGCGTCCATAACCAAAATTTGGTCACGATCTAGGGTTTTGTCGGTTGTGAAGGAGGTGGAAAAAGAGAGTCCTCATGGTACTGTTGAGGGGAGATTCGCAGCACTGCCAAAAAAAGCCAATCGGCACGCAAGCATCATTGCTTGCTGAGCCTATTCCGCATTCTCGGCCACCTTACAAAGCGTGTTCACAAGGCCCACTTGGAGGCCCTTTTGACTTAGTAAGTAGGGTTAGTAAGGTGGGTTATGGGGATTATAATAGGGTTTCTAGGGGATACTAAGTAGACTTACTAAGTCAAAAGGGCCTCCAAGCAATGAGCACACAGAGCTCCCAAAGCTCCCAAAGCTCGGGACTGAAAAAGCTAAATCCCGAAAGCGAAAGACGAAAGCTAGCACCCTCAAGCTCGCAGAGCTTCAACCCTGCCCGCCGCCCCATCCCCACTCCTCCAAAACACACTTACCCGATTGACAACCCCCGACATCCGTAGGAGAAAACTAGCTGAGCACTGAAATTCAAATCTCCGGAGGGATCGTTTCATCGCAGCAGCTGCGCCAGCTTTACTGCATTGCACGCTCGGCGAGATGACTTTCCTCAGTCGGCTGTTACGAGGATTCTCAGTGCTTCAAGACTTTCGGATTCCGGCTTCGAGGTACTCTATTCTGGAGTCCTTATAGTAAGGATCTTACTATTTAGGTATTATATTAGGGTCCCCTATGTGCGGAAACCCCCACACATGGGATTTGGGACTTTGCGGCTCCAAAGGATTCTCACAGGGTAGCAGGTGGAGGAGTAGTAGTAGTAGTAGTAGTAGTAGTAGTAGTAGTAGTAGTAGTAGTAGTTGCCTCCTGCATAGTAGTAGTAGTAGTAGTCGTCGTCGTAGTCGTAGTAGTAGTAGTAGTCGTCGTCGTCGTCGTCGTAGTCGTCGTAGTCGTAGTCGTAGTCGTAGTCGTAGTCGTAGTCGTAGTAGTAGTCGTCGTCGTCGTCGTAGTCGTAGTCGTAGTAGTAGTAGGGCCTCCCTGCAATCAAAGCTGCTCAGCTGTTTGTGGAGTCCAGGTCTTCAGCATCTCGAACATCATGATTCCTTGGTGGTTTAGGGTTTTGGGCTTAGTGTTTAGGGGGGCTTCTGAAACTTTTAGCCCAGGTATATCTGGGGGTTATGGTTCATATAGACACCCTTAAAGTTAAAGTCCTGAGAGCCAACCAGAAGAGCGCCAAGATTCGGTCTGCCACTTTGATAGGAGTCGACCTGGGTCGGGATTCTTATACGGGCTCTTCTTGCCCGAACATGTACACACACACACCACACGTACATATGTACATATATATATATACACATATGTATATACACACCTATGCATATATGTATACACATAACTGTGTAGATATGTGTATACATACATATATATATATATATATATCTTTACCATATATATATATACATATCTCTTTATTTATTTATATTTATAACTTAAATACATCTACATCTACATCCATATGTGTGTATATATTGGTGGAAGGTCAAAGTCCATAACTACCAAGTAAAGAAAGTATTATGCGTATACATATGGCACACGGCACTTCGAACTTCTGTTCGAACTTCTGGCCAGTCTCGATCTTGAATGTTGCATGGAGTTTCAGCAAACAGGAACACCCGTGTAAAATCCGAAACGGCTAAATACGGGTATCCTCACCACAACCCCCGGCCCCCCTCGTACTTTCTGAAAACCACGCAGCATTGAAAACCAAAGTGTGTCGATCTTCGCCGTCGCCCTGCAAGCCCTTGTGCAACTTCTCTGAGGCGGTCGCTGGTCCTTGCGCTCGGGGCTGGTCTTCTCCACCTTTCAGGAGTGAGCATTCAGCCTTGTTAGTCATTCACAGATGGGACAAGCCGGGCGAGTTTTTGTGGTTGTTTCCGGCTTTGGTCTTGTAAGGCTCGTGCAGTGGCTTCTTGCACGGCGCTTCCGGTCCGCCTGGCCTTTCATGAAAACCTAGCCGCAGCCACAGTAAAGCGATTGCAGCAACTAGGGCTCAAGCGTAGGTCATGGGGCGACTCACCAACAAGTATGGAGGTCGGGCTCTGTGCGTGTTCGGACTGGGGTTGTTGCGGGTGTCAGACTCAACTGTTTGGGTCTGAAGCAGTGGGCTGAAAGGTACGGCGTCCTCACGTACGGTCCTTGCAGCGTAATATATAGGAGCCCACTATACTCTCACTTAAACAAAGGTACCCCCAAAATCATCTGGATAGTTATTCAAGGCCCCCATATTATAATCCCCAAGCCGCGCCTGGGTTTCTCCTTGCTGGCGCTCCTTGCACCGCAGGGCCTGCTGCCCACTGGCAGGCGGCCGGATCCTGCTGAAAGGAATTCTGGGTAGCATGATGAGAGACCCCTTAAAGGGTACCCCTTCCGAACCCCACTTCTGGCTCTCCTAAAAGGGACTGTATTGAGAGGGTCTACCTCCGAGGCTCCCCCTAATCCTAACTCCCAAATTCTGACAGCCGGAGCGCTCGGATCAAGGTGTGAGCACTCTAGCCGTAGTAGCAGTAGTAGTAGTAGTAGTAGTAGTAGTAGTAGTAGTAGTAGGAGCTCAACTGCTTCGAAAGTCTGGATCTCGAGCCACTCTTCGGGGTTGGGGCCGGGAAGTCCAAACCAAGCCTGCTGCTGCCTAATCATAAAACCCTGGGCATCAAAATAGCCCAAAAGCCCTACATAATATGGTCTTCGGGCCCAAAAGCCTTAATGTATGAGTCCTTAGATGCCTAGGGAAAGCCATTAGAGGTGTGACAACCCGGCTTCGGGGAGTTTGATACAGCCTTGATACTATACTAAACTATACTAAACTACACTAAACTATACTAAAGTATACTAAACTATACCTGATCGCCCTCACGATAGCTTTGCTGACCATTACGGCTCCCATTTTGTGGCAACCACGCCTCCTACACGCAAGCAACCTCCAGCCACATGCCCAAACTCAAAAAGTGCTTTCAAGACGGGAAGGATGTGCTCAGACGAAAACCCTTTGTCCCAAGAAAGCCTGTATGAGAGACCCTTCATAAAGGGATATCGACTCACACGCTCGCACAAGGCAGGCATGGCTTCAGGCGTTAAGTCCGCTGAGCTTGCTACTTGTACACCAAGGGACAAAACGGGATTAGCAACACCAAGACCCAACAAAAGGGATATCGGGGTCTTCGCCCTAAGCCCTGCATAGCGGCCTGCTCCGAACCTTTACCTCCTTCGGCGACTCCGGCGGTGCAGCAGCGAAGAGGGCCTGGAGCTACCAGGGACTCTAAAATATAGGGGGGGCCTATGATTACAAAAGGGTTCGGGGTTCCATTACAAGTACCATACTTAGAATACGGAGCCCCTAAGAATAGCATGGTTACTTACCCCATGCACTAATGTGCAAGTAGCATACTTAGGATACGCAACCCCAAGGAAGAACGCATTGCTAACTACCCTATGGCCCTACGCACTGCCCACACTTGGAGGATCACGGGACTTAGTAAGTAGGGTTATAAGTACCTTAAGTGAGGTTATAAGTACTTATAAGTATAGTTACCCTATTTATAACCCTACTTACTAAGTCCTATGGTCCCTAAACCCTAAACCCCCGCCCTCCCCCATGAAGCCTTGGACTTCCATTCGGCCATGGAAATGGCCGGCCGACTTGGCAAGTGGATCTCCTCCTGGTTTCGAGGGTTCAGGGGCTCTTCGGTGCAGGGTTTCGGGTCTTAGGTTCAGGGCTCTTTGTTCCAGGGTTTGGGGTCTAAGGTTTCGGGTTAGTGTTCCGCATATCCTCCTAATTAGTTCAGGGTTCGGCGTCTAAGGTGTTTAAGACTCAAGGGCTAAGGCTTCAGGATCTCCTCCCGGTTTGGGGTTGGCTTGGGTGGGGTTCGATTTGACCTCAAGGGGTCACTTCAGCTGCGCTCGCTTTTCTTGCCGAGAGTTTTGGGATTCAGACTGCCGCAGCTGGGACAGGGGCTGGTGGTCGGAAAAGGCCGAGCTCTGAGACTTCCAGGAGTTTTTGTGGGTGGAATGTGGGTTGCGAGGAATCGAAAGCCGGAAGCGTCCTTGTCGAGAGAGCCTGCTCTCCATCTTTCGAAAAATCCTACGAATTCAAGCACCAACCCGAAGCGCTTGAGGCGGACATAGAAGTCAGAAGCCCTGCAAACCAACTTGGTGCACCTCTGACGCCTCGCTGTTTTGTGTTTTGAGACCAGGAAAGTACTCGCCAAGAGTCGGTTGGCTCGATGGTGGAGTCCTGCAAGCTCTCACATCTCCAAGCTCCGAATGCCCCTTTGCTCCATGATCACTTGCACAGGGCATCACAGGGCCTCAACTGCAGGCAAACTATCTCTTTTCGCTACTGGTCTCAAGGCTAGCCAGTCTACGACCCTAAACCCAGAATATAATACACTATACATATAATTTTATATAGATATAATATAATGATATAATATGCAATAATGTAATAATGGCACTGGCCACCTGAGCCAACGCGGCAGGTGCTGCAGGGCCAGATCGGGGCGCTGCGACGACGGTGGCCAGGGGCCTCCGTGTTAGACTTTGGCTCTCAAGTCGGCCAGTCCCTGTTCTGGGAACCCAAAAAGGCACATAAGCATAAGCATTGTATAGGGATATCCCTACCTTATTGGGCTTCATTATAAGGGGATTTATATGGGATATCCCTACCCTAATTTTTGCTTATGTGCGTTTTTGGGGCCCTATGTTCGGCTCTGGTAAACTCTTCCTCAACTCCGAAGCTCTGCCCAGAAGCCGAGAAAGATCGGCAATGAGACCGAACTTGCACAAGTACTGCAGCGACGGCCTACCCCCTCTTGTCTGGAACAACTCGGCAGGCCAGCGCAAAAAACAGTTACGGCGCGACGAGGCAACGAGATGAGACGACAAGCCCTTGTGCGGTCCCTTGTACCGCACGCGTGAGACCTTCCCTATATCCAATTTTCACGACCTTCCTGGCTTGATCTCCTCCCCTCGCCCAAAGACCAGCTCTGCTTCGGCAACGTCCAAATTCCACAGCTTTTTCCAGGACTGGTAGCTGCGACAATCCACGCCAAGACAGCCCCCACAAAACTCCCCCCAAATTCCGATGGGGGCCTCTCTGCGGGCGCCGGCGACGGAGCAGGCGCCGCCCGTGGGAGGATCGGCTTGGCTGGGGAGCTGGGAGCCTTAAGCACTCGATTACAACTCAGGCGTTTCATAAGGGGCCTACGGCTGGAAATCGAAATCTAAAGGTCCTAGGCCCTAGGCTTCACAAGCTTTAGGATGGGTTTAGAGGTTTTCGGTTGTCTTGTTTTGGGCTTAAGGTTCGGTTGTTCAGCAGAGATTCAGCAGTTGGGCGCGCAGGTTTGGCATCAACAGCTCTGAGGGGGCCAGACCAAAAAACAGCCCAAAAAATACAAGACCTCATTCCCCACTATGGACCCCTTAACCCTAAACTCCATGTAATGCTGAAACATTACCACAACGCTGTAAGAACCTTTCACTCCCTCAAAAAGCGTACGTGCACGCCGGGCTGCAAGCTCGGGCACCAGGGCATCGGAAGGCCCTGTGGGTTCAGGGGTTTAGGGTTTAGGCTTTACGGTTGCAGGGTTAGGCGGTTGAGGGTTCAGGGTTTAGCATCTCCGAGAGTTCTGAAAAGGTTCCGTTGCGATTAGAATCAGGATTCTATGAGGCTTCCTGTTGAAGGGTACTTTGCGGGTCTAAGGTCTAAGGCTTCATGGGGTTTATAGGTTTAGGTGGTGGGGTTTTGCGGGATGGATTTGATTGAGGCCTGCCGAACAACTTGGGGTTTCGGCACTCACACCTGGGACAAGCCTGGAGGGGCTCAGCACCTAGCTTGCACACGTTCAAGGTTTAGTGACGGGGATAGCAGCTGTAAGTCCTGGATAGCAGCCATAAGTAGGGAAACACAACAACTTCGCGATCTGCATGCGCAGGGCAGTGCCTCAACACACTGTGATTTCAAGCTCAAGCTATCTCCTCTTCATCGTATCACAATAATATTAATAATATTGTCCCCTTGTGCTGCCTCCTGCTTCGTCATCAACTGGGCAAGGCATGCCTGCCAGCCGCTGCACAAGGAGAATCGAGAAGGGTTTTCAAGGCACAATAACCGCGTAATATAGGGGCTTTGATGATTACAATGACGGTTTGGGGGCATATTCTACTACACTTCTAACAAGAAACCCTAAAGAACATGAATACCATCACTTTGACTTCTGAAGGGCTTCAATCCCCGAAGAGCCTGGGCGCGGTCCCAAGTGAAGCGCGCGGATGGGCGAAGGCGCCTTCCAAGGTTGTTCTTGAAGATGTGAAGAATTTAGGGTTTAGGTTTGGGGTTGAGATTTTTTGTGGTTTCGGCGCTCGCACTCGGACAATCCAGGAGGGTTTAGGGGTTTTGAGTTTGGGGGTTTAGAGTCTACGGCCCTACGGCCGTTTTGACACTTGATTATCATTTTCATCGGATTTTGATTCAGGGGCAACACGTTTTTGACGCTCAATCCTCTGTTTTGACCCCCACCACTGCTTGATCACTGATTCTAATCCCTCGTCTGTTTTGTTGACCCCAACCACCTTTTTCTGACCCCCGATTTGCGAATTCACAGTGTTATTTTAAAAAATAGAAAAATGTGGCCTCCTTACCTAGTTCCTCTCCTCGGGACGAATGCCAAAAATGTGTCCATGCCGGCTGCAATCCTACATTTGCCAAATCCACAGAAACTTTCGGGATCCTGCAAGGGCTCGGGGCTAAGGAGGGGATGAGTGATTAAACAAGAGTGCGAGGCGGGTCAAAGTCAAGTGGAGAAAAGATTAATATAGGGGCCTTAACAGTTAGAATAGGGTTCTAGGGCCCATCCATCATACTATAATTCTAAGAAGGAATCCCCAAAAATAGTATTGGTAACTATCAAGGCCCCTATATGACAAGGGGGTTGAAGACAAAGGTCTTCGGTGGGGGTGAGGGGGTGATGCAGGTGGGGGGTTTCGAAAAAGAGGCGCATCGGCGTTTTAAAGTCGAGGGTCAAACCCAAAAGGGTGCCCTTTAATTTAGCTTCAGATACTGATGCTGACAGTATGCTAGTGTCACTTAGGCATCTATGTCGAAACTATGTGCGTACTGTAAACATATATTATATATACACATGTATGTATGCATGGGTGGATAATGCATGTATGGATGGATGGACGGACGGACGGATGGGCGGAGGTAGCACTTTTATGTATGTGTTTGTACGTATAAATAATATATATATATATATATATATATAATGTTGCATATGTACTTATACATAGGTCTCCAAGAAAACCCTGACCCAGGCTGCATGCAGTCCTTGGCGATGCGCTCCGACAGGGGACTTGCAAAGTCCTGGCTCGGTGAAACTTTCGCTCGGTTTGGGATGGCCGATTTGAAGCCGAGTGCTTGAAGAGAGTTGGGTTGATACAGTATGATCCATATTCGGGCTATGCCAATTCTGTTAAAACTCAAGTTGCTGAAACTGTTTGGGTGTCCAACTCCCACGGTGTCCTAACCTTCATCCGATACTCCGAGAGTACCTTTTTGTGAAACACGGCTCTACGGCTATCCAACCCTGAGCTCATGTCAGGCTCCCCGTCCGGGAGTGCCGAAACCCCTAAAGCCCGAAACCCCTAGAGATCCCTTTAAAGGAACCCCAAAGCCCTAAACCCCCATAGATCCCTTTAAAGGAACCCTAACCCTATAGATCCCTTTTAAAGGAACCCTTCTAAGCCCTTATAAACCCTAGGAACCTTGCAGTCGGGGCGGGTGCGAGGACGCTTCGGCGGCGAGGCGACGATGGGCGAGCCGATGGGCGAGGAGGGCTCCGCGACGTCCCGTGAGGAACTCTCCTTGCTTGGGGGTCCAAGGCTCCTGATGTCTTAAAACCCGGTTTCGGGTTTTAGGGTCATTAAACCCTTGGGCTTAGGGTTTATCAATGGTTGCTTGACCACCCATTTCTTAACACTTCCGTGCGCTGCGAAGCATCCCGGTCTGGGTATTCTTACACTATCGAGGTTCTGATTGGGTGCGAGTGGTATAACAGTTAGGATTAGGAGGAGGGGGACCCTTGGGGAGATCGACCCTCTCGATTAGGTCCTGTTTAAGAGAGCCAGGTCTGTTTAATACTACCTACAAGTAAAAGCCTTGGCTCTTTCAGCCGGAGATTCCTGGAGCGTGGAACTAGCGCTCTTTATGGCTCAGACCAATGCCCAACCCTTTTGCTACTGGACTACAGACTAGCCAGACGACGACCTGCAATCATCTTGCCCGAGCCTAAACCCTAAACCCTAATCCCATAATATACTCTAATCCCTTATATCCTAAACAAGGTGGATCCGACACATCCCAAGACCCTGCAACTGCACTGCACGACCACTCCTGCTCGGCTGTAGGAGCCTTGGCTGCGCTAGACATGGTGCCGCTCGGACATCTTGGACCTCACTTGGAGGCCCTTTTGACTTAGTAAGTAGGGTTAGTAAGGTGGGTTATGGGGATTATAGTGGGGTTTCTAGGGGATACTAAGTAGACTTACTAAGTCAAAAGGGCCTCCAAGCATTGCAGAGCAGGGCTGGAGCTTCGTTGCGCTGGGGTGGTGGGGGTGATCCAAGATCCACAAAGACAAGACTTTGAACTCTAAAGCCCAGGCCCTTAAACTCCAAAGCTAGAACTCCCATCAAGCCCTGTGAGAGATCGGCGCCTGTGCTGCGAGGTTGACTCTTGGGCGTCGAAGTCTCTTTCTGCTGGCTCTCCTCTTTTTTCACACTCACACTCTCCTTTGAAGGCCCGGGCTTGGGTTTTTTTTGAGGGGGGGGTTAGGGTTTAGTGGCCCAAGGTCTCCTTCCAAGGCCCGGGCTTGGTGCTTGATCGCTTGGAAGTGAACCCGAGGTTCGGTTTAGAGTGCAAAAAGCAGAAGTTGTTACTTTGGGGTCCAGGGGTTCAGGGCTCAGGATTGTTCTGCTGGCTGCCCTTCGCGGGCCCCAAGGCCTCACAAATGCAAACGGGGCTGAATGGTTAGAAGAAGGGTTTGGGGGTACATTACAGTAGAGGCAACAAATCGTGATGATGATTTGGCGAACAGCATACGGAGCAAGAGCAGTAGCAACACGATCATAAGCCGCATCATGCGAACCACATCACCACCAGCGCCACCATCATAACCGCCAGCATCCAAACCACAACGACGATGACAAAAACGATGGTGGTCAAGGTGAGGCGTCAGCAGGAAACCCTTTTTGCATCCAGGCCTCCTGTGGTGTTGCCGGGTTATCAGCGCACTTGCACTGAAGATACGAAGAAAACAGCACTCAACATGCGACCCCACTAGCTCTCGTGGCAGCAGGAAACCCTAAACCCCTAAACCGTAAGCCCTAAACCAAACACTCGCACTCGGAGACTCCAGGTCCTGACAGAGCTGCGAGAGGAAGTGCTGCATGATCCAGGACAGGTTGGCTGATGCCTCGGAGCTGGGGAACCACACTCGTACCAGAAATTCTCTGCAGTAACTACACCCCCCCTCCCAAAAGCAAAACTCCAAGAGTGCAGCATTTAGCCTCGTGCCCCTGCCTGAACAGCGAAAATCCCTTCTCCCGGGCCGCTGAACACCGGGTCGTCAACCAAGGAGCCGAGCAGGACTTCAAGGGATCTCGCTGGTCCCGGACGCACGGCAGCCTTCGCAGACTCAGCGCACAGGCATTAAAAAAACATAGGGCCCTTAATAATTCGAAGAGGGTCTGGGGGCCCATTATACTTGTTTGGGAACCCCAGAAATAGTATGGGTAATTCTGAAAGACTGCACAGCATCCGGGCGGCCAGAAGGGGCCGTCCACGGAGTCGGCTTCCGCCAGCGCCTTTGCGAAGGGCCGCCCGGGGAGGCACAGGCAGAACGGCGCCCCAGCTCAGGCTACGTCTTCAGCAAGGCCAACTACGTACATCAACATCTGGCGTGTGTCAAAAGAAATACCTCACAATATATAACAGCTTTAAGAAGAATCAAAACAAAGTCATGAGTCAAGCATGAAAGAAGGTGTCAGTACCTCGACAATGGGGTCTTGGCCTGTGCGATCCATTTCTCATACTCCGGCGCCGCCTGTCTCTGTCGCTCCACCTGGCGTCAAAGGTCTATGCAAACTCTGGGCTTGCATCAAGTAGGGGAGGATGTGAAGAAGGGATGGTCTGCGAAGACGTTTCGGGTGTTGAGCAACATCAGGTGTCCATTGGCCGATTCTCAGCGATCCCACGACCGGCCATGCAAACCCAACAAAGAGCCCAGGCTCTTCAGCAGTCGATCAGAATCCAACATCCCCCCGACTCCCACAGAAAGCCCAGCCCTAAACCCTAAACCCTTTTGCAGCGGGCTTGCTTCGTCGCCCGGGGACCCTAAACCCTAAACGCCAAGGCCGAGCCTCTGCATCGGCCACCCTGGAGAGAAAGTCAGGGCTCCCGCTTCGGCTGTGCCGTGCATTGCACGCCCCCGTCGGGCTGGGATTCAAGCAACGGGGGTTCCTGTAAAAGTACCCTTAGTAGTACAGGGCCCCAAATTCGGGGATATACTTTCTAGATCCTCCCGAGTTCACATCTCAAGCCGCAAAGTAGCGGGCTCTCATTTTGAGGTTGCTTGGGGGCGCGCAGTCTGCGCCAAGGGGCACTGAACTATCGGTTGGCAGCCAATGAGCCACAGCACAGCCTCGCCCCAAACCCAAATCAAGATCCCCTTTCACCACGGGGCCAAGAGGCTGTGCCGTTGCCTCGCAGACGCTGCCCAGCACCCCCAGCAGCGGCTGCATGCAAGGAGCCTCGACTCTTAAAAGGCTGGATCTTATGGAAGGAACCCTTTATCCAGCCATTTTGGGCAACCAGTAAAGAATACGATGTTGGGTTCTTTGAAGGAAACGGTGCTATAAGAATTCCCTTTTAACGGGACCCTTCAAGGAACCCTTTGTAGTTCGAAACCGTTTAGAGTGGCACAAAAGTCAAGAGTAGGGGCCTTAATCATACGAACAGGGCTTTGCTTCTTTATAGTAGAGTTGTAGTCAATCAGGAACCCAAAGGACCAATATAGGTAGTGATTTAGGCTTCTACATTACAGAAAGTGGCAGTCATAATGACGAAGACTCATCGTCACGATCATCATCATTATCATCATCGCCTCTCCGTGGTCATCGCCACCACCACAGATATTTAGTAATGACCTCAAAGTCTGAGCTACCGTTGAAACATCTGCAACCCCTACTACAGACTGCAACCCTTACTGCAAAACCCTAGAGGGGTTAACCGAGTGGCCCTTTTTAAGCACCCGAAAACCCCGCAGAGAGGCCAATACCCCTTAATTAAGGAATATAGCTTAGTTCATGATATGAAGCCCCTTATAATTTAAGCCATATTCCTTATTTAAGGTGTATTGGGCTCTCTGGGCCTGCTCCTCCCAAACCCGGGGGCTCCCGACCATGGCTCCGCCACGCACGGAGGCCGGGGTCTCCACTTCTGAGCCGCACGGCTCCCAGGTTTAGGGTTTAGGGTTTAGGGCGACGGCGCTCACACTCGGACAATCAGGGTTTTCGACGCTCACACTCGCACAGGCAGGCAAGGCTCCACATAGTCCAACGATCAAGGTCTTTTTCCAACGATCAAGGTCTTTTCCCTCTCGCATGGCTGGCATCAATGTCCACAGGCGAGGCAGCATAGGAAAGCAACGGTGCTTGCATGGCTCCAGTCCGGATAGCACTGCATTCGTTGAAACTCATTTTAAATGAGTGTTCTGCTTCAGGATGGTCAAGTTTTGACAGACTCCAAACGCAGACAAGATTTGAGCAAGCTATACACTATACAGAAACATCTCCTCATCAGACTCTCACTCGACTTCAGTGTTTTGGACTCGGTTCCAAGGCCAGGTTGCAAATACAACAGTCGAGCCACATTGAGGGGTAAGCACAAAAGACCCCTGGTTGCTCTGATACTCGTCTGCAGTTTTGCACCAACATGATCCCGCCATCGTCCAGCAGTATCCACAGCATCAGGTTATCAGGAAACAGTAACCCAGCAACATCACGTTTTGCGAACGCAGTGTCATCGGAGGTACATGCCAGTTTACTGTTTCCCAATAAGCCTCTGCAACAGCAGTCCCAAGACTCCAGAGAAATACCCAAAGCACTCCACAGCTCCGGAAAAACCTAGAGCAAGTATCGCTGTTCAAGGTCTAGGATTTAGGGTTCTGAGGTTTATGGTTGTTTTTTCGAGCTATACCTGAAATACAACCCTAAACTTTTGGACTTAGGGCAATGGCAGGAGGGCTGAGGAAAGAAACGGCAGTCCTCATGTGGGAGTTTCCGCAAATAGGGGACCCTGATGTAGTGCCCCAAATAGTAGGATCCTTATTATAAGGACCCCAGAATAAGGTACCCCCAAATTTCCGGAAACTCCGGAGAAGCGTCGCGACTTCGGGAACAGAAGGTTGCACCGTCTCAAGATCATGCTGAAACAGCAGGCACAGGGGGCGGTCCAGGTCTCTGCAGCGCGCGCCTGAGGCCTGCATGTGCTAGGAAACGCCGGTACTCGTGTTTTTGCATCCTCGTCGCACAAACGCCAGGAGGTCTCTGAAACGGAGCCTTTGAGGCATGTTTTAGCCATTGGCCCTTGCCGACAGGTGTCCTACAATGCCTACAGTCCTACATGACAAGCTGGGTTGAGCTTGTTGCGCTGTGCCCCGAGCACTCGCCACGGTGATGAGAAGGTACTGGTACCCCGGAGTTGCAGGCTTAGTCATCGTCATTCTGCGACTGCCCTTGAACATGTGCTTCCTCAGTCTGGGGGACCTGCTACTCCTTCTGACAAAAGCACGCTGGGACAGCGTTGCGGCTTCGTCCCGGTGCTCGAACTGGGCCCCAAAACGCCCGCCTTGGGGGGGCCTGGTATTACTGGGTGAAGTGTGCTGCTGGGGTTTGTGGGATTTGTGGGCCCTTGGGGCGTCTGTCATGTCGGAGTGCCTGCGACAAATATAGTACAGGCCGCTTGCTTTCTTGGAAAGCTCGGAGATGCCGCAGACAAACATGACAGGAATACCCCACGGTGAGCTCAACAAGATGAAGGCTGCACCTCATTTCTTAATTCCACCAGGCGGCAGTATCTCGTGTGAATGAAACAGTCAAGAAAAACGTGGCTTCGCCATGCAGCTGCCGTGACGATAACAAGTGTCGCAAATCTCGGCGCTGGATGTACTGGATGTACTAGGCTATATTCACTTCGTTGATACATTGTGATGGCAGCTGCTCCGGGCAGTGCTTTTCCAGTTTTGGAGATGGCACAGCGCCTCCTACTGATTTCAACGGGTGCTCAAGAGAAGGTGCTTCTTCAGCCGGCCTGCGCATTTCACTCGGAAATCCATCTGCTATCCTCCCGATCTGAGACAAGCACCGCCCACAGCAAGCCCTCATGTCACCAATTCTTTCGCCGTATTGCCAACATGGTGTACATCTGTATGCAAAAACACCTAAACGCATATACACGTATACACTTATACATACATGTGCACGCAAAAACACAAAATACACACACAAACACGCGCCTATCTATCCATATATATATGTATATATATATATATATATATATATATATGCAATATACATATACTTATGAACACATACAGCACATACTTGGATGTCCACCTGTAAAAGCAGAAATGTATGCATATACATATACGGCGCGAACATAGACATGTACATCCCCATGTATTACATGTATGTGCATGTGTATACATATAAGTATATGTATATACATATGTATATTTACAGGAGTATACATATATACATATATATATATGTGTGTATGAGTATGTGTGTAATTGTGTGTATATATGCATGTGTGTACCTATGCATGTGTGAACATATGCGTGTATGTTCGTGAGCGCACACACACACACAACTACTTATGTGTATATGTATATGTATATATATATATATATATATATATGTGTGTGTGTGTTTTTTGAATGCAAATACCAATATGTATATTATACGTAGGTATTCATACCCATGGACACCTGCATTGCTGCATATCTGCATACACACATGCATACATACATACATACATACACACATGTGCACACACGTAAAAACCAACCTATATACATACATACATACATACCTACATACATACATACATACATACATACGTGCAAATGTGTATGTGTACATGTGTATAAATATATAAATATAGAATTATATAAAAATATGAAAATACAAACATATAAATAAATCTATAAAAATATAAAATATAAATAGAGAGAGAGAGAGAGAGAGAGAGAGAGAGAGAGAGAGAGAGAGAGAGAGAGAGAGAGAGAGAGAGAGAGAGAGAGAGAGAGAGAGAGAGAGAGAGAGAGAGAGAGAGAGAGAGAGAGGAGAGGAGAGAGAGGAGAGAGAGAGAGAGAGAGGGGAGAGAGAGAGGAGAGAGAGAGAGAGAGAGAGAGAGAGAGAGAGAGGAGAGAGAGGAGACGAGAGAGAGAGAGAGAGACGAGGAGAGAGAGAGAGAGAGAGAGAGCAGAGACGAGAGACGAGAGAGAGAGAGAGAGAGAGAGAGAGCGAGAGAGAGAGAGAGAGAGAGAGAGAGGTCGAGAGAGAGAGAGAGAGAGAGACAGAGACAGAGAGAGAGAGAGAGAGAGAGCGAGAGAGAGAGAGAGAGGGGGGGGTCTGTGTGTGTGTGTGCGTGTGTGTGCATGTGTTTGTGTAACCTATGTGTGTATTTCAATATATGCTGGCGGTCTTTGGCCCGATCGGCCTGGGTCGGCGCATCCTCCAACGCGGCTCGTTCCTTGAAGCCGATTTTGGGTTTAGGGTTTAGGGTCTCGGCTTCAGTGACTTTGTCTGTACCTCTCGCAGTACAGAGAACAATGCTCACAAGCGAGGTATGGCTTTATCTGATTTTTTTTGTCTTCTTCGACAGGTTCTTTAAAGGCACATTGCCTTTCCGGTAAATTTGTACACCCACGGTATATGCAAAGTCTAGGATTAGGATGAGCATGTACAGGAATTCTGGTCCCAGCGGAAGGCTTCGACAAGCTTCCAGGCTACGTCTCCCGGTAGCGACGGCCCCAGAGGCATGTGCTCGAACCCAGAGAGCCCAATACCCCTTAATTAAGGCATAGACCTTACGTCATAATATGAAGGCCCCTATAATTTACGATATATTCCTGAATTGAGGGGATTGGGCTCTCTGGGAACCTGAGCCCTCAACATCCCGCAACCCAGATGGAGAGCAAATTTGGAACCAAACCTTCAGCCTTCAACCTAGCTTTAAACCTAGCTAGACCTAAGAGATCATCTCAAGAGCGCTCAGTGTTTCGAAGGAAGTCCGCCTGCATGAAACGCCACCCCTCATGTCCTACGGAACCTAAATCATTACTAATACTGTTTTGGGGTTCCTTGTTATAATCATAGTATAACCTACTCCCTGCACCCTCAAAACCCGATTGTAATCATTTTTGACGCTCACACTCGGCAATTCAAATTATTAAGGCCCCTACACCATAGAACTCCACTTTTGATCCCTTATGAACCCTCTTCAGGAGCCCTGTAAAACGAACCCTCTTCTAATCATTACGGCCCCTACATGCCCGGACCCCCGGGAGGATCTAGAAAGTAGATGGCCCTATACTGCTAAGGTTGCTTTATAGGAAGCCCCCTTAAGAGATCTGCTTTTTATATCCTCCCGTGGGTCTGGGTACTACAGTAGTAGGCCTTCATTAGGGTTCCTTACATCTCTCTCCTACTATTTCGGGGGTTATACCCTACATACTACAGTAGTGTCGTGTAACCGGAGGCCAAGTCGCCAGGGCCTGCTTGGGCTTCCAGCTGGAGCCTGGCGGCTGCGAGTGCGGAGGCCGGGAAGGAGGGTTTAGGGTCCACGACATACGGTTGATGATATGAATCCCGCATTACCCAGAAAAAGGAATCTACCCTAATTCCCATAGTTTAGGGTCCTTTAAGGTAGTGCAGGAGTTATGTCATCAACAGTACTTTCAGGCCTTCCGCCCATGGGAAGGGGCCCCTCGGGGGCGGGCGCTTGTCGCTGGGCGTCTGCAGGAGCAGAGCATGCTCCTCGACCTTTGTGGCTTAGGGTTTTTTTTTTTTAAAGTTGAATTGCACTCTGTGGCTTAGGGTTTAGGGTTTAGGGTTTGGGGCTTCGTGAGGCTTCAGACTTCACAGAAGAGTAGAAGCAGTTGATCTCCTAATTGGAGTAGGGTTTGGGTGCCCATGATACTATAACTGCAGTAACGAGCCCCCGAAATAGTCTCATGCATGTGCTGAATTCACCCAAGGTCTCGGTGCATCTGAGGCTCCTTGGTGTTGAAGGTCTTGCGAATCAAGCTTCTCGCCACGTCATAACAGCCTGCCACGAGCAAAGCCCCATCGTAGACCCAATCAATCGAACAACGGTGGCCGTGAAAATGTAAAGCTTGCTGAACCTTGTCAACCTCTGCAACCACAGAAGTCAGCTGTGGGAGTTTCCGAAAATAGGGGACCTCAGTGTAATACCCTAAACCGTAGGATCCTTATTATAAGGACCCCCAAATAAGGTACCCCAAATTCACGGAAACACCCACGTCAAAACTGCGCTAATAAACTCTTCTGATGGCAAGCAGCCTGGATCGAGGCCCTTTGGAGCCACCTTTGGCATTGGCAGCCCACGTGCCTGAAAGCCAATGACTGGGATGTAGTTTTGGGGCTCTGAAAAGTATTTATGAATAGGTACTTTTATAGGAACCATAAGGGAAATTAAAAAGTTTCCCAAATTGCCACCTAGATGATTGCAAAGCTCTGGTGTCTGTCAATGCATCAACTCCAACGCGTAGTTTCGACCTAGTAATCGCACAGAAGCCGAACAGTGGTTCGGGTGTCTTCAAGGCCAAAGCCTGTCAGTGGGCACTACAGTGGTCTTGAGCTCCTTTACCTTGCGCATGGCCTCCACTCTCCAAACCCAAAATAACCACATTCAGAAACGTTTAAACACCGGCTTCGGCAAGACATCTTCAAAACCATCAGTATAGTTGAGCAAGAAGTAGTAGTCGTCGTCGTCGGCATCATTCTGGCAATGACGGAAGTAGGAGTAGGGGATCGTGCCACCTACGATGTCTCTGCTTTGAAGGCCCTGTGCGCTGCCTCATCTCCGGACTCGATACTACGACATTTCGAGCGGATTTTCCACTTGGCTTCGGACCGGATATTTACTTGCTACGTTCGCTGCTTTGCGCAGTTTGTCAAGCGTCGGACGGGCATCTAAGTTGTTCTGGATTTGGTGCGTGGAGGTTACAGTACTCTTTCTGCCCGGTTTGAAACCGTGCTTCATACAACGTCTTGTGCACGTTGCGCATGCTGACCGTCACAATGCCGGTATTGTTGCTCATGATGGTGATGATGGTGGTGATGGTGTGATGATGACAAAGATGATGATGATCCGATTGAAACGAAGTCTGCAGCAACAGTAGACGCGACCCACACAAACACACCGTCAATGTTTGCGGCGTACAGTTACAGAACTCGCACACCACCTCAGCGGAATATCCTATTCATTACTAGTCTTACTTGTTCTTGTTATCCTTTTCTGTTCTTATTCTTCTTCTTCTGCTTATATATGTCAATTCTCTTATTTCTTACCGGAAATTACTCTTCTTCCTAGCTTTCTTTGTTGCCCCGGTTCCCGAGCCTCCGTGGATCGGAAGGGATGGTAGCCCCCTCGCGGATGCAACGGGGAAACTGAAAGCTCAAGCCCTGAATACGAAATCTTAGAATAGGATTCCTTTAATGGGTTTCGACGCTCACACTCGCACAAGGCAGGCAAGGCTGCACGAAGTCCGCCGTATGTACAGGGTTTAGGGTTTAGGGTCTGGGGTTTTTTCCCTCCTACCTAGCAAGGACGAAGCCCGCATTGCAGGGAGTCTCGGTTTTGAACAGCTGGCAGAGGTCTGGGGTATAGGGTTCAGGGTTTAGGGTTCAAGGGACTTTACAAGTTTTTTGTTCAAACGTCCATTCTTTTCCGTCACAGTGTTTAGGGTATAGGTAGGGGTTATGGTTCAGGGTTTATATGGCTATGCCCCAAACTTCATTGGTTGAGGTAAGTGTTGGGGGGCATGGAAGAGTTAAATCTTTCGAAAGCCGCGGGGGGTAGGCAGTGGCAATTAGTCGGATGCATCAGGGGATCCACTGTATGGGGCTTGTTGCTTTAGGATGAGGGCACGATATAGGTAGGATGTGAGTGCGGTCATAATTGCTTTCAGTGGGCAGGGTTTGTAACCTACAAGCTTGTATACATGCGTCTACTGCGGCCCTTGATCGTATGATGCTCTAAGTACAGTTCAGCCGTTTACCAGGTGCTCCAGAACCGTCGCTCGAAGTCAGGTCAGAGAATCAGTTGTCCCTAGCCAAAGCCAGGAAAAATGAGAGCATCAAACCCCTCAATCAAGTCGAGACATCCCATGATTAAGATCCCCTTTTTGAGTCACGGGCTGGGGCCGGTACTTCTGAATAAGCATCCCCTGACACCCCCAACCCCGAGACGCTTGTTGCCGACAGGCTCTGCCAGGAATGAAAAGACATCCCATACCCCCAACCCTAAACCCCTAACCCCTAAACCCCATAAACCCTATAAACCCTATAAGCCCTATAAACCCTATATAAACCCTATATAAACCCTATAAGCCCTATAAACCCCTCAACCCCAAACCCTATAAACCCCAAGATCCAATAGTCGATCGGCGCCTCGGATGTTCTCGTGCACCGTCTCATAGGACCCCGGTGGCGGAACGTCGGTCTCCCCGCCTGGGAACTAGGGTTCTGTAGGGTTTAGGGCTAATCTCGGCTTCTCAGATTTTCTCGCAGCTTCGCTCGTCCTCGAGCCGTTTGTGAGACAGGCATGCGACGTCCGCACCCTGACACCCCCTCAAGGCAGCGCTTCGACAAAGCAGCCCGTTGCTGGACATCCCGGAAGATGCATGGAGGAAAAGACGAGGAAGAGAGCACGGCGCTGTTGCGGCCGAAGTTGCTGGCAAACCGGACACCACTGCCGCCAAAGCCCACGTGGTCGGTCTTCGCGATCCTGGACTGCGACACAACCCACTAACCCTAAACCCTTTCGCACAGGCTTGTGTGAATCCCGCCTGGATTACCCTAAACCCTAAACCCTACTACAAGGTTCTTACAGGGGCAAGGAGCCCAACGGCCGAACACCAGTAGCTGACACTTTGGAAGTTTCCGAAAATTGGGGACCCTAATATAGTACCCTAAAAAGTAGGATCCTTATTACAAGGACCCTAAAATTAAGTACCCGGAATTTTCGGAAACTCCCATGTCTGGCAGTGCTGCCAAGCCGAAACCCTCAGCCTTCACCGTCACTCCAGGCAGTGTCTGTGTAATATCGGGGCAGTAATAATTAGAATCTGGTTTTGGGGCCCATTATGCTATACTTTCCATAAGGAACCCACCAAAATAGTACTGGTAATTGTCCCTAAACCCTAAACCCTAAACCCCAAATCTAGGCCACTTATATTTAAATTACCCTAAGCCCCATAGAACCCTTAAAGGAAGCCTAAACCCTATATCATAATGGCGTCCTCCATCCCGCGCGGAAATCCGGATTCGTGATGGGATCGTACGCCCCAGGCCCCGGCAGCTCCTCTCAGGGCCAGGGCCACTTGGAGGCCCTTTTGACTTAGGAAGTAAGGGTTCCTTTAAAGGGGTCCTAAAAGGGATCTATAGGGGTTCCTTAAAGGGATCTATAGGGTTTAGGGTTTCTTACTTGGAGGCCCTTTTGACTTAGTAAGTAGGGTTAGTAAGGTGGGTTATGGGGATTATAATGGGGTTTCTAGGGGATACTAAGTAGACTTACTAAGTCAACAGGGCCTCCAAGTAAGGCCCCTCCTCTGCACGCGCTTGCCCCCGCACGTAGCCTAGGACGAGCCCTACGATAGATAGATAGATAGATAGGTAGGTGGGAAGGTAGATAGATAGATGGATACACAGAATGATAGATAGTATCCTATACCCCAAAACCCTTTTCCAGATGATAAGGCCCCTATACTATGTAGTATCATACGGCTAGTTACCAGTTCTTAAGGCCCCCCAAAATTCTTGCATCCCCAGGTGAAGCCGCCGAAATTGTAAGCGACCTCGTTGGTGGGAGCCGGCAGTCGCGGGGCCTCCAAAGCTCAGGAGATTTGCGCATCGCGAGATGGGGGGGATCAAGGTCTACCACTCTTCATGTTCTACTGCATCCTGCTTTACGAAAAGACATTTCGATACGACTATATACGCTATCATTTTAGTGTGTATATATGGGGCTGCCTTAGACAGTAGGATTCATATGATGCTACATTTTACTAGTCATGAAGTCAAGCACCTACGAGTATCAGCCTGCAGCAGTAGGTTGGGCTCGAAACTGTCAGATGCTTGCGCACCAAAGGCCTCGGACTTGAAGGAGCCCCTGGCTGCATCACCGGCGTCCTCACACGCTCAGAGTCTGCGCTGAACCGTCACATCTCCTCTTTTCTCACGTAAAGTCTGATGGGTCCGGCACATTTTTCCTTCTTCTTGTGCCATGATAACGAACTATATGACGATGATTACTATACTCTACCATGTGATGCTGTCTTCCCTCAAATTGGCATATCGTGGAAGCGTGTCAGAGCAAGAGGCACCTCCACCATCGGGAGTTGGGTGATGCAGATCCCATTCTGTGCAGTACAACGTCTCTTCTGTAAACTATCACACTATATAGCATAGCGTACCATGGGATAAAGTACACTACCTATCGTGTCCAGAAGCTTCTGTTGTGAAGCCAGGAAGTCTTATGCCGAAGGCCATACTATGCGACATTGGTTTTCATTATCCGTCATTTTACCATCAGACCCCTTGATACTATCAGACATCACTGGCCTTGACCGGGTCCGCTTGTGGCAACGACGGTGCAGACATGGACATCGCGTTGTCGCCTGCTCGAGCGCAGGGCAAATCTACTCGAGCCTGCAACCACTTGCAACACTCCCGACTTCCCAGCTTTTCATGATGGGAGGCCAAAAGGGGTTTTAAGATTCTTGGGGTAGGGATTCCTCAATATGAACCCAATTATGGGAACCCTAATAATCCCTACTAAACCCCATAGGCTGAAACCCCTTTTGGCCTCCTATGATTTCAGAAGCCGCATGTGAAGGCTTCGGCGCGAGCATCACTGAGATTACTTGGATACTGCCCCCATACACTAACAGTCTATAATAGGGCTACTATTAAGGGCCTAATATATCTATATTATGAATATTATCCAACTGTTACCAGCATCCAAGAGATTCCCATTATGTTTGGAACTTCTTGGCTCTGCCGTCTGATTCCTCGGGGCTCTCGACGGCCTAAGTCCTGAAACTCGTAATCCAAAACTTTGAACCGTGAACTCCGTATGTGGCTGTGTGAGCCCAAAACTGATTTTCAACCTGGTCTGAACCCTATAGAAACCCGACCAAGACCAAGACTAAGGCCATCAAGAATCCTTTATCCCACAGTCCGAATTCAAGGCCCTGAACCGTGGACCCTAAATCCTAAACCCTCAAGTCCTAAAGACCCTTGTAAGGCCATCAAGAATCCTAAACCCTGTTTGCTTGAACCCCGGCTCTGTGCTATCAGCTGGGATTCGAAACCCTAACCCCTGAACCCTAAAGTCCTTACAAACCCTAAACCCTAATTCAAAACCCTAGGCCCTAAATCCTAAACCCCTCAAGTCCCAAAGACCCTCCATAATCCACAAACCCTCTCTCTCAAATCCTAAACCCTCAAGTCCTAAAGGCCCTTTTGAGGCCATCAAGAATCCTAAACCCTGTTTGACCCTAAGCCCTAAATCCTAAACCCTCAAGTCCTAAAGACCCTCCATAACTCCCGAGGCCCGGGGCCGGAGAGCCCAATACCCCTTAGTTAAGGAATATAGCCTAAATCATGATATGAAGCCCCTTTTGATTTGAGCCATACTCCTTAATTAAGGGGATATCGGAAACCCTAATCCCTATAGATCCCTTTTAGACCCCTTTTAAAGGAACCCTAGGTATATTCCTTAATTAAGGGGCCCCTTGGGCTCTCTTTTGGGGTGCGCCTGACGCCCCAGGGCCCTGGAAGAAGCGCTCCCCCGTCTTGGAGCCACCGAAGGCGCCGCCCTGGAGGCATGGTTACGCTAGGAACTTTCTTAGGGCTCCTGTAAAAAAGGGGGTCTATAAGGGTTATTTTCAGGGATCTATATGGGGTCTATACGGGTTATTATAAGGGATCTACAAGTGATGTTTAGTCTTAAGGTTTGCTTTTTTAAGGGCCTCTTTCGATTCCGTAGATGGTCTAGAGGGTTTAAGTTTTTTGGTTTTTGGTTTTTAGGGGTCTCAGGGGAGGATCGTTGGACTTCGTAAGTAAGGCTATAAGTAAGTAAAGTAGCTATACGTTTTATAATTACTTACAACCCCAGTTAGGGTACTTAGCCTCCCTGGAGGCATAATTAGGGATTTTAGGGGGTTTGGGGGTTGGAGGGTTTTTAACACTCACACTCGGACAAAGCCGAGTGTTTAGGGTTTAGGGGTTTCGGGTTTCGATTTGTGTTCAGGGTTTCGGTTTAGGGCAAGTTTGAGGGTTTTTCCCTCCTGCCTAGCAAGGACGAAGCCCGCATTGCAGGATGTGTTTAGCTACTGCGGTCATTGCACAGCGGCAACTCCCCGGGTTGGAGGGCGTGGAGGGTTTCGGCACTTACACTCGGACAATCCAGGCCCGGAGGGTTTAGGGTTTGGGGGTTTAGGGTTTAGGCACACAACCCAAGCCCATGCTGCAAATCGGGTTCAGGGGTGAGGGGGTGTGTGTTTTTCCCACCCTGGAGCGGCCTAGTCAGCGACTTTATGCTGGAGGGCCGAAGGGTTTTGGGCTTGCTTGGCATCAGCAGGGGTCCTATGAGGGGTCTTATGGTTTGGCCGGTTCCACTAAGGCTTTGGGGGAGCTGACAGCTCGCGGTGGATTTTGCCCGGCTTGCCGGGACCTTCTCTAAGCTGCCAATTCCAGGACACATCCTTTGCAACTACATCTGCATAGATCGAAAGTGGCAACTCCGAAGCAGACCAGCCTGTGCGATCTTTGCCAGCTGCCGAAGCTTAGCCGAGATCGACTGGCCTCTGATGTGCTGAAGCCGATCATGATTGCTTGAATGCTTCGACTTCGCCTTCACGTTGCCAAGCCATGCTATGCTCTCTCAGAAGTTGGGAAACACACCGTGACAAGACCAATGCCCAAAGCTGCAATCAAGTCACGGGCTTTGTCGAGAACTGGAGCTCTCAGCATGATTTTTGAGGGCTCCCTACGGCTATTGCAGTTTTTGGATTTAGGGTTTAGGGCACATTCTTGTCATATTTAGTGTCTTTGCCACTGGCCCTCTCCCTCTTTTATTGGTACTTCTTGTTGCTTAAACGATGCTACTCACCGAAGAAGCATTCGTCACTCATCCTCGTGCTCGCTTACGGATGACATCCTGTTGCCAGTGTGGTCCAAGCCGCCGATGGAACTCTCCGGGTCGTAGCTGCCGGGCGCCGCAGAGCTCTTGCTGACCTGGAGATCAGCGGGTATGTTTGGGGTTCAGGGCTTTGTTTTGACCCCCTTTTTCAGGGTTTAGGGTTTGTTTTTCAGAACTTGGGTTGAGAGAGCGCGCCTTCCTCATGGTGGTGTCTGCTATACGGTCTATGGGAAGATCTGGGCACCTGCAGGCCAAGGCGCTGTGACGGGGCGCTGGGGGCCGCGTGAGCCGAATCCTGCCAGAGAGGCTCCGTCCTGGGCTTGGCGACTTAGACTTTCAGAGTTTTGGGGCTAAGGGTTTTTTTTCAGGGGAAGGGATTCAAGGGTTCAGGGATTGAAGGATTTAGGGATCTAGGGGTTTAGCTTATGGTTCAGGATTTCGTTTGCAGCTTTGAGCTCAAAACGCCCGAGGGAGATGGTGAACCAAGAGGCAGTCTCGCGGAGGGACTTCAGCTGGTACGGATTCTGGACTCCGAAAAACTTCCTCGGAAGGTTTAGAGTTTAGGGCTCAGGGCTTAGGTAGCAAAGTAACAGGTTGCGGGAGCACTCTGGAGGGACGAACCTCATGCTCTGTGAGGTCTTTGCTTTCACTCTTCCCAGACGTCGGACCTGACCCTGCTGGGGCCAAGGTGCCTGTTCATGAAGTCGGGCACACTCCTGCGACGAGAGAGGCGAAAGCGGTGAAGGGAAGTTTGCCGCGTGCCATTCCACATAAAGCCTTCTTAGACTTTCACGGAGAAGAGCAGCAGAAGCACGACCGCCACGGTCACCGCCATCACTGGCACCATCCCCACCACTACCGCCGCAACCACCGCCACGACTCGCACCAACGTCACCACCGCCATCACCAGCCTCACCACCGCCATCACCAGCCTCACCACGACCACCAGGACACCACCACCACCACCACCACCACCACCACCACCACCACCACCACCACCACCACCACCACCACCACCACCACCACCACCACCTGTGCAGGAAAAGGACGCCGCATGAGACGAATGATGACATGAACATCAAGACAACCAAGGCAACTACGGCCAGCATCGCCACAACACAAGTACGAAGATAAGTCAGAAAGCAATTGGGAAAGCAACGCAGACAAAGACGACGACGACAATCAACGACCCTAAAGCCCCTAAAGCCATAGAACCCTAATACAGGGGACTTAACAATATCAAGGAACCCCCAAAATAATCTAGGTAATTATTAAGGCCTCTATATTGAAGCCCTAAAGGCGCGTCCTCGCTCGCCGTATCCGATCGTCCGGAAAGTCCGACAGGCTCGGGTAGTGACCGGGGCCGGGGCTCGCTGCGCTTTCCTGAGGGCTCAGGGCCTTAATAGTTAGACTATTAATAGTTAGAACAGGGTATATAATACGATAATTACATTAAGGAACCCCCCCCAAAAAAAAAATAGTCAGGGGTTCTTATGGTACGGGTGAGTAGCATAGGGGCCTTGATAATTAGAATAGGGTTTCGGGGTATACTATACTCTAATTGCAACAAGGAAAACCCAAAAAATGTATAGGTAATTATTCAAGCCCCTATACAAAGGGCTCTCTGTGGCTTCCAATTGTATCACTGTATAACTGCTCTAAAGCCCCTAAAGGATCGGGGCTCTGGGATTTAGGGTTTAGGGTTTCAGGGTTTCTAGGAGTTAGGGTTTAGGGTCTAGGAATTAGGGTTTAGGGTTTCAAGGATTTTCGGTTTTCGGTGCTCACTCTATCGGATCTTCGGCCTCTAAGGCTTTAGGTTTCAGGGTATTTCGGGCTTCAGGTTCTCGGTTTGGGGCGGGGGCTCATGGCGCATTAGGATCCGAGCGCTTAGGGCACTTTTCGGTGAAGATGTGAAGACATAGCGTTAAGACAGCATGATCATGCCATGAACCAGGATGCAGCCCGATTTTCTGCTCCCAACCCCTGGCCATGTCCGCACTCATGGAAGACCCCGCCAACCAATACCTGCAAAGCCTTGCGAATCCGGTGAGGATACTTGGAGGACCATGGGACTTAGTATAAGTAAGGTTAGAAGTAAGGCCCCTAAACCCTAAACTTTCTGTAATTCCTTATAGCAGCCAAGAAGGTACTTACTGCTGTAAGTCCCATGATCCTCCCGATATCCCGTCCAAAGAAGTCTCCTTGAAGCTCTGGGGCCCCGACTCGAACCCCGAAACCCCACGAGCCCGCGACTATCCACAACTGCTCCTCTATCTATCTCTATATATCTCTATCTCTATCTCTATCTAAATTTCTATCTCTATCTCTATCTATCTATCTCTGTCTCTATCCCTATCTATACATACATACGTAATTTCTATGTGTATATACTTCGAAGGAACCCCTCCCCCCCGCTCTTCCAGCATGCTCTGGGCCCCGAGCTCTCTCAGCGAAGCGCGCCGACACGGAGCGGAAGGCCGGTAGCGGCCTGGGGTTTAGGGGTTTTGACACTTGGTACACTTCTCGATTTGTGCTTGTCATCCTTGCGCAGGGGCCATGCTAATCTTCGCTGTATCGTTCCAATTTTATCGGATGATCCCCGAAGTTAGGGGTTTATGGTTGAGGGATTTAGGGTGTCGGAGGACTGCGGTAAGGGCTCCGACAAGTGCTTTGGGGCGTAGGGCTGAGGCTTGAGGGCTGGTTTTGGGTTGAGGATTTTGGGATTGAGGGGCCTGTTGCAAGGCAGGAGTTTGTACCAGAGGTCTATAGAAGGGCAAAACTCCCATGCAGGGCTTATGTTGGGATGTAGGAAGTTCTTCTATACCCGGGTGAATGACGTGGCTTTGCTCCGTTCGGAAACTCACAAAAGTTGAAATCTGAGCTTCGAAGTCATGTTCATCCCAGGAGCCGATCCGGGCTGGATTTCGCAGGCTCGGCGAAGTACCTGCTCTGCTGAGAGGTGCCCCCAGAAAACATGCATGCCGGGAGCAAATCCGAAGCAAGCACCGTGGGTTTTAGGGCTTAGGATTTAGGGCTTAGGGTTGAGATGATACGTTCAAGCTCTAGCGCCCGTAGAGTTCGGAGTTTTGGGCGCGTTTGTCTCGGAAATTCTGTCCCTCAGAATCTTGAGCTGTAACCTCTCCGAGGACACGTCGCAGGCCCCGGCAGCATCGCTGGCGAGAAGGACTTCGGGAAGAATGCCGTCGGGACCCTGGGTCAGCTTCTTTCAGGGTGCAGCTAAAATTCAGGGCTTATCCGGGTCCGCCGACGATGTGAAGCGAGTACACTTCTTGAGCAAGCTAGGGGCCTGAATCAGTAGAGCGATGGGGATTTCGGTTTTGAGGACTCTAGCCTCTATTTTGCACTCTGCCAACTGCGCTCAGTTTCTAGATTAAGCGGTCAACAGTGGCTAGGCCATGCCGGAACTACATCCAACCCTAAACTTGCTACACAAAACACTACAACCAATAAGCAAGAAAGTCTAAAGTAAAGCTTTAAACCCACCAGCCGTAAAGCCCTAGAGTACCCGAGCCACAAGACCTGAGGCCTCGAAGTTCTGTAGCACCTTTACAAAACCCATATGGGAGTTTCCGAAAATTCCGGGTACTTAATTTTAGGGTCTTTGTAATAAGGATCCTACTATTTGGGGTACTATATTAGGGTCCCCTATTTTCGGAAACCCCATATAGGACTATCTTACCTTTGGTTAGTAGGGAATGGAGGAGTGGGGTACAATTACAACTACTATTACTACCCTTCTTCCATTCCCTACTAGCCAAAGGTAAGTTATAGGACCTTACAGGACCCCTACGAAGGCAAAACTTCAAAAGACCCGGGCACTTCTGGACCAAGCAGCTTGCTGGAAGCGAAGGCCGTGGAGCAGTGCCTAAATCAAACATAAGCTTCTAAAGAGCTCCTAAATTTCAATTTCTTTCGTATGCATTGATCCGTCTTTGAAGGCTTCTGGGAAGGTGCATGAGTTCGAGAGGCTACTCAGTGAGTGGCGTCTTCCGACAAGGGGATCGAGCTCGGCGCATCAGGCAAGCACATCTGTCTGAAGCTTTTTTGCCGATTTGCCGACCTCCTCGCCCCCAAACATCCAAGGAAGCCCCCAACAGAAGCCCCTCCTTTCTTAACCTCAACTGATGGGAGGCCAAACGGGTGGTTTGAGATTCTTGGGGTAGGGATTCCTTAATATGAGCCCTATTATGGGAACCCTAATCCCGACTAAACCCCCACAGGCTAAAACCCCTTTTGGCCTCCTATGATCAACAGCCCTGCGCAGATGCTCGCGCTCGTTCAGGTGGGGCACGGCACATCGGAGCCGAACCCCGGCGGTTCCACGGGCGGTCCGCCGCCACCCGTGCCTGACACCGGAATCGCGAAGTGTTCGTCCCAAGAAGCATTCAGGGAGCAGAGGGCGAGGGCACTGGCAGGGGTCAGGGGTTAATGGCGGGATTGTAGAACTCTACGGCTTCCCTGCACAACTTCGAAGCCTTACTCCTTACTTCCCAATTACCTATCGGGGAAAAGTTCGAACTTTCCAAGAAGACTACTGTATAAGAGCCCCAAAACCACTGGGACTCTCCCCCATTTAAGAGCTGCGGATGAGCATTGGCCCGCTTTCGCCGAATAGTATGATCTTCCCCAAAGCCCTATTCTAATTATGAAGGCCCCTACAGTGAAAATACTGTATAAGAACCCACTGTTTAAGAACCTGAGCCCCTACCCAAGGTGGAAATCACCAGATTCAAATTGCCTCAATATTAAGAACTTTAGGGTACCCTAGTTTTTCGGGTCAGGTTCTTATTTTTTTGGGTGCTTTCCCTCACCAAGGAATTTTAGAATCGAAAACTAAATTTCCCAACCTTCCACATCAAGAAACCCTCTGCCCGAACGTAATGATTGTATGATGGCTGGACAACAGCATTCATGCCGCAGCGCAGTGGTTGTGCATGGGTTCGAGAGGTAATTGCTCGTGTTTCGATCCCCATTGGTACCAAAATCTGAAAATTTAGAATTCAAATCTAAATATTCCAAACCTCCAGGGCCCTTACGGAGAAGCCTTTTGTTTCAATCCCCGGCGGTGTCATCGCAGCTCGCATTCCACCGAAACAGAGCCCCTTGCCACCAAAACGTGGAAATTTAGAATTGGAATCTAAATTTTCCACACCAGCCTCCTCCTGGCCCTGTGGTCCCCGGCCCAAGCCACACCCATGGCCCATCCACCCCCACCAGGAAATTTAGAATCCAAAAGCAAATTTTCTGGAGGGTCTCTGGCCATGCCCTCTGCCCCGAGTCCTTTCGAAGAGCTCTGGAAATTTAGAATTGAAAACTAAATTTTCAGGCCCCAAGGCCCATCCACCCCCACAAGGAAATTTAGAATCCAAAAGTAAATTTCCCGAGACCTCGGTCCGGATAAGAACGTGGTTAAGAACTTGAGCCTACCCTAGCTGCTCGAACGGCAAAATCACATGTAATGGAAATTAAGAACCTTAGGGTACCCTACTCTCGCCGAACGGGGTTCTTATACAGGGTTTTCACTGTAGTATAGAACCTTACTATAGATCCCTTACCCAAACCCCCGGGAGGATCTAGGAAGTAGATCCCCTAATTTGGGGCCCTATACTACTAAGGGTACTTTATAGGAACCCCCATTAAGGCATCTACTTTTTGGATCCTCCCGAGGGTCTGGGTACCCTAAACCCTAAACCCTAAACCCTTAAAGGACCCCATAAAGAAGCCCAGGGCCTCCTGGTAGTCGCAGAGGCAAGTCCTGGGATCACATTTGCGAGTTTCCGAAAATAGGGGTACCTTTAAAGGGATCCTTTCAGGCTTCCTTAAAGGGACCTATAAGGGTTCTATAAACGGGTTTAGGGTTTAGGGTTTAGAGTTTCCGAAAATCAGGGGCTTCCTTATTTTGGGGTCCTTATAATAAGGATCCTACAATTTAGGGTACTTTTTTAGGGTCCCCTATTTTCAGAAACTCCCGTTTTGATCAGCGTGGGTAGAGCTTCGACGCTCACACGCGCACAAGGCAGGCAAGGCTCCACGCAGTCCATACAGGCAGAGTAGATACCATATGCAAACAGGGTAGGGTTTAGGGCTTAGGGTTTGGGGTTGTATAAGGGGGGTGCGTGCACCAACACGAACGAGCCCTCTCAAAACATCTGCAACTTCTCGGAGGGCCAGGGCGGGAATAGTGCGAAGGTCCAAACATGGAAGATTCGCCAGAACTCCACCCGGCGATGGGATTAAAGTATATACAATATAGGAGTTAGGGTATCTACGATCAGGGGATATGTCCACCGAGTCGTCGTGTGCGACTTGGAAGACTAAGTCGATGAGTTCCCCAGCCCAGAAAAGTTACACCTTCGAAAGTGCGAGGATACTCAACCCATGATTGATCCTAAACCGTGACTCCTGCTGTCTTATACCCAAACCGGAACCCCTTCCTGTCACCCTACCCTGCACCCTACTTTGTGAAACCTGAACCTTGCTCCCGAAACCCTTTCGTGCATCCAGCTCCCGAAACCCTCAAACCCTAAACCCCCAATTAAACCCTCATCCCTACTTAGTCAATCAGGGACTTAATTAGTAAGTGGGGTAATCAATAAGGTAACTATACTTATAATCACTAACCCCGATTAAGGCACTGATAACCTTACCTACTAAGTCCCACGATCCTCCAAGAAAGCCGTAGAACCCTCTCTTCTGAGTTGTCCTTGGAGCGCTTTGAAAACTATTTACTATTATGGTTCTTTACAAAATAGTAGGGGAAATTAAAAAAGATCCCAAAGGATCCCCCTATAGATCCCTTTAAGGAGCCCTTTTAAGGAACCCTTACTCCGTCCCATGATCCTCTCAGTAGAACCCTCCCTGTCTGTGCGGAGGCCGGGTGTCCACCTTTACCGGCTCGTGCTCGTAGGTGCCGGGCCCAGGGTTCCGCTTCAAATGCGGGTTTCCTGGGCTTCGGGTGTGGAGCTTTAAGGTTTAGGGGTTTAGGGTTTAGGGGTGTAGGATTTAGTGGTTTAGGGGTGTAGGATTTAGGGGTTTAGGGTTTCGGGGTTTAGGTTTAGGGTTTCTGATTTAAGGTTTAGGGGTTTCGGCGCTTAGGGTTTCTTGGGCGTTGAAGCTTCCGGGGCTTTGGGGTTTGGGGTTTCGGGTTTGGGGGTACGCCCGTTTTGGGCGGGTTTGGGGGTTAGTTTGGGGCTTCTGGGGTTTCTGGACTTGGGAAGGTTCCAGCTGAGGTCTTAGCGAAGTCTTGTGCTAAACAAGCTTAAATCACGAACTGCAAGATAAAGGGTTGGTCACTTATGCTGGCTCCCGAAAGAGGCCGTGTATGAGCCACAAGACTTTGAACATGTTTTTTTGCTGCAAAAACGTTTCTATCATTTTGCTAGTCAGCCCTAAGAACCCCGTTGGCAGCTGTTCCGGCTTCTCTTCTAGAGGCCGACAAACTGTGGCTTCTGGGGCTCCGGGCCTTCAGAGTGCTTCAGAAAGAAGGGCTTAGGGTTTAGGCTTAGGGAACATCCCTAACCCCTAAACCCTAAGCCCTTCTTTCTGAAGCACTCTGAAGGCCCGGAGCCCCAGAAGCCACAGTTTGTCGGGCTAGGGTTTAGGGTTTAGGAGGGTTTTGATAAGGGCCAAAAGAGGCCCGAAACCCTTTGTGCCACTGGAACCCTCAAACCGAAACCCTGAACCGGGCTACAGCCAGAAGCGGAAAAGCTTGTGGCTGCGGGCTTTACAGGGCTTCGGGGCTACGCTTTGAGCAGCTCTTCCGGATGTCTAGGGTTCTTTCAAAGACACAGCCGGTGGTCTTATAGCACCCTGCAAGGAACCCCTGGTTCCTCTGACATAATCGAATTTATCATAGCGTCGGAGCACCTAATCCCCCCAAAAGGGAACAGGAAGCCCCGAAAGGAATCCTCGAAGGAAGCATTAAGGGTTCCCTTCAGGATTCCTTTAAGGGGGTCCTTCATTAAGAGCTCCTTTCACTGATCCCTTTAAAGGATCCCTTAAAGGAAGCCTTTTAAGGAACCCTTTAAGGAACCCTTTAAGGAACCCCTTCTCAATTTTTTTAAGGAACCTTTAAAGGACCCTTCGAGCCACCGCTTCGCCAGGGCACCCCAGGTAGCCTTCCGCTCAGAAGGCGAGGCGAAGTGTACCTTCACGGGGTCTTTGTTAAGGGTTGTTGGCTTTGGGTTTAGGGGTTTAGAGGTTTAGGGTTTAGGGTTTCCGGAGTTTACATTGAAGCTACCATAACTTGCAGGGATCCTTCGTAGCACATGATAGGGTCTCATTGAAGTTACCACAATAGCCATTTAATAGGGATGCTTAGTACAGGATCGACCTCACAACTTGGGCAATCCGGGCGAGGTGTCTGAGCACGATGTGCGCTAGCCGCCACCACCTTGGGCAGCACGTCAATGAGGTAGCACTTGCTGCGTAGTCAGAATAATACATACATGAAGAATCTCCAGCATTTGGTGCAATAGAACAGGGTTTTGGGGGTTCCTGCTTATCATTTTCGTATAATATACCCCCCAAACCCTATTCTAACTATTGAGGCCCCTACATTAGTAGGGTTTCCTGGTTTCCCTGGTATGATAGCCCTACCCTAAACCCTAAGCCGTGGCTTGTATGATAGCTTCAAATTCCTTACCGAAGAGCAACCTAGGAATCAAAAGGGTGCCTTGTTGGTTTTCACAGGGTGTTATACATGAACCTAAACCCTAAAAACGGGAATAAAGGCCTACTCTGGGTCCTAGTCTAACCAGTGGTTTTGGGGGTTCCCTTGGCTCTTTAGCTCCTTATTTAACAGGGATTATCATCATCCCGGGCTCCTTAGCTCCCATAATATCAATGGTTAGTATAGGGCCCCAAAAAAGCACATAAGCAAAAATGAGGATAGGGATATCCCATATAAACCTCCTTATAATGAAGCCCAATGAGGTAGGGATGTCCCTACAAAAAGGCTTATGCTTATGTGCTTTTGGGGTCCCTAAAAATAGTTCCTTACCGAAGAATCCAGCCTTGCGCTTGCCGCGGCCGATCTCCAGGCTCTGCATGCCTTGGGCTTGGGCTCGTCGGATCTAGAGTTTAGGGGTTTAGGGGCTTAGGGCTTGGGGGTTTAGGGTTTAGGGCTTTAGGGTTTAGGGGCTTAGGGCTTGGGGGTTTAGGGTTTAGGGCTTTAGGGTTTAGGGGCTTAGGGTTTAGGGGCCGACGCTTGCAGCTTTTTGGAATTGAGGGCTTCAGGGAATTTATGTCGTAATTGCTGCGGTCTAGATGGCTGGCGGCATGTTCAGTGCCAGAAACTACTCCAGAATCTCGTACTCCAGCAGCACCTTAAACCCCCGAGCCCTCGGTTGCTTTGCAAGCTTGTCAATCCTTCCATGCCGGTGAGGACTCCCGACGCCTTCGCTGACGGAAGCCCCAAGAGAGAGATCGGAGAGGCCGGGTCTCTTGCATGCAGGGGCGAAGGGCAATATTTCCAAGGCGAACTATCTCGAGCCGCACCACCCTTCGTGCAAGAGCCCGGCGGAGGCGGCAAAAAAGTTGCAGTTGGTGCCGCATTCGTGGCTGCCGCAAGCGTGCCCCTTTCAGTGGCGTCACAGCATCTTCTACGATCACCTTTCGCTGAGGACGGACACTGTGACAACAAAATCTTCTCGGCGCTGGCCTACGCCTATACAATTTGAACGCGATTATTCCCAACAAATTCTTACGCTGTCGTTCAGAATTCTGCAGACGGCCGAAAAGCTCATTGCTGCGAATTCTAGAGCTGTGCATGTCGATGGAAGGCCCGTGCAAGCATGCCATTCCGAACGAACCGTTCCGTCCCGAACCGTATACACGGCCCTCACAGCAACTCCCTGTGACTTGGTGAACCCGGTTGAGAGCTAACTCTCGCATTTGGCAGCTGTCGATGCCAAAACTCAAGGACTTTTTGATCTAGTACTCCAGCAGCACCTGAAACCCCGGAGCCCTCGGTTGCTTTGCAAGCTTGTCAGTCCTTCCATGCCGGTGAGGACTCCCGACGCCTTCGCTGACGGAAGCCCCAAGAGAGAGATCGGAGAGGCCGGGACTCTTGCGTGCAGGGGCGTAGGGCACAGAACTGTAAGATTTCCAAAGCGAACTATCTCGAGCCGCAGCACCCTTCGTGCAAGAGCTGGCAGAGGAGGCAAAAAAGTTGCAGTTGGTTGCCGCATTCGTGGCTGCCGCAAGCGTGCCCCTTTGAGCGGCGTCACAGTATCTTCTACGATCACCTTTCGCTGAGGACGGATGCTGCGACAACAAAATCTTCTCGGCGCTGGCCAGAGCAAGCCAAGACAAAACTTTTCCGGGCAGTCTACTTGAGAAGCATGCAGCAGCACAAACAGATGTTTTTTGAACGATATGCTACATATATACATGTATGGACCCACACTTTTGAACGTTACATCGTCTCTTCGTAATCACACGACTGCCGAGGAGTTCGTGCAGCGAATTCTGTATCTGTGCATGCGGATGGAATGCAAGTAATTACAGGTGTGATATGCCGCTATGGAGCGAATCGTCATAACTACCCTAATCCCTGGCCAGCATACTTGGCATTCCGACGGGCACTGGATGGGGTGTTGGTGGAGTCAGAAACCTCCTCTGCTTCAGCTGGGCATCCCTGGGATGACCCCCAGAACTTGCCCCTTGCTATGCTCCTGGCTAAGGTTGCGCATCAGGGAGGGAGCCGCATGGAATCGCCCTTCGTCCTCCATGACCACCGAAGGCTCGGATCCAATGGTGATCCGCTTCTGACTCAGAGAATCCTTCGACTTCTCCCGCTCAAGGAAGGGCGCCAGAGCTTGGGCCGAGCAGTCCCTCAAGTTTTCCGCAAGATCGGGGCTTCGGCGCAGGAGGAGCGTGGCCAAAGTCGCCAGACCAAAAGCCGCGAGGAGCGGAAGGAGCAAGAATTCCTGTGCGAGGATCCCGATGAGACAGATCAGCCACCACATGCCATCTGCATCGCTGGAATTCGCCAGGAAGAGGACGATGATCAACAGCGAGGCCAAGTTACCGACAAGGAGCAGCGCCCAACGGAGCCAAGCACATCGGGGCTTCGTGGCCAAAGGCGCCATGGACAAGGGCGCACAGGAAAGGATCCCCATAGCATGGCACAGCAGCGACACGGGCAGGGCCAGCGTGTCCTCGCCTGGACGCGCAGAGCGGCACAGCTGGTGCGTGGCCGACCGCGCGAAGGCTCCGAAGATGGCCTGGCGCAGCAGTGCCCCAAAGGTCGCCGCGAGGACAAGGCGAAGAAGAAGGCGTGCAGCTCTCTCCTATACTGAACTTAGAAACCTGGCAAAAATTATAATTATAGCTGTTTCTTAGGGAATATAATAACCCCAAAATTAAAAAGTTATTTCTAAGTACCCCTAAGTCTCCAAGTGTGAGGAGAAGAAGCTGAAGTACAAGACCCCCTTCCATGGCTGCATGGCTGGCCAAAGCATCTGGAATCGCCCCCAGATCCCGGCAGCATCACTCCTAGGATACCCAGTAACCTGAGAATAAAAAGGCCTCTCTTTTTGGTATTGGGTAACTTTATAAGGAACCTAGGACTACAAAAAGGGAATAAGGGTACTACTGGGCATCCTAGCCCCTAATTCTCGGAAACCCTAAACCCTTTATAGAACCCTTATAGACCCCTTTAAGGAACCCTTATAAATCCCTTTAAAGGTACCCCTAATAAGGGTACTACTGGGCATCCTAGACTCAGGAAGGACTCCATGGCATAGACGGCCTGGCCATAGACGTTCGCAGCCAGGGCCTGGGAGAAAGTTAACAAAAAAAAAAATTTAGGGTTTAGGGGTTTAGGGTTTAGGGTTTAGGGTTTAGGGGTTTAGGGTTTAGGGTTTAGGGGTTAGGGTTTAGGGTTTTAGGGTTTAGGGTTTAGGGTTTAGGGTTTTAGGGTTTAGGGTTTAGGGTTTAGGGTTTAGGGTTTTAGGGTTTAGGGTTTAGGGTTTAGGGTTTAGGGTTTAGGGTTTTAGGGTTTAGGGTTTAGGGTTTAGGGTTTAGGGTAACAGTGCGAAAGAAGTATGGACTGGTGTTTTCATAATTGGGTGGTTGTCAAAATTATGGTCCCTTTTTGGGTCCTTCATATAATACGGCACCTATTATTTAGGGTACCCAAAACGGGACCCCTACTTTGACAACTACCCAATTGGTTCCCTTTAAGTAACAGGTCCCAAAAAAGTATTCTTAAAGTATGGTATTCCAAAGCCCAGGGGCCGCCTCATCCCGCGCTTCCGCCCAGGTGCCGCGAACGGCCACCGAGGCTCGGCGCCCCTCCTCAAGCACCTGGGGTCTTGAGTTCTTTTGGAGGAAGACAGATGGTGACCATAATAGGGTACTGTAGGAATCTTTTTGAGGAAGAACAATTGTGACCATAACTTAGGGATCTATAGTAATTAAGCAAGATGGGTTCTGTATGACGGCAACTTAAACAAATTTTTAAATAACAGGAACCCAGGCACTGCAAGGGATGCCATGCACAGCCCGGCACCGTCAGACCGCACCAACAGGATGCACCTGAGCACCACGCCGCGATGGAACGGCTCTCCATCACACGTCCTGCGTCGCCGTGGCGGCGCAGCGCGGCGCAGGGCTTCGAATGCTGGGGGCACAGGTGCTGTGCAGACTGCAGCCAACAACAGGCAAAGCAAAGAGACGGAAAGCAGTATCCAGAGCACCGTGGCCGGAGCTTGTACGGCCCAACCCTGCTCACCAGCAGCCAAGCCCTGTAGAGACAGCACATCCTGCGAGAAGCAGCCGGCAGCTGCGAAAGCCAACCAGGAAGGTGCCGGGGTCGTGGTAGAACTGGTAGCATCGGCGTTGCCAGAGCCCCTGTCATTGGATCCATCCAAGGACGTGGAGCTGTTCTCACCTCCATGTCCGTCGCTCGTGGAGCCGTTCGCTGAAGCGTTCGGGTCAGTGTCCAGAGACGAACTCATGTCAGTAGTAGTTGAGCTCAGCAAGGGTGCTGTGATGCTTGAGGTAGTCGTGGCAGAGACCGAGGAGGAGGACGAGGAAGTGGAGGAGGAAGTGGAGGAAGAGGAGGAGGACGAGGAGGAGGAGGAGGAGGAGGAGCTCGTGCTGGTGGTTTCTGTGGTAGTGTGCGTGGAGGAAGTGGTCGAGGAAGTGTCGCTCCTGGAGGTCGTGCTCGTAGAACTAGAAGAGCTGGTACTGCCGGAGCTGCTGGAGCTGCTGGTACTGGAACTGGAGCTTGTCCGAGAGCTGGAGGTGCTGACTGTGGAGCTGGAGCTTGTGAGGGTGCTGGTCGATGAAGTGGAAGCTGTTGTCGTAACGGTGGACGAGGTGGTTATAGTGGAGCTTATGCTTGTACTGGTCGATGAAAGCGACGTTGTCGTTGTCGTGGTAGAGCTGGAGGTCGTGACACTGGCAGTGGTGGAGCTGGAGGTCGTGTCAGTCAAACTGGTCGACGAAATAGTGCTGCTGGTTCTCGTTTGCGTGGTGCTGGTGGTTTCTGTGGCAGAAGTGGTGCTACTTGTTTCAGTGGTACTTGTGGTCTGTGTGGCAGAAGTTGTGCTACTTGTTTCCGTGGTGCTTGTGGTCTCTGTGGAAGAAGTGGTGCTACTTGTTTCCGTACAAGTTGTGCTGCTGGAGGTGGAACTCAACGTGGTACTTGTTGTCGTGCTGCTTGTCTCGGTTGTCTGCGTGATCGTTGAAGTGGTCTCTGTCGTCACGGTCGCCGTGGTCACCGTATTTGTGCTGGTCGATTGGGTACTCGAGGTAACGGTATAGGATGTAGATGTGGCCGTGGTGACAGTGGCTGTGCTGGTCGTGGCCGTGCTGCTCGTGTCCGTGGTGGTCGTCGTCAGCAAGTTGCAGACGACCTGCGTCCCGAAGTTGCACCCGAAGAAAAAGATGTTGGAGTTCCACCACATGGTTGAGGAAGTAGTTTTGGTCCAGCACTTCGTAGGCGTACCACTCGATCCGGATGAGACCCCGCCATAGGTATAGCCGAGCGTTGCCGCTGCAGCACTGCAATCGCTTTCCGAAGCCAGGACCTCGTGCGAGCTTCCGCAGAAACAGCCACTGATGATGTCCTGGGTTCACGTTAAGGGAGTTATCTTTAATAAAGTTACCATAATAAGGAAACCATGCTGTTTACTGTAGATTGATCCTTGTTATGGTAACTGACATTAAATTCCTCAACAAGAACCCAGTGTCTTGAGCCTGCCCACCCACAACCAGGACCGAGATCAGCAGCCACATGGAAATGCTGTGATGCTGCGGACTGTGGCCAACTTCTTGCGGACCCCCGGAGAACCCAATACCACTTAATTAGGGAATATACCTTAAAAATCCTTAAATCACAATATTAAGCCCCCTATGATTTAAGGTATAATCCTTGATTAAGAGGTATTGGGATCTTTGGGCCTGCACCCAACCGATCACTGGTCTTAGCACGAGACCGACTGAGTCCAAGACGACTTTTTGATGCTGATAACAATTACAACCCCTAACATGCACATGAAGCGCTAAAGCCCTATAAAACCAAGTCCGCACAGAAGAAGGCAGGGAATCTCTTCGACCAGCAGGTCCGTCGCTGTTGCACATGCTTGAGCCGCAACCATCAAGAGAGATTCGCCTTCGATGCTCGATATGTGCGGAGGCACCAACTTCAAGCGGAGGAGCCACTTCGGCTGGACCTGCTTCTAACATTCAGCGCCAACATGTGCAGAACAAAGCAGATGCAATGCAAAAAGAATCATCAATCGGAATCTCCTGCAGAGCCATGGTTCACGTGTTCCTTGAAAGTCTTAAACCAGGTTTTAACACTGCGAAGCCACTGTATGGGTCCGGCGTGTCCCCAGGCTCGCCAGTGAAATTCCAGTCCGAGCGATCCTTGGCACGACAAGCTACAGGATAGCATCCGGGCTTGAGGTTTTAGAATCTATCTCTCGGCAAGGAGTCATCACAAGAACTCTGACTCTCTGTACACCTTGAATACACCTTGGAAGAATGCCTGCATGAACGTCAACTCGACAGGGGCTAAAGTCGAAGTCGACTACAACGGCTACAACCAGGCCTGTTGACTACTGCGGCGGCGCTTGAGAGGGCTACGGCATGGTTATCCCTGGTTGGAGGTTTATGTGTAGCTAGAAATAGGAACCCTATACCCTTATAGAATCCCTATAGATCCCTTTAAATGCACCCTTATAACTATACCCCACGTGCCTAACCACACTCCACTTCTCGGCTGCCCAGACGCACGAAGAGGCTTGATCGCTGGCTCCGTCCTCTGAATGTAAAAAGACTCCGGGCGCATAAAATAGGGGCCGTAATAATTAGAATAGGGCCTATATACTTAGAATAGGACTCCTTTAGTCCCTGTAAAGGGTTCTATCATGAGGGTTTCTAGAAGGGCTTTATACAGGGGGCTTAATGATTAGAATAGGGTCTTGGGGCCCATTATGCTATACTTATAATGAGGAACCCCCAAAATAGTATTGGTAATTATTTAGGCCCCTATATTAAGAACACTCACAAATTCGTGGCCTACTTTGCTCTCCCCCTTCGTGACCTCAGCGTTTCGCCGAACCTGAACACACAACCTCATGCACCCAGAGAGCCCAGTACCCCTTAACTAAGGAATATACCTTACATTATAAGGGGCTTCATATTATGATTTAAGCTGTATTCCTTAATTAAGGCTTTCTCGCCAAAAGAAAACACGCTCGAATGTTGACGACGAGGAAGACAACGATGATGATTAAAATTACGGTGGTCACGATGATATCGATGGCGATGATGATAACGATGATGATGACGATGATGATAACAATCGTGGTAGCAATGATGATGACCTAGCGATCTGGCAAAGGTGACTGTGCAAAGACCTTTTACCCCAGACCTTTTCCGCCACAAACCTCAACAAACTTGCCGCGACCTTCAAAGTCATCGGCCCCACCAGTGTTTTCGCCTTCTGCTGTAAGAGTAGCTTTGCAGCCCAGGTCCAGAGAATAAATTCAAGCCGGCTTTTCCCAGCACACAAAAATTGCCCACTGCTCAACACATTGATGACGATGATGATAACGATGATGAAGAGAATGATGAAAATGATGGTGATATCAATGGCGACCGTGAGGATGATAACGATGCTGACATCGATGATGATAGCACTGATGGGCTCAGAAAACTGGACACGAAATCGTGTCCCGTTTTTGCTTCTGCCACAATACTGCTGGGGAAGATCAAAACGTGCGATTTTGCTGCGCCTGCCACTCTTTTGTACACTTCCCTCGGCCGCTCCTGTGTCGGTTTTGTCTTCAGGGTGGTTGTTTTTTGGCGCGCGCGCGCGCGCGCGCGCCTTAATTAAGGGGTATGGGTTCTCTGGAAACCTCACCGCATCTGACCGAGGGCGCTGCTGTGTGTGTAGCCGCGTCCCCTCCTTCATGGCCTGGCGCGGCTAGGCTTCCCGCAAAAAAGGAATATACCTTAAATCATAATAGGGTTTGGGGTTTAGGGTTTTAAAGGGATCTATACAAGCGTTACTAGAAGACATCTATAAGGGTACTATATAGGGGCCTAAATAATTAGAACAAGTAAATCAAAAAAATAAGCCCCCTGTGGTTCTTATGACTTAAGGTACAATCCTTAATTAAGGGGTATTGGGATCTTTGGGTAGGCTACAGGTAGCGGCGTAGATCCAACACCACCGAAACTTTAGCTCGCTCCAGATATATACTATACTATACTATACTCTATACTTTACCATACTGTACGGGAATACAGTATATATTATAATATACTAAATGTCATCTAATGTAAAATGCTTAGCAGAAAGGAGGCTTCTCTGCACATCCTGGTCTGGAAGACCCCGCACCGGAAGGCTTTGAAACGTGTCTCGTGTACACCTGGGTCTATGCAAAAGGCAAGACCCGAGGCGCTGACTAACCGTGAACCATACTGCAACTCTAGTCGGCTTTTGTATACCTCAGTTTTTTGTTGTGTATACAGTATGCTACATTAAACTCTAGTATGCTATAGTATTTTACAGTACAGTCTATGATAGCATCTGATAGTATCTTATTGTCCTAGGGGTGTGGGGACCCAGCACGGCCTGCACGGCCCGCTCCGCACCCCAGTCCACTTTTCCTGGGCGGCTGCGCTCGTAGACGCCACCTTCGGGATTTTGTGCTTTCCGGTTTAGGGTTTAGTGTTTGGGGTTCAGGGTTTAGGGGGCTTTGTGTTTCGGGCTTAAGGGTTTCTCTTCGCGCCTGGCTTAGACGAAGGCAGGGTTTTAAGGCAAGTTCACCGAACCAACTTCAAGGAATCTGTAACACTACCGTGGAGGGCAGCGGATGGCAAGTCCTGCGAATTATGGTAATAGTGTCCGACTCATGTAGTGTGAGAAGAAGGCTGGCAAAAGAATCCCTGCTCTACCATGCTGATACGCTCTAACTATTTCAAGCTCTGAGAAAGCTACCAACATCTGGGAGTTTTCGAAAATTAGGGGTACCTTATTTTAGGGTCCTTATAATAAGGATCCTACTATTTGTGGTACTGTATTAGGGTCCCCTTTTTTCGGAAACTCCCATCTGCATCCCTAGAGTGCCGACTCAAACTCTGAACCACCGGGCCTGTCTTCGGTCTCCGGTCCACGGCATCCCGTGGGTTGGACTGTCCAGGGCCCGGGTTGTCCAGGACACTGGAGGCCACAAACCAGCTGGAGCCTGCAGATATGGAGGTGTCGATGGAGGAGTGGCAGCCCCAAAAACTTGGGTGTAGGAAGCTTACCTCCCAAATACCTAGCAGGGAAAAAGCTCAACCTTTCCAATAAGACTACCGTATAAGAGCCCCAAAAGTTGAAAAGTTGGGTTTTGGGCCACTGAGGAATGCAAGTTCAGCCCTCAACCTTCCACCCCAGCAGCCCAAAGCCCGCAATCCTAAACCCATACCCGCTCTTTTGCAGCAGGTCTCTGACGATAGCCGGTTTGAGAAGGAAAAAAAACCGAAACCCTGAAGACATCACTCGAAAACTCGAGCCACCTGAAAATCAAACAATTCCTGGTACAAGTAACTCTTGCAAGAAGCCCTTACTAAACCCAAAGCCCCAAGCCCCTCTCTCACCCCTAAACCTTAAACCCAGCTAAGCCCTAAACCCCAAAGCCCTACCAAGAAGCCCTCAACCCTAAACCCAAGAAGCCCTCAACCCAAAACCCAAGAAGCCCTAAACCCCAAAACCCTACCAAGAAGCCCTCAACCCAAGAAGCCCTCAACCCACGAAGCCCTAAACCAAGGGAGGCCAAGAGGCCAGGAACAAAGGTCGGCTCTCGGAAATTCTCCGGGTCACAGCGCGAAGTGGTGGAGTTGAAGGAGCTGCAGCTGGCCTGAGCGGCTGCTTCGGTTCCTTGTCCTAGGGCTTCGGCGGGGTTTAGGGTTTAGGGAGTTTAGTGTTTATGGGTTAGGGTTTAGGTTTCAGGGTTTAGGGGGGGGCTTACATAAGGCGTAAGACCGTGTAGTGTTCGCGTGCCATGCCCTTGCAGCTCCAGTCATCGATTTCGTACGTGCATGTTGGGCTGTTGCGTTGTGTGTTGTTGCGGTGTTGTGCTATTCTCTGACATCACCTACCTTTGGTTCGTCTACTATTACTACCATTCTTCCATTCCCGACTACCCGAAGGTAAGATCATCAAGACCCTGAGGCATAACGGTAAGTAGACACCACGACATAAGCACGAGACCCGTGGCTCGCAGCAGAGAGAAACAGGGAGAAGAACCAGTATTGTAGCCTTAGTTCAGTTCATAATGTAGGAACCTGATTAAGAAACCTTGGGCCTTTATTAGGGTTCTTTTTATGAACCCTACTAGTTTGGGGTTATAGGCCCGGGGATTCTTAGCCAGGTTCCAACATTACCAGATGTCACTGTTATGCTACATTGCCCTTCGGCTATTCTGCTCACGGCTGCTGATAATGATATACACAATCAGATTATCAGTGCCTCGTGCTGATGAGAACCCCCCCCCCCGCCCTGCTTCTGTCCTTTCAGTATGTCGAAGTTGTGCAACAACAAGAAGAAACCCTAATGATGCATTGAAACCCTATGGCAGCTTCCGAACCCTCCTAAGCCATGAAAACCTCCTACACCCTTTTAGGGACTGTAAAACCCCTACAAAAACCCACAAGAATCCTTTTTTGGAACAGGCCACGGTCAGTGACTGCGATGGTCGGTCAGGGACCGGATCCGTCGCAAGCCGCCGCACAGCGTACTGGCCGGGCCCTGCCCGGAAGGCGTGGTGACGAGACTCGGAGGTTTAGGGTTTCGGGTTCAGGGTATAGGGTTTAGGGGTTTACGCTCTCGCAACTCGGACATGTCCAGACGAGGTTCGTAGATAGCAGGTCGGTTGACTACAGCACATCCCCAAAGGCCTATGAAGACAGCCAGAACAGAAGGTAATGCCATGGAGTACAGGCCATCGGGGTGTGCAAAGGCCCTTACTTTGAAGGGAGCGAGGAAGTCTGTGCCGTAAGAAGACAGCGCAACACAAGTTAGAGCCATGGAGTACACAGCACTGAAGTCCTCGCTGGATGGCGAATATAGTAGAGTACTTGCAGGCTACCATGTTGAATAGAACTATCTCGAAGGATAGAGACAAGGACGGGACTAAGACAGCGGTTTAGGGGTTTAGGGTTCAGGGGTTCAGGGGTTTAGGGCTTCTGCTTAAGTTTGGTTTTTGGGGTTCGGGGTGGTTGCGTTGCTGCGGCATGGTGTATTAGCGGGAGTCTCGCGACGCAGAGCCGGCGAAGGATGTGGAATCGAGGACAAAACGGCAAGAATAGTTTTTTGCACCCAAAGCCCCAGCTACAGAAAAAAAACCGGACCCTGAAAAACACCGAATCCTAAACCAACCCTACACCCTATCCTTACTACCCCAATACGCCACAGAAATAAAAGGTTAAACTCTCCGATTCCTACTGAACTATAAGAACCCAAAAAGTTTAAAGGTTAGGCATTGGGGATCTAAGTATCAGGGCCCTAACCCAAGAAGCTCAACCCTCAACAACAAAGAGGCGCCCGCCAGCCTGGCAGGTCTGACGCGTCTCTGCTAGGGTTGGGCCTCCGAGCGCGTCGCTGGGTGGCTGTTGTAGGGTTTCGGCGCTCACACTCGGACAATCCAGGCGAGGCATGGAAGGGTTTAGGGTTTACCGTTGTGTTCAGGATTGGGATTGTGGACTTATGGTGCTTGTTTGTAGAGCGTTGCAGCGCGAAGATCTGCTATTATCAGACCATGAGCAAGACAAGCGACCTTAGTGAGAAGAACAAGACTTGGGCCTTGGGGAAAAAGATATGGTATAACTGTAATAAGGAAATGACATTGGCAATTAAATATTTAGGCCCTATATCTATCTCAGTTTGTGAGGCTTTTGCACGAGGTGTCCAGGCTTCCCCGAGCGGCAGTGGAGAATCTGCACAACCTGACCCTCAAGCCGGCCTGTCACCGATGCCTAGAGTGCATGTCTTCGCCGGCGGCAAGCGTGGATCGTAGGTGCCAGGACCCACATTCCTTGGCTTCGCTGATCGTGGGTCGAATTCGAAACTCCGGCTCCCTTGTAAGACATCCATGCCAATGAGAGTTTATCATACACCATGACCTATCATGAAAGGTGCCCCAGTTTGGAGTGGGCCGGAGCTCGGCGTGCCAATGACGAAGCACTCGCTGATGACATCGCGCTCGCGGTGCCAGGAGGCGATCAGCGCCATGAAACCCCAGGGGCCCTTCGAATGTCAATGCTGGCTGGAGCAGCCCTGCACCAGAGCCGATGTGCATGAAGTTTGGAGTTCGTGATCAAGCGGCATGCGCGAGGTATGAAGTCTCTGTTCTATAGACTATGGACCTTCCACGGGCTTAATGCGGGGATTCTCTCAGTGGCCTTGAGATCCTTGGGACCTAATTACCCTCCCTGCCAAGGCCCGCTTTCGCTCCGCACCCCTTGATCTCCCAGCTGTGGCAGAAAGATGCAGCGGGGGAGCCCTAAGCAACGGAGGATAAGATACGGCACTCCAAGAACACGACAAGGGCATTTCGTCGAACCGCGATATGACTGGATTCATAGCACGAAACTCACATGAAAACAGTCGACGGAGTCTTCGGAAGAGGCCCTTGCAATGCTACAGCTGCAAACGGATCCAAGATCTGTAGCGCACCACATGACGAGAACAGCGAGTGGAAATGTCACGTGCGAGCACGCCCCGCCGGTGCGAGATCGAATGAGTTCGGCCATACAACAGTCCATGTCCCTTTCGTCTGGATGCGGGGAGTGCACCAAGCCCCAGACCCTAAACCCTATACCCTAAACCCTATTTTGCATCCAGGCCTATTGCGACTGCCTAAACCCTAAACCCCTAAACCCTGCCCATGTCAAGCCTCCGATCATCCGCCTACCAGACGTGAAACCCGCCGTAACCGTGCACCCTCCTCTGAAAGTGCTGCGAGCAGAGGAGGCTTTCCTGGAGCCTCTCGCATCCTGGGCTCTTGTTAAGGATCTAATTTCAGGTACCATAATAGGGATCTATAGAAAGAATATGGTTTCTTTATTATGGTAACTTATATTAAAATCCTTAACCAGAGCCCAGGATCTTCGAAAGAAGCATATTTCCAACTCTCATGGTCTGATCGGGGCCTGCACACGGGGCATTCGACCCGGCGCAGGAAACTCGAGTGAAACGACTCCTCGTGGAATTCCCACCGGCTACGGAAAACATCCAGACAGCACTACGACACGAGTCCTAAGAAGCGTCCATCACGGAACTGCTCAACTCAGAAGCAGCACCAAGAGAAGCACAGCTGTTCGAAGCGGTATTAGTCCGCCTTGGGTGGTTTGGACTGGGTGGGCATACAGCCCAGAGTGGCATGCATGGACTACTTTGGTGCATGTTACGGTGCCTGCAGCACCGAGAACGAAAGCCCTGCAGTTTTTTCCACTCTCTCAGTCGGGAAGCACTGCTTCGGTAGCCTGAGATTTCAATGCAAGGACGGCGAGCAGCGAGCGAGCGACTGGCTGATCGAAGACAGAAGAGACATGTGTTCTGACTGATAAATCATGGTGTTGGGCCTGCCACCTTTGCTTCGGATCTTCCGAAAGAGATGCCCTGGCAGCTAAGCCGAGATCGGCCGAGCTCCGGGCAGGCTGCCGTCGCTAGCCCGACCTCTGGTGAAAGCCGAGGAAGCTTCGGCTGATTGTTCGGCAGTTGGGAGTTTGCGAAGACTGGGGGGGGTACCTTATAATTTGGGGGCCCTTATATTAAGGATTCTACTGTTTAGGGTACTAGATTAGGGGTCCCCTTTTTTGGATACTTCCATTTCTTGGCGCAAAACCTCCGCAAGACAGCCAAAGTTTGTAGAGCTCTTGCTTGGGTAGCATAGGGGCCTTAGTGATTCGAACAAGGTTTTGGGGTATATTATACTCTAACTGTAGTAAGGAAGCAACAGAATAGGGCCCCTGCATTACAAGGATCTCAATTTAAAAAAAAGGTTCTGGGATGCAAAGACCTCTGGGGTCATGACCGTGCATTGCTGCTGCCGACGCTGCTATCGAACACGGTAAACTGGGTGTGAGCTCCTGCCAGAGTGCAGGAGCTACTGTGTGTTGCCACTTCTCCAGACGCTCTGACAAGACATAAGCCGACTGCAGCCCCCGGCGCAAAATGGCGCGCTGCACTGCACCGCAATTGGGCCATCTGGAGCTAAACGGACTCGGGCCCAAGCAGCTAGCTGTTTTTGCCAAAAGGTGCGCCTGGACCTGGAGTGAACCATGGATCGAACTTCGGATAGCCTCGGCTTCGTCAGCAGAGAAACTGAACACGGCCTGCGGGGAGCTATGTCAGAAAGCAACGTGCCCCAACGAAATGCCCTCTCTCACTGGCTCTGCCGAAGGGCGGAAGGAGTTCCTCTTTGGCTTGACCTCGGCCTGCAAAAGGCATTAAGGCTCCAAAAGCTCAGGAACACAGGTTTGGAGGGAACTCGCGTGCCCCAGGAACGGGGTTCCAAAGTTCCTTGGAGCTACTTCAATACTCAAGTGGGGGCAGGCAGGGTCCAACGCGTCTGCCATGTGTCAACACGAGGCAGGCAAGGCCTGTTGGGGCTTCGAATCGCAAAATGCTCAGCTGAAACCATCTAAACAAAGATGACGACGCGTAGCACAGTGCTGCAGTGGTGTACCGTGTCACGGACAAGACACACCCATCGCTCGAGTGCTCTCCGGACCCCAGCACCTGTGTCAAAGCTGGCTCCCACGTCGCTCTGCTGAAGGAGTAGTCCGGTCTGGCGTCCTTGCCCAGAGAGCCCAATACCCCTATTTTTCGCTAAACCCTAAACCCTAAACCCTAAACCCTAAACCCTAAATATTCCTCAATTAAGGGGTATTGGGCGTCCTGGCAGGGCGATCCCGATCGGCACTTCCGGGCTCAAGAACTCAGAGTTTGGGGGCCAAGAATGGCATGGGCTGCTGCTAAGCATATTCTGGCATCATATAGTATATTCTGAAGTGGCACATGTAAAGGTATGGTATATTAAGAATCCGGTTATCATCATATCATCATACTATAGGATACTATGGGATGTGCGATGTATGTAGGATGCAGCTTGGTCCCGGAAGCCGAAAACCCACCCACCCCTGGGATGCAAGCCCAGGACGGCCTCCACACACCTCTTCGCATCCATCTCGTGATTATCCTTTGTCTCACGGAGAGGGGTTAGGGTTTCGTGTTTAGGGTTTCGGGCTTCGGCAGTGCACGGGTTTCGTGTTTAGGGTTTCGGGTTTTGGAATGTTTCGAGTTCAGGGCCAATTTACGCTCTCGCAACTCGGACCCGAGCTCTTTAGGGCCCATTTGGGGTTTTGGGTGGATGTAGTGAGTTTTCGGCACATCGATCAATACACAGTTCAAAGTTGCAGCTGTGTTCGAAGGGAGCCAATCCATTGAAAATCCGATCCAAATCAGGTACGTACCATGCACCTCGACACTCTTTACAAACAAGGCGAACTCCAACCCTGGAATTCGAGAGCGAACCCCAAGAGAACAATCTTCAGACCATAACGTAAACGGTAAACCTTGAACCCTTTACCCCATCTACACCCTAAGGCTGACACAAACACCCAAACTGCCGAACAGTAATTTTGGTGAAAATTATAAACAGAAGGAGAAGCGGTCGTTACAATTAACTATCATCACACTTATTATGACAAGACCCCTCTAGTAAAGCGGGTGTCCGAGTTGTAGAAGCTGCGCTCCGTAGCGTGCGCTCCCGGACCGGGGATCCAAACCTTCTCCTGCAGCCACACTTGTCTGTCTGGTTCTTAGTAGGGAATGGGGGAATGGATGCTTATGGTAGTCCCGTTAGGTCCCCTATATAGTAGTCCCAATGACCCATTCCCCCATTCCCTACTCAGAACCAGACACTTGGTGGTTTCGGCGCTCACACGAGGCGGTTTAGGGGTTCAGGGTTTCGGGCCATACTAGGTAGAAACAGTTAGGCGGAGATCCGATTCTGCAGAACCCCCCCCCCCATCTCTCCGAAGACGAGCCCGCATGTCAGGATTTAGGGGCTTTAGGGTTGAGGAGATCTTCGGGTGTTTTGGGGCCGTGCCGGTGAGATGTTATAGGGGGTTGTTAGGAACCCCTAGGGTTTTGAGGCTCAGCCGTTCAGCCTTCGGAGGCGTACGCTAGGAGCCTTTTTAGAATCGGGTTTCCGGGCATCCTACACTACAATGTTAGTACAATCAGAGTCAGGAACCCTTGCGGAATGATATTCGTAACTGTTCAGGCTCTGAAATTGAATCTGTGAAAAAAATCCCATCCTAGCGGAGCTTATTTTAACCCTGAAAGAGCCCTTTCGAAACAGCCCTTGTTTAGGGCTTCTGCTTGACTCCTTTCTCGCACATGCCGCGCGCACGTCTTTTGCTAGGGTTTTGGTTTAAGCAGAAAAGCAAATAGGAATCGTCGCCCGCCTAGGCCCCAAAACGCTGAAAACGTCGGACTGCGCTACCTTGATGGCGGCATCCATCCAGGTCTTCCGGTCACCACTGCCGTTCGTCGAAAGAGCTGGGCGGATTGCGGGGGGTTGACGTCAGAACACAAGGAAGCGTTTCTACCCATGCACCGCGACAAACAGCAAGAGGCTCATTTTGATTTCGGGTGCAGAAGGCATTGTTTTCCTTGCTGCACACATACGCACATTCATTCATACATACGTTCGTACGAACATCCCCGCTGCTTGCGACTCCCCGAAACAGCCTGACTCCCGCAACCTCTGGACCGCGAAGACGATCGTCAAGCAACGAAGCTATGGCCTGCCCTGTAGGAAACCTCCTCTCCCCGAACAAGCTGGTCCAAGCGCCAGTGCATGCTCGCACCATACCCTGTCCTCCTTATCGGCATGCTTGCGTCGATCGCTCCGCTATACAATGCCGATACTCATTTATGCCCAGCTTCTTCTTGACCACTTGTTACGAGAAGTTTCGGAAATGTTAGCTGCCGTGCTGGGCTCTGTGCCGGCCCGGCCGATGGTGAATCGCGGTCCCGTGCGCGCCACCGGGTGCTTGGCCCAACCTCACGGGAACACGTCGAACTGCGGCCAATCAAGGTTCACACATACTCCGGCTTCGTGCGTTCGTGGTTCCCGGCTTCAGGCAAAGCGTGCGTTGTGATGTCCTCCCAACTGCCAAATCACCCATGCACACTTTTGCTTTGGAAGGCCCCGAGCGTTTCGAAGTGTTTTTGTCGCCAAGATGTCATGGGCGAATCTGGAGTCGGGCATTTTCGGGCTGACTGCAGAATCCTATGATTCGGGATGCTCCGAGGCCCATAGCTTGTTTGCGCCTGAAGCGAACTCAATTTACATCCAATCCCTAAAACCCCCAATTCTCCAACCACACCCCGAAATGCTCAGTCCTACCTGAGCCCTGTAGGCCCTACGACGTAGAGCAGCAACACGGAAGCCATGGGTTCACATACTGTGCATTGACACGAAGCAGTCAGGTCCAGTTTACAGCAATTAGCGGCTGGGGCTGAGGGTTCTCACACTTCATCCGGCCGCAAGTGCGAAATCAAGCTAAATACAAATTATAGTGCATTATGTTATATAATTGAACGCGTGCAACAGCAGGCTTTGATTAGTAACTCCTTGAACGAGGCTTGAAGCATGTGGGCATCAGCCGCTTAGGGCCAACAGCCGAAAGCACAGACGCCTCAAGTCCTAGCATCTCTGTGCACAAGACCTCGTGTGAAGGCGTCGGGGTCGGTGAGTGGCGTCAGTGTGATCTTCCGGGCACCGGTTCGCCTCAGCCGCCACGTTAAGGGAAGTCGGTGGCTCCTTCTCCGACGTTCACTTCTGCGGAAGTAGGACCCAGAACGCTTAGGTTGAACTGCTTCGGGGTGTGTAAGGCGCCAGCCCAGGCAGCCCAGATCCCGACATGCCTGCTGGCGGGATCAAGGCTCGAAGATGAGGCTCGAAGCTGCCAAAGTCTAGGAGGGACGCCCATCAGAGACAAAGCCACGATCCGAAAAACCCTTTGATGATGGTAGGATCTAGTATACCCTAAAGCCTTTTGCAACTGGCTTGCAACGTCGCGCCAGGACAGCTGACTCGCGCAAACCCTAGACCCTAAACCTAGGATCTACTATCAGTCTTGCTCGGGGGAGGATCTCCAATGAAAAGCGAATGCCAGCTGGAAAGGCTACGAACAGTTCAGCGATGCGCCACGGCCACGACGTAGCAGGAGCTTTGTGACATGGGCCACACACATTACTCCTCTAGACATATGGATGCGGTCGGGTTTTTTGAGTCAAACGAAATTAATAAGTAAGTAAGTAAGTAAGTAAGTAAGTGGTTGCGCGCTAACCATTCCACGCGGTTCAATCGGGGGCGCGAGGGGGGGGGGGGGACGGGGGATGACCGAACAATGGCTTTCCCGGACATGTGAGACTGGCCTGCATGAGCAGCCCAGCAGCTGTTTTCCAGTCCGCCCTCTTTCGAGCCGACATTTCCGAATGAGATCGTGCTTTTTGTGTTGCCAGTTAAGCATCTTCGGCACCTGGTCCTGCGAAGGCTTAGGCGCTGCAATCACAGAATGGATGCTTGTAAATTCACTGCAGGTGTGAACTTTGCGTGCAAATTTCAACTGTCCACAGCTTCTTAGGAAGTCTGTAACGAAGCATAAAAGGCAGGGATCTTCTCAAAACACGGGCATCAAGTAACCATGTTTGTGTTTATACCTTCTTGAATGAAACACCGCATGTTGCATGAGAGATCCCGGGTAGGCCACCAGCCTTCTGCAATCGCTGTAAACAGCGTTGGTCTCATTTTCGGCTGCTTTGGGCCATCATCTACACAGAAGGGCAGTCAAAGGTTGGGAACGTTATGTCTTCGTCAGCTGCTACTACTACTGCTACTACTACCACCGCTAGTCTACTCTCCTGCTACGACACTGCTACGACTACTGTAACAACGCTAATGCCGTGTACTTCTCAATTTCAACGATGAGCGGCACGAGGCTGACTGGAGAAGACAAGGAAAATTAGTCATAATGTAAGTGCATTAATGATTAGAACAGGGTTTTGGGTCCATCATGCTAAAATTAGAATAACGAAACCCCCAAAGATTATAGGTAATTATTCAAGCCCCTATATTAGATGTTTTGGGCATGGTCCTCGCAGACCTCTGACTCCCTCTCTTGGGAGGCCCAAAGCAAATTATTAACGATGGCCGAGCCTGAACATGCCCGGGAAATGGACATCGCCGCACACACCGCGGGGCAAAAGCGCTGGGCATCTCCGCTTTGAAGGATGAGGGTTTCTTGGGGCTAGAACTGCAATGTACTGCGACAACTACCACTACCACGACGAGTACCACTATCACCTCCGCCAGCACCACTCCGACGACGAGACAATGACCGAAGACAGCAACGACGATGACGATGCCCGCGCCGGCGGCGGCGGATGATGCCGCTGATGCTGCGGCGGCTGCTGCTATGGCGACGACGACGACGACTACTACTACTGCTCCTGCCACGCCTGGCAATCGTACCGTACAAGCTGAAGCAGCAGCAGCGGTCAATCCTAGCTAGTGAGTGGTCAGCGGTGGGCTGAAAAAGTGGTGGATGCAACCTGTATTCTGCTGTAATACCCTGCATCCTGCTTCGGAGCATGCCAGCTCACGCGGCTGCTACTCTCTTAGCAGCAAGCAGCATGGCACACGGTGCAGCGGAGCTAAGAGCAAGACATAGATGTCCTCTGATGCGAAAGGATCCCCGAACTTCGCCTACCTTGTGGCAACCAGAAGATAAATCTCTACCCAAAGCCAAAAATTCAGCTCCCGACGCCTTCGGCGACAGCTGCAGGCGTTTTAGTGGGATAGCCGATTTACATGCCCAGCTAGCAGATAGCTGCAAAGCTGCCCTAGATACGCTCATCATTTCTTCTCCTTCTCCTTCTCCTCCTTCTTCTCCTGCGCGCAGATATCTTCATCGGAGATTGGCTTGAGGACACATGGGTTCGCCAGTCCACCCCTCCCGATGATTCCCCTGCCTTGCTCTGAGATTCTGCTGTAAGCCAAACCCCAAGCAAAAGCCGAAACCAGTTGACAAGCAGCAGTGTGAAGACGGTGCTTCGCAGCTTCAGAAACATGATAACTGCATAATCTCTTACTCTCCGAACTTCTCCTTGTGTCTATACTGCAGCGCGTGTCCCACCGCCGCTTGCACGTAAGGAACACATACTAACTTGTGAAGACTAAGCAGGCGGTTATGACTGAGCCAACTTCGCTCCCACTGCGGCAGAATGAAATCACAGGTTTTTATGAGGTTCCTGAAAAAGGTTTATACGCATTCTGTAGCGCTAGAGAGGGGACTCTATAGTCCGCTTTTGGGTTCGGGTCGACTGCTTGGAGGCCCTGTTGACTTAGTAAGTCTACTTAGTATCCCCTAGAAACCCCATTATAATCCCCATAACCCACCTTACTAACCCTACTTACTAAGTCAAAAGGGCCTCCAAGTGGGCGTCCCTCTCTACTTGGAGGATCAGATGACTTAGTAAGTAAGATACGTAAGGTAGCTCTATGGTGATATCTACTTATAACCCTACTTAAGGTACTTGAAACATCTTCTAACCCTACTTTTGTCACTCGTGCTCGACAAGTCAGACGAGGTTTCCTACTTTCAAAGTCCCATGATCCGCTAAGTCGGATCCCGGCGCCTCCTCCTCCGGCTTGGAGCTGGACTCCTCGCTGGCAGATCCTTGCCTGGGCGCTGCTACGGCTGGTATCCAGAGAGCCCAATACCCCTTAAGTAAGGATTATACCCAGGGTTCCTTTGAAAAGGGTCTAAAAGGGATCTGTAAGGGATCTATAGGGATTAGGATTTCCGATACCCCTTTAACTAAGGAATACAGCTTAAACCATAATATGAAGCCCTACATAATTTAAGCCATACTCCTTAATTAAGGGGTATTGGGCTCTTTGGGTAGCCAGCATCGTAGTGAGACAAGCCCGAAGCAAACATGGTTCACATCCAATTTACCCTAGAAAGTCTGGACTTGGAAGCCTCAATGGAGACCATACTTGGAGGATCATGGGACTTAGTAAGTAGGGTTATAAGTACCTTAATTGGGGTTATAAGTACGTATAACTTATAAGTATAGTTACCTTATTTATAACCTTACTTACTAAGACCCATGATCCTCCAAGTAGGACGCTTGAAGGTTTAGGGTTTAGGGTGAGGACCTTCAAAGATGGTGCACACTCTCGGCTGACCGGCCTTCGCCTAGTAGGCCCTTGACTGTGCTACACCAAGCGCGCGGCTGATAAGCCTGCTGCGTGACCTTCCAGACCTTCTCCTGGAGCTCCTGGCATTCAGAAAGAGCCGTATTGCTGTTGTTATTATTACTACTATTATTCTTATGAATATTACTATTATTATTACCATGATTATTATGATTATTATTATTATGAATATTACTAGTGTTATTGCTATTATTGCTATTCTACCGTGACCCGGGAGGCCCAGATGGACTTCAAGTCCCCCAACTCAGATTGTTTGTGTGCCAGTGTTCTGAATTCCTTCATGCCGTTCCTGCCGCTTCGCTGACTCAGTATAGGACCTACTTGGAGGATCATGGGACTTAGTAAGTAGGGTTATAAGTACCTTAATTGGGGTTATAAATACTTATAAGTATAGTAAGCTTATTTATAACCCCATTTACTAAGTCCCAGGATCCTTTAAGTAGGAGCTCCACTGTAGCGCCACAAACCTCAGCTGTTCGCAGGTCGGCCTTGGTCTTCTGCTTCGCTTACCCTAACTAACCAGTATGGACCAGTGGTTTTGGGGGTTCCCTTGGCTCTTTAGCTCCTGATTTAATAGGGATTATCATCCCCCCTGGCTCCTTAGCTCCCATAATATCAATGGTTAGCTAAACCCTTGTTGCGGCAGGCTTCTCTCGCCTGGAACAGCTGTCGCTGCGAAGCAGGGCAGCACTCGTGACTGCGGGGTTGCAACCGGAAACCCTCTACTGTGGACGAGGTCCGTCTGAAGCGACTCCATCAATTGAACTTCATGAATCTCTCTAGCTTTTCGAGAGAGGCAAAGGCAAACATGTCGAATTACATAGCTGTGTACTGCAGCCTAGAGTGATCAAAACCCTTTTTTTGAGCGCGGACTCGAGCAGTATGCCGGCCGGACCACACCTGAGGGCAGAGCCTTCTCAAAAGAAACTGGATTGATCAAAACCCTAAACCCTGAACTCTTAAACCCTTTGCAACTGGGCCTGCTTAAAGGATCATGGGAATTAGTAAGTGGGGTTAAAAATCAGGGAACTATACTTATAACTACTTATAACACAAATTAAGGTACTTATAACCTCACTTACTAAGTCCCATGATCCTCCAAGTAGACCCTAGACCCTAAACCCTGTAGATCCCTTTAAGGAACCCCTATAGATCCCTTTAAGGAACCCCGTAAAATGTCCCAAAGGCCTACCTAGGGCCTGGGGAGCCAGATCCGAAACCCTGAACCCTCCTTGGTCTTCTGCTTCACGTCATCCAGGTCGGCGTCGTCGTTCGCGAGACAGGCCCGGAGGTCCTCTGCAGGGGTTTTCGGTTCGGGGCTTAGGGTTTAGGATTTAGTAGGCTTACTTGTCCAGTATCCTAGGGGAACTAAAGGCTAACCTTTGGGAATGTAAGGGGACTCTAGTACTCCAAGAAAATTAAAGGCCACCTACTCCACTGCTGGGTAGGTTGTGGGGATCAGGATCTAAATGGGTGGTTGTCAAAAATTATGGTCCTTTTTTGGGTCCCCAAAGAAGATATGGCACCTATTATGTAGGGTAACCAAAAAAGGGATTCTAATTTTGACAACCACCCAAGTTTGAGGCTTCGGATTTTGGCGCTTACATTTCGGTGTTTTGAGATCGAGGGTCGAGGTTGAAATCAGACCACCGGACCAACCTGACCTGGAGGTTCTGATAATGCGACAACCGACCGGGCCGAAAGAATTACCCCTTCTATTTCGGTGGGTCCTTATTACAACTATGGCAGAATAATCCAAAAACCCTGTTCTAATTAGGCCATTATACTATACCTTCATACTACCCTTTATGGTAACCCTCGTAGATTCGATTTTAACCCCAAGAGCTGGGACGGAAAACTCTGAGGGGCTGAGAGCATCGGCTGAATTCTCGGACCTCCGTGAGCTTCTTCAGCTCATCCGCATCTGCGGTGCTCATCCTGAATGCGGGTCTCTGAATATGAGGCGCCTTAATAATGAGAATCGGGTTTTGAGGTATATTAGACTATACGTATAAAAAGGAACCCTCCAAAATAGTATCGGTAATTATTCAGGCCTCTACAGTAAACCCTAAAGTAAACCTAAAATATGTGAGAGGTTTTGTGATTGGCATTGTTCTCTGGCGTAGGGGGAGCAGAAGTCCAAACATGCTGAAAGAAAATGCCCCCACCCAGAGAGCCCAATACCCCTCAATTAAGGAATATAGCTTAAATCATAATATGAAACCCCTTATGATTTAAGCCATATTCCTTAATTAAGGGGTTTTGGGCTCTCTGGGCAAGGCAGTCAAGGCACTTGTCTTTGAGGTCCGTCTGCTGCTTCTCTGCCTCACCATCGAGCAGTGCTTGCTCTTCGCTGTACCACCGTGTCTCAGAGGGATTTAATTCTAGATTCCCCTTTAGTAGTTCCTATCTTATTCAAAAAGGGTCTAGTCTATGTTGAGTATCATAGGAGCTGCTAGGAATTAGGCGATGAACTGGCAATCATGAGCCTGGTAGGCGAGAGTCTCGGCCTCATTCTTTGCCTGCACCGTGTCCTGGAAGGTTATTCAATATAGGGTTCCTGAAGAATTACCTACACTAGTTTGGGGGCTCCTTATTTTCAGTATAGTATACTTGGAGGCCCTTTTGACTTAGTAAGTAGGGTTGGTAAGGTGGGTTATGGGGATTATAATGGGGATACTAAGTAGACTTACTAAGTCAAAAGGGCCTCCAAGTAGTGGGCCCTAAAACCTGAAAACCCTAAACCCCTAAACTCTAAACCCCTATATATCCCTTAAAGAAACACTTATAGTACCCTTTATAGGAACCCTAAGAGATTCCAAGTATTAAGGCCCCTATAGTAAGTCTTGAAGGGCTTCTGGCCAAGCTCAGAGCTGCTGGGCCTTTCGACCTCTTAGAAAGGGGCCTGAATGACTAGAATGTGGGTTTTTGGGACCCATTATCTACTATTTGCTTAAGAACCCAAAAAAATAAAAAATGTATTCCTTATGGGGGTAATATAGGGATTTCCATTTTATTTTTTGGGGGTTTCTTAAGCAAATAGTAGTTCTACTATACTGAGAACAAGGACCCCCCAAAATAGTGTTGGTAACGATTTAAGCCCCTAGAATACATTGAGGTTTCTATAGGAATGCTGCACATTTGCCCCAACAATGCCCTAAAGACGACGCGTGCGGCTGCAATCAAAGCCTACGATCGGTGCACTGCCAGGCTGACCTGTTGGAAATTGCTGCGCAGTGGAGCATAGAAGAACAGTTTGCTGGATACAGGTATCTGATAGCTACCCCCGAAATACTTCCAGCTCTCTGAGAGGCGTCCGGGCCTGAGTCCAGGATCGGATTGAAGGGCCCATGGAGCATATTATTTACTGTAGATCCCTATTGTGGTAGCTTAATTTAAATCCCTTAAAATTTTAAAAGTTTAACAAGAACCCAGAGCAAGGACGCAAGGCCTTCTTCCGCTGGTCGGCTTCTCGCATCTGCTCGGCCTCTTGGACCATGCGTTCCACCTGCTGCCACAAGCCCGGGATACCGGGAGCTCAGAAAACTTATGGCGAGGGTTTGGGGGTTTTGGGTTTAGGGCCTTCAGGGTTTGGGACCTTCTGGTTTAGTGTAGGGTTTAGGGTTTAGGTTTTCGGCGCTCACACTCGGGCAATCCAGGCGAGGCATCCCTACAGAACCACTGTAGAACCCCCTACAGAATCCTCCAAAACCCCTCCTCTGTAAGACCCAAAAACCCGAACCTTTTCACCAATATCCCTTAATTAGGGAATCTACCTTGAATTATAGGGGCCTTCAATATTATGGTTTAAGGTATATCCCTTACTCAAGGGCTATTGGGATCTCTCCTATAATTTAAAGTAGATTCCCTATTTAAGGGGTATTGGGATCTCTGGGATGGAGGGCTTTTTTTAAGAGGGCCCCAAAAAAGCACACAAGCAAAAATTAGGATAGGGATATCCCTAAAATGCTTATGCTTATGTGTTTTTGGGTCCCTACAAGGAGGGCTTTTTTGAAAAAAAAGGCGCGGCGGCCTCGGAGTCGGAGAGGCCGCCGCTGGAGCGGATGGTAATGGCCTGACAAAGAAGACGCTGCAGGGGTTTTAAAATTTAAAGGGGTTTAGGCTGGTTTGGAGGTTTCGGGTGGTTTAGGGGAGTTTTTTTGGAGTTTGAGTGGGTTTAGGGGTTTAGGGGGGTTTAGGGGGCTTTAGGGGGGGTTTGGGGGGTTTGGGGGTTTAGGGTTTTTGGGGAGTTTTTCCCTCCCTTTTGGAGGATCGCGCGGACTTAGAAAGTAAGGCTATGAATAAGGTAACTATACTTGAAACTACTTATAACCCCAATGAAGGTACTTATAACCTTACTTACTAAGTCCCATGATCCTCCAAGAAAGTCGCACTGCAGGGACGGTGTAGGGTTGCGGGGTTGGGATCCGAAGCAAACTGCCCTGTTCCAAGGCTCCCCGATTCCGACGACTAAAGCTCAGAAGGCCTCAAGCACATGGGTGCTAATAACAACAGTAGTGAGAATAATAGCAATCATCAACAGCGATAGTAGTAATATTACCGATGAATGACGGAAAGTCAAAATAGTAGCCATAAAGATAGTCATGGTACTACTTGTAGTACCAGTCCGGGGCCCCGAGGTAAGGGCCGGCCTGCTTCTTGCCCGTTCCCTTGTCAGACGCACTGACGTTCACAATGCCGTTCGCATCGATGTCAAAAGCCACCTCTCAAGCTCCAAAGTTCAGGATTCGAGAGCTCCAAAGTTCAGGATTCGAGAGCCATCTACAAGAGTGGAAGAGCCCCGTATGAGCCACCTCTCCTTTTGTGTTTAGGGTTTAAAGATTTTTCCCTCCTAGGGTTTAGAGTTTAGGGTTTAGGGTTGAGGGTTAAATGAGGGTTTAGGGAGACTGGTTGGGAGTGACATCAGTACCTAGCCAAGGGCGCACAACGCCTTCACAGGTGAAATCAGAAACCTGTCCCCCCCTCGCTGCTACCGCAAAACACATACCGACTGAAACCCCAGGAAAGACCCTGCACAAGGTGCACGAGAAGGCTAGACAAGCAACCAAGAAGCTTACCAACCTGCCTAAATCATTCGAAGAGGGTTTCGGTGGTATGTGGCGGTTTTGTGGATCTCTAGTATAGTCTTCTAGCATCCTTTCCCCGGATGTCTTAAAAGACTTTACCCCTGAACCCTGAAGCATAAATCCCTAAAGCCTAAATCCCTAAAATCCCTAAAAACCCTAAACCCTGGAAAACCCTAAAACCTGAGCGAGGATCGCCTGGCCTCGATCTGGGGCACTCCCCGAGGTGCCGGTGGGATGCCGACCAGGTCGAACCTCGGAGGAAGCTTCGGGGTTTCTTCTGACTGTTTTCGGGCTGGCGGTTTGGGGTTTAAGGCTTCTTCTGACCCTTTTCGGGTTGGCGGTTAGGGCTTCTTGGGTTTTTTTTTCGGGTTGCCGCCGCTTTAGGGTTTCGGCGCCCGCACTCGGACAATCCGCTTTAGGGTTGAGGGTTTCGGGATGTTTGGGGTTTCTTGAAGCCTTCTTCGGGTTGCTGGGTTCGGGTTTAGGGGTTTTTTTGACACTCACTCTCGGACAAGCATGGCGAGGTCTGCAGAAGTATGTTCGGGCTGCTTGTTTGTCTGCCCACTGACTTGATTCACTCCAGCAGGCAGACTGTTAGTGACGACCCTGAACAAGACAGGAACAAAGGGTTTAGGGTTCATGGTGTAGGGTTTAGGGTTTAGGGTGGTTTAGAGAGGGCCTCATTCCTTCGAAAAAGCAGCGTCCGGATCGCCGTCAGTTCTCGTAACGTGTAGGAGTTGCCGAAAATAGGGGACCCTAATTTAGCACCCGAAATAGCAGGATCCCTATGCAAAGGACCCCAAAACAGGGTCCCCGAAGCTTCGGAAACTCCCATGCACTTGTTGGTATAACAGTACATGTTGCTACATGCGCACTTGCTAGCATCATGACTATGATTCCTGCTGCTGTTCTCATTTGTAATCTCTACTCGGCTGGTTACTAGTGCTGTTTCGACGGCGCTGCTTATTGCCGCTTTCGGCATCCTTCTGGCATGGCACAGTCAGCAAGTTGCAGTATGCTTAATATGAGTCTAAACAAGAAGAACAGGGTTTGGGTATATATTATACTATAGTTATAAAAACGAACCACCAAAACCCTATTCTAATTATGAAGGCCCTATCTTATGCTTAACACGACTTATTAAGGCGACATCTCTTGACCACGCGGCTGCCCCAACATCTGGTTGTCTGCCGCCATCTCACGCTCACCCTGGAAGACTTTGATGCCCACCTGTCACCACGCTGCGAGTGGGGGCTCGTATGGGGTCTACAAGTTTTCTTGCACGATCCCGGTGAGGCTGCAGGGGGCCGACAAACAGTGACAAAATTCGGATTCATGCAGCCTGCCCCCATGTTATCTCAAAAGCTTTACTAGCTTATGACCTGCCCCGTCTTGAGCTTCACGTCACCCGATCACCCCGCAAAGTTTCCGGTCCGTGTGACCTGGCCCTGTGCAGCTGACAAAGCAAGCGGCTGAAGTCAAAAACCAGTGACTTAATGCAACCACTGCGAATGAATATTTCCCGTAAGCTCCTCAAACCTACATGGCCGCGCTGCTGAAGCGTCGCAACAGCTTGTGCCATTCCAACAAAAGCACCACAGCTTGTTGCCTCGTTTAGGCAGCGACAAACTCCGTTTTCACTGAAAGCCGGCGGTCGTATCGTCGTATCACGCGTGCCGTCGCCATGGATCTGGGACATACTGTGGTCCCGGCGACGTGTTGCTGTAGAAAGATGTAGGCGGCTGCGGGGGCTGTCTGAACGAACGTCCGCAGCCACTGACGAAGCAGAGAACCAGGATTCCTATGATCGGTGTGCCGAGGAAAAGGTAGAAGTTGGTCCAGACAGTAGCTACATCATGGGCCAAGTCCTTGTTGTACCAATCTTCGAAAACCTGATTTTGCATGCTTTGCGACATCCTGGTTCCTGTACTGGATCGCGACAAGCATTGCAACAAATGCTTTCGAGAGTTGGCTTTGTGAACCATTGGAACGCGGGTGAACAGGCAGACATACCGGCAGTTCTTCTCGGCAGCTTGATTCTCCTTCAAGGCGCAGCGCGTGGCTTCGTCCGAGTGGACCTTCATTCTCCCATATAACTAACGGTCCTAATGGTTAATCACAGGTGTTATGATACTAGTGGCAATCATAATAGTCTATAAAAGAATTAATGTACCCATAGGAGGACCATCATAATAGTTCATAATGTAACCATAATAGTAAAAAGGACCCATAATGGTCTTATACTCTATAACAGTATAATGTAACCATAGGAGGACCTTCCAAAGCTCGATGTTCTTCTGCTTGATGTGCACGAAGCCCTCGTCCAGAACCGACTCAAGGCTTCGCAGAGCGCCGCGGTGTGCATCGGTATCTTGGAGCTCACGACCCTGCTCCTGGGCTCTATGATATAAGGGCCTCAACAACTACTAATACGATTTTTGGGGGGCTCCTTCTTATAATTATTGTAGAATGGGCCCCCCAAAACCCTATTCTAATTCATGAGGCCCCTATATCTTGGAGCTTGGAGCTTTCGACTCTGCTCCTAGGTTCCCTGACTTTACCATAATGAGGAACATCATGCTACGTACTATAGATCCCTCTTCAAGTCACTGAAGCTAAAACTAAACTCCTCACAGGGCTCCTCGCCACAACAGCGACATCATGTTCTCTGCTACAGCTTCCCATTCTAGTAACGTAAAAAAGGATTCCTTAAGAAGAGGCCAGGGCTCATCCAGCATCTCCCGAATGCTTGCCGCCAGCTGCCGGTGCTCCGCGGCGAGGTCGGACTCCGAGGAGGGCATGGCTAAGTTGCTCTTGCCTTCGCTGCGCAAAATGTAAGGGCCCTGATAAATTGAATAAGGTTTGGGGAGGTTCCTAGTTATAATTGTAGTATAGTCTGCCCCCTAACCCTGTACTGGATCGAACTTCCAGCGTCAAACATCGCCAGTTCAAACAGCAAGCCTCGAAACTAAAGTTTTGGCGTAATATACGAAATTTACAACGAGCTCATACCGCCAGGTTACGGGTCTTGTAGGAGCTGACGCACCGCTCTAAGGCTGCCCGGAAGTGGGCACTGAGCCTCTGGTCGTTGGCTGCAGTGAAGCGAGTCATCCGATTTTCGTAAGTCTCTGTCTGCACCAGAGCTTTGTGGGTTTTGTGGTGACTGAGAAGCTTCATCCATTTGTGTCCCGCCAGTTTGTCATCAAAGGCCTGCCAGCAGCGCGACTGCACGATGGACTGCAGATCCTTAAGCTGCGACTTGCCCAAGAGCTTGTTGCCTACCAGCTTCAGCTCACGGTCGACTGCCTCATCAGCAGACGCCACGGCCGCTTTGAAATGCTGCAATATCTCCCGCTCGTTCTCCAGCTCGCGGGCACCCAGCATCGTGTGCAAGTCGACACTTAGCTGGCTCCCCGGGTCCTGTGCAAAGGCCGGCATGGAAGCTGCCTTGCCATGAACAGGATTCTGCCCCCGCGCTGCGAAGACCTGCAGCCTTGTACTGAAGTCGGCCACTGTCTTGCGGATGCCTTCCTCCCCAGTCTTCCTAAAGAGATCCGGATCAAAAGGAAGCTCACGCTCCGCTAGTGATCGGCCAAAGCCTTCCTTTGCCTTGACGATGGCTTCGTTGGTCCATCGCTGTACTCGCTCGTGGTACAAAAGGAGCTTGTGCTGAAAGTGCACGGCCATTCCTGGGTTCTTGTCAAGGAACTTAGTTTAAGCTACCACAATAGGGATCTACTGTAAATAACAGGGGTTCCTTATCATGGCCACTTAAATTTAAATGCCAGATTCGTTTTCTGAGCTCCGGAATGTCAGGGCTCACATCGAAGTCCCGCAGAAGTTCCATGTAGAACTGAACTGACCTGGTCCTTGCCTCTTCCACCTTGGGCGTGAAGCTTTACCTAGAGGCTCCCCTAGTAGTTCCTTTGGGGGTTTCCGAACATGGGGGACCCTAATATAGTACCCTAAATAGTAGGATCCTCATTAGGAAAACTCGAGCCTTGTCGTTGAAGTCTCGGAGAGGAATAGGGTCTTCGCTCTGGTCGATGCTGGACATGAGCGATGAAAACCAAGTATCCTAGTTCATGGTTGGGATAGGATTAAAAATTTGCATTGTGTATTCCTTCTTGGGTTTAAGCACCCATAAAAATCTAAAATGTTACCCAACTATGACAAAGTTATTTTCGGAAACTCTTTTTTTCTACACCTATTTTCGGAAACTCTAAACCCTAAACCCTTTATAGATGTAAAATGTTACCCAACTATGACCAAGTATCCGCATCCTGCAAGGACATCTCGGCAACCTGCCTGGGCTCTGGCGACAAACCGAAACGGTTTCGGTTTTTTTTTTTTGAACACCTTTTTCCATACTGCAGTACAGCATAGAGAGCCCATTCGGTTTCGGGTTTAGGGTTTAGTAATTTAGGGTTTTTTGGTTGAAAAGGGTTCTAGGTGGAATTCTACGCACTTTAAGCACTAAAGGGCACAACTTAAGGTCAACATAGTTCAGGAGAGCTTTACAATTCTGTGCATATGTGTGTGTGTGTATGTGGGTACACACATATGTACACATACATATAGAAATAGATTCATCGACTCGTTCAGCTGTTTCATAAATTCTCTAAGGCTATTATGCTATTAGATACGTGCATATGCCTATGTAACTACATACATACATACATACATACTTGCATACATACATACATACATACATCCATGCATCCGTGCATCCGTGCATCCGTGCATCGCATGGATGCGTGCATGCATACATACATAGACAGTCTCCTCATTGACCCAGTTGCTGCGTCCAAGTGGTCCAGAGTGATGGCAACTCGTGGAACATGCCGCGCTGTAGACCCTGCACAATGAAGCGCAGCGACCTTTCCAAAGTGCGTCCCGTCATGGGCTCGCCTTCGAAGGACCGAGCATGCAAGCTCCCCAGGACGTGTTTTTTCAACTCTCCGAGCTCCTTCTTGAACTCGGGCGTGAGCTGCGACCACTGAAGTTTCGACAAGTCCTGCAGCTCTGGCTTTGAAGTCGCTGGCAAAAAGAGAGTCTTCACCTTCACGTCGCTGTACAGTTTGGAGAGAATGTGCACTTCCTCGCCTGAAGTATCATTGGCGTACGACAAGTACGACCTGGGGATTTCCGACAATAGGGAACCGTATAATATAGCACCCTAAACAGTAGGATCCTTATTATAAGGACCAAGATAAGGGTACCCCCTAATTTTCGGAAACTCTAAACAATCCCTTATAGAGCCCTTTAAAGGAACCCTTATAGTACCCTTATAGTAACCCTTTAGAGGACCTGAGCCAGGCGGTGGCTGGATCGGAGGAGTGCACGTGCACCTCAGGAAGCTCCTGCACGAAGTCCTCTACCACCCATGTCAACGGAGGAAAGCTTCCTAGGTTTAGGGTTTAAGGTTGAGGGTTTAGGGTTTAGGGTTTAGGGCTAGGTGGGGCTTTTAAAGCCTTTGAAAAATACTAGTAAAGATGATCCTCTGAAGCCCAATAAGGGACATGTAACATGTCCCAAAGCCCTACTTACCTGAGCTGTCCTTGAAGCCTTTTGAAAGTTATGGAACAATTATGGTTCTCTACAAAATAGCAGGGGAAATTAAAAATGATCCCAAAGGACAACCCAGCTTCTCACACTGAGGAATTCGGGCGTATCGAGATTCGCCTGTTCGGTAGATGTCCGCGTTCGAAAGAGCTGCGCACGACGGGCCAGCATCTCCAGGAGGTTCACTGCCTGCTGGTCGATGATCTTCACGGTATTGTACCTTACTACCCCAATAAGCCACAGAAAAAAAAATGTTAAACTTTCCGATTCCTACTAAACTATGAGAACCCAAAAAATTCAAAGGTTAGGCGGTTAGGCATTGGGATCTAAGGTACACTAGGTGGCCACCAAGAAGTGTTGCTATCGTGAAGATCTTGGCATCGTAGCTCTCGGCGACGCCTGGGCCGAAGAAGCCCTCTGAGTCCATCAACCAAACCTCAGACCCGTCATTTGCCTTCCATTCCGTGCGACACATCCAGATGCCCATCGTCTCGGGGGATGTCTTTCGACCGACGGAAAAGACCTGGGTGTCACCCAACAGCGCGTTCAGCAAGAAGCTCTTCCCGGAGTGGAAAGGGCCGACGACTGACACGACGGAAATACTGCTCGGATGCTGTGCCAGCCTTGCCAACCCCTCTGGGACAGGCAGCATTGAAGAATGATTTGCAGTCGGCCTCACCACCTGGAAGGGAACTTTGAAAGGGACCTCCGAGCTGCATAGCCGTAGCAGCAAGAAGGCTGAGAGCCATCGACCTCCTCCCCGCAACACCATCTTGCCGGCACGAAGTCCTGCCTAAAATGCTTCTGGGAACACTGGACTGCACTTATTCCCTGACGACACTGGCTTTCCATGGTACGGCCCACGTGCCCATGTCACTTCCACACTTGATCAGCTTCATCCGAGTTTGGGCCAGGCTTCTCGACAGACATCATTTCAACGAGGCAGACCCCATATTCCTTCGAAATTCACCCAAACGTACGAAACATCGGTGCTGTCAGCTTGCTGCGATTGTGATAACTTTCTCGGCCAGCGAGTTCCCAGGCTCGCTAGGAAAAAGCCCGATCTCATGTCCTTCGAGAGGGGCCCGCATGCCTGTGTCTGGTTGTCAGCGGCGGTGGAAAAGACTTGCGACTTCTTCGTCGGGATCGTCCTGAGACGACAGAGATGTTCTCGGCTTGCTTGTAAGCACAGATGTGCTGGTGGAAACGTCCTAGGCCTGAAGTTGCATCATGCTGGTAGGACGGCAGCCTGATCCTGCAACCTGCAATCAAAACCCTTAACCCTTTTTGCATCCAGGGAAACCCTTAAACCCGAAACCCTAAAATCCTAAACCCCAAAACCCTAAACCCCAAAAACCCTGAAACCCTTTAACCCTTAAACCCGAAGCCCAAGGTCTCTCCCCCTGAGGGCCCGGCGTATTCCTGTTGATCAGGCGGGTGAAGACCCCTCCCAACGTCTCGATGCCCAAGGACAGAGGCGTCACGTCCTTGGGCCACGCACTTGGGATTCTTGAGATACCATAGGAGCCTTGTGATTGTGATTGCGGACAGTCGTGCTTCTGGCCGCTGGTGGGCGACACGGGGAAGCGCGTCCCAAAATTACATGCCGAATTCAAGAGGAGCCTTAATGATTAGAATAAGGCTTGTTCGGTGCCCATTATACTTTCAGTATAGTTGTAATGTGGGTTATTATGAAGGCCCCAGTGTATTAGTCTTAAGAGCCCCTTTCGGATCCAGGCCACGAACCTCCCAAAGTCCCCTGACACCCACTCCCCACCCGCTACAGAACAGGGCTCCCCACCGAAGCTCCTGCCACCGACTACCCCTTTGGAGGATCTAGAAAGTAGATCCCCTTATTTGGGACCACTGACCCTGAACCCGCTTGAACCTGTGCTGCAAGGCCCCTTTGGAAGGCTTGAGAGTTTTAGGGGTTCTTTATAGGAGCCCCCACATTTTGGATCCTCCCGGGGGTCTGGGTACCCTAGATCTCCCACACCTGCCGCCCTTTCGGGTGGCTCTCCGGTGCCTCCATGCTATCGCCGACCTTACGGAAAACCAAAACCCCGAACTAAGAAGATCCTTCCTTAACATCGACGCCTGAATAAAAGTCCCCCCCTTTAGGAATTACGAGAACCCACGTGAGACGCCTCCATCGTAACCGAGCCCCGAGCAAGCAGAAGCACATCCTTCACGTCGCCCTTCAAGACACCAGCCTGCAGAATGCAGGCTCGGATCGTTTAGGGTTTTTTTTTTTTACACGGCCCTTTTTCGTCTTCGCAGAATCGTTTAGGGTTTAGGATCTAGAATCTAGAACACCTTTTTCCGCCTGGCAGCTAAGGGCGCAGTATCCACAAGTTCTAGGGCCTTCGAGGGGGTTCACGGGTCTGGGGAGCCAGCTGAACCCCTAATTCCGCCCTGCACCCTCAACCAACTACTCCCTGAACCCCCAATCCTGAACACCACGACGAATCCAAGCCCAAACTCCCAAAACCCTAAACCCTAAACCCTAAACCCTAAACCCTCAACCTTAAACCCTAAACCCTTCCTCCGGCCTGGATGGCCGCACCCATAGCAACTGCCTCGTCGGGGTTCACGGCCTTCGAGGGGTCCTTTCCTCGGCCATTCTTCAGGTCCCCTTATTAACGGTTTAGATTGGGGTTAGGGTTTAGGGTCTAGGGGCCAGGGGTTTAGGGTTTGGGGGTTTAGGGTTTCGGAGTTTAAGGTTTAGGGTTTAGGGGTTTAGGGGTTCAGGGTTCTGAGTTTGTTGACTTGGTGGACTTCTCCACTTGTGCATGTCATCCTTGCGCATGACACATGCTAGTCTTCTCATATCTTCTCCGTATGGGCAGGCCGCCAGGGGTTTAGGGTTTGGGGGTTTAGGGTTTCGGAGTTTAAGGTTTAGGGTTTAGGGGTTTAGGGGTTCAGGGTTCTGAGTTTGTTGACTTGGTGGACTTCTCCACTTGTGCATGTCATCCTTGCGCATGACACATGCTAGTCTTCTCATATCTTCTCCGTATGGGCAGGCCGTTCTAAGTAAGTTTTGGACTTTAGGGTTAAGGGCGTTGCTTCTTTGGGGGTTGCGGGGTTGAGGGTCCTTGGGGGTCTGGGCTTTATGGATTCGGGGCTGTATGGGTTTGGAGTTTTGGGGTTTCGGGCTTCGAGGTTTCCGGGCTTCAAGGGAAGATGGAAAAGTTGCTGTATGGCGAGAAGAGGAACCTGCAGCAGCCTCGAAGAGCTAGCAGCTAGACTGCTACACTACGAGCTCAGATAGCCTCTGTTCTGACAGCCACTGCAAGACTGGTTGGTGCCTTCCCCCAAAGACTGACTGGTTCATGGGTGCAGCTCGCTGCTGGGAGGCCTTAGAAAGCGCGAGAAGGCGAAAAGAACTGTGGACTTCGGCTGTGGAAAGGCTCCTGCATCAACAAGCAAATAGGCATAAAAATACCAGCCCTCATCATCATCCTGTTAACCTGAGATCAAACAGCCTCTCCACCTCCTTCGAGCGATATCCACAAAAGAGGAAAGAAAAAGCTCAGCCCTGTGCCATAAATAGATCGCACCAGCTCGGTGACCTGCAGATAAGAGGTACGCTCCCAGAGAGTCCGAGACCCTTCATTAAGGAATGTACAAAGACCTGAAATCAAAATAGTAGGCCCTCATAGTGAAGGTATACTGACCAACGTGGCTTTCTGGATCGGCACGTAGCAGCACAGCCACGAAACCGGGGAACAAAACCTCAAGCCCAAACGTGACTCAGCTGGGTGGAGGATAGCAGGGTGCCTGATAATTCGAGTAGGGCTTTGGGACATCAGGCCAGCATTTTTGTGGCGGCTCGTTTTGGGTGGACTCTTAAGACATCTCATAGCTGTATTATACTATCATTACAATATCGGACCCCAAAAACAGTATTGGTAATTAGAGCCGACATAAGGTGCTTGCAGGCAGCTTCTGGGGGAGAGGAGATGACACCGCGCCTTGGGCATGCGGGTCATGCCTCCGACCAGGAGAACCTCATTGATCCTGCCAACACGGGGCGAAGTCTCTGGCTGGACCCCAAAACTATGTAGAACAATAGCCTTGTTTAGGTCTTGAGCAAGTCGTCTACCTACTTTGCGGTTTAGGTATTGTAGAGCATGTTTCGGCACGCTCCGTCTTTGCTCGACGCTGGGCTGTTGATGTTCAAAAACATGCAACCTTGCGAGAGAGAAAAATAATCGGTTCACTAGCATCCATTGACTTCGAAGGTTCGAACGATGATTTCCCGCAACTGGCACAAGCACAATGCCCATGGGTTGTCCAGAAGCCTACACCGTCTGCGCGCTTTTCTGTGCAGCAGGCCCGAGCGCAATCTACCGCGAAGCGGCACTTCGATGCAAAATAGGAACCCTTTTCTCTAAGACCCTAAGCCCTTAGCATTTAGGGTTAAGGGTTTTCACATTTATACAGGGTATAAAAGCACCATGCAAGGGTCACCAAGGCACTAAACCAAAAAGAAAGAAGGCAAAATTAGAAGCTTTAGAGGAGCCCTTGCTGGGTAACCTTCTATCTAAAAGTCCTTTAGCAAGCTTTACGAGAGAGAACACCCTTACCAATTGAACGCCGGAGACCTCTTTTCAAAACACAAACCAACAACACCAAAACTACAAGTAGCAGCGTAGGGGGTGTAGTATAGGTGCCCATGTAATAATCGGAATAGGGCTTTGGGGCTTTGGGGTGTATTCTGCTATCATTGGTTGTCACTCGCTCGACAGGGTCAGGCGAGGGTTCTGAACGCCTCAAGCAGTAGAACAGCCAGACTCATTGGCCCAGCAAGCATGAAATTGGGATTTGTTCTACTATCATTACAAGTAGTAGCATGAAGGGTGTATTATCGGGGCCTACTGCATTAACTGGAAAAGGGCCTTGGGACATATTCTACGATCATCACAATAAAGGGATCCCCCCAAGTCTCTCTGCGCTGAGATCCCAACTCGTCGGGCTTTACGCCGGCATCCTGGAGGATGGCGGGGAAGCCATCGGCTCCAGGGTTTCATGTAAGGGTTTCCTATAAAGGGTTCTATAAGGGTACTTTTGAGGTCGTAGAATATAGGGGTTTAAAGTTTAGGGCTTAAGGTTTCGGGTTCAGGGTTTCACGTAAGCTCGCTTCACAAGCTGGCTCTTGCTGGGGCGATGACTACGATGACAAACGACTATACCATTACTATGGCGGTTATGCTAATATTATTTCCGGTGCTGTTGCCAGTGCGATTCTTACGAACCTCACCTGCTATGGGCCTTAATATTTACATCTACTATTTTAGGAGGCTCCTTATCACAGTTGTAGTATAGTTTAATGGGCCCCAAAACCCTATTCTAACTATCAAGGCCCCAGTTTTTGCACCCTTATGTCTGAACCACCCGGCCAAACGCAGTGGGGCGCCTTGTTGCAGGCCTCGCACGGGGCTTTGGTCCGGGTCAGCAGAGGATCAACGAGCTGCTCGAGCCGGGACCTCCCCGGGTTGTTTTGGGTTTAGGGTTCAGGGTTTAGGTGTTTGTTTTTTTTTTTTAGGTGTTTGGGGGTTTAGGGTTTTTTTGTCACTCGCACTCGACAGGGCAGGCGAGGCTTTAGGGTTTAGGGTTCTGGGTTTCGTTTTTGTGCCTTAGAGCTTAGGGTGAGTTTTGGGGTCAAGGGTTTAGGCTTTGGGGCACAGGGGTTCCATCTGCTCTTTTTCTTTTTCGGGCCCTCCCGTTGTCCTCACAATGACCAACTCCGCCGGGCTCAGGACAGGCTGG